AACCAGTTATATAAATAGTATAAAAAAAAAGATTCTATTTACTAGATAAAAAAGAAATATATAGAAAGAAGAGATTTTATTTATTAAAAAATTACTATATTTACTGGATAAAAGGGGTTTATATAGAAAAAAGAGCTATAGTAAGTAATATAGACCCTGCTTATATATATACTACCTACTAACCAGCTATAATATTATTTAAAAAAGACTGAAATACAGAACTGTTGTTTTGGATTTTAAACAGCTATTTATATAAATAGAAGCTGCAGAAGATACTAAAAAAAAAAAAAAGGGCTTCTGTTATAGAATTAAAATCCTATTATAAAGCTCAGCTTTAGGCACCAGTTAGTATCTAAAACTTTATATACTAAATACTAAACTAGCACTAGCTTAGTATATATATAAAAGAATTTTATACAAACAGACAAAATAGCTCCTCAGCTATTTCTTCTTATTTTAAGGCATGTTTTGATTAGCACAATCCATCCGTCCCGAAACATATACTAATTATTTTACTGTTAATAAAAAATACTAAGATATTTTTAATAATCTTAATCCAGACTTGATTATTTTTATATTTAAAAAGTTAAAAAAAATAAGATAATTACTACCTTTTATATTAGTAAAAATAAGAATATAAATAATTTTAAAAATAACTTTAAAAATAGATTATTATTAGTAATAAAAAAACCAGTTTTATTTAAGTTTTTAAATACTATATATATTTAGATAGAGATAGAGACCCGGTTTTTATAATTTTTATATTATTATAATTACTATTCTGAATAGTATAAAAATAGTATAATATTATTAATATATTTAATAATAGATACTATTTTTTTATACTAGGCTCTATAAAAGTCTTTTATAAAGTATAGTATATTTTTTAAATAGAATATATAGTATAGATTGATTAGATAAAGCAGATAGAACAGATAAAGCAGATTAATTAAATTAATTAAATGAATTTAATAAAATAAATTAATTAAATAAAGCAGGTTAATTAGATAAAATAGATAAAATAAATAAAGTAGATAGACTAAAATTAAAAAATATTACTATATTATAATTAAAAATATATTATACTTTATATATTATTTATATAAAAGGAATATATATATTATAAATTAATCTATAGTTATTAATTTATTTACTATATCTAATCTTTCTAACCTGCAGGTATAAACAGTTAAAATAATAGTTATATCTTAATCTAATTATAACTGTACAGTTAAAAATTTTTTATATCTTAACCTGACCGCCAGGTTATGGCCAGGTTAAGATTAAGGTATAACAGTCAGGTTAAGCCACTCTAGCTGTATTAGTAAAGCTGGTTTCTTCACAAAATACTGCTATTTATCTAATATATTTAATAAAGTATATACTAATTATAAATAGCTGGATATGGAATTTTATTGCTTTATTTAAAATTTAGTATAAAAGACTGTATAAGCAGCTAATTTTTTTATTTTTATTATTAAAAAAGGTTACCTGCTCCAGGAGCCCGTATAAATCTAATCTTATTAGGATTTAAAAAAGAGAAGAAGAAAAAAAAGATTATTTTGATTTCTATTTACTAGTCTTTTTTTATAAAGCAGAAAGATATCAAAAAAATCTTTATAATTACTATTCCACATAAAATTATAAATATTAATTTAAATATACTTAGTTTTTAGTATTCTTTTATATACCCCAGCTGTATGGGATATTTATATACAGTAATCTAAATAAGACTTGCATTTTTCTATAGTACTTAGAACTAGTAGTTGTAAGATAAAGCTAAGCAAGTTAAAAAGCTTCATATACATCTAAATACTTGCTTAAATCGCCTATCTAGAAGATGAATTGATTCTGCCGGCAAAAAACCAAGCAAAAACTCATTTGCCCGATGCCGGCAATCGTCCGCCGTAGTTGTTCCATTGAATCTCACCCCAAGCAGTTTGATCGGTTTCGATGAATTGCTTCACCAGGAATCCATAGGCGAGAATCAAACTCCTGGCAAGAGAATAACACAGAGCAGATGTGATGAACAGATTAGCCACAAACTCGAATCTCTGATCGGTTCAAACAGTAAGTGTACAACAAGCATCAAGATAAATCTTCTAGCCCGGTCTATACCGCGTTTCGAACTCTTGATGTAAATGATTCACTCACTTACCCACCATGAAACAACAGAAAGAAAAATAAAAAAGATGAGGGTAAGGTTAGATCATGTGGAGCATTTCTTCTCAGGGCAGTGCACTGTGCAGCATTTTCCAAGCTGCCCCCGGAATAAACACAAGTCACGCGCCTGAAGAAATCGATAGGCGCAGGGATCGGATAGGGATATTTTCGACCATGATAGATGAGACCCCTTCTTTTCTCGTCTTCATCCACTTGGAAATCCACGAATCAGGCAGAGAAGCGAGATAGATGGGCAATCTGGTGGGGACTATAGCCGGTACTATATATGCCGCTAGACCCGAAACAGCAATTGACCTGAACCCCAAACTGACAGTCCCGCCACTGTTCTTCGTATCCGGGGCTCTAGTCTCATTATCATCTCCTTTGTATGCTTCTACCTCGTATGCTGAATAGTCTAACAATTACGCTATATCGTAAGCGATTGGATATGTTTTATTCACAGTCAATCATACGAGACTTGATTCTTCTCGTCTATCTCCGGCTGACAAAATTCACAGTGAAGAAAAATCTATAAAGCGCACCGGGGTTGCTCGTCTCTGCTCCTCCTTCGCATTGCATTCTTCATCTTTTTTTCAGTTAAGATCATACTTATCTCTACGACCATGCAGCTCCTTTCCTTCGCCACCATGGCCGTCCTCGCCGGCGTCGCCGCTGCCAAGAGAAACGTTTACATGTGCCCCGGACCGTAGGTTGATCGCGCCCCATCCATGTCGACTCCGGCACTAACCCTCCATCCTCCACAGCAACTGGACGGGCCCCTGCACTCTGTTCGGCTTCGACAACGGCGAGTGCATGGATATCAGCTTCTGGGATACCCTGGGCTCTATCGGTCCGGATGAGGGTGAGTAATGAGCGAGCCCCGACCAGCAAGGATCTGAGCTAATTCTGTTCAGGCTTGGTCTGCTCCATGTTCGTCGAGCCGGGCAACTGCTACATGACGACGGGCAACTTCAACTCGGGAGGCTTTGTGAGCCCCGGTATTGCCGACTTGACGACCTGGCAGATGGGTAGCGGCGAGAAGTGGCCGGGATACTGGTTCAGCAACGCCAAGACTGTCCAGTGCTTGTACCAGTAGTCAACTGTAACTATCTTTCATCGTCTCTTAGTTAGCGTACACCAAATTGGATACATGGCCGTTTTGGGAAAATGGATCTTGCTGCGTCCCAGGGTTCTCGCTCGGAAGGGCGGTGAGCCCTACGGCTTGGCAGGAAGATTATCTATCTTATCTCCGTGCCTAAGTTTTGTACCGTATCCAAAATACACTCATTCATCGAGCCTCTTTTGCCTGACAGCTCACAAACAGGATCCTCTCATTCTAGTCTATCGATTGGTTTTTTTTACTCGTGATATGGGAGCATTGTTCAAGTTTAGTGCACAGTCTTGAGGCTGGTAGGATTACTTTTGTGGTCCAGAATAGAAACATACTATGTATTATATTTACTGCATCTCACCGACCTACTTCCTCTTTTTTGTCATCTCCCTGTGAAAAGCTTAGAAATTAGCTAGAGAACAGCCTAGCAAGAGACAAACTAGAGCTAGTACCATCAGTACCCGGGCGTCCGCGTCTGAGTTGATGGTTCATAGCTTACTTCCTATGATACCTTCGGTCTCCTCAACACCGCTCTCCGTTCTTAGAAGCCTTGGCATCACGTGTAGCGGTGCCTACTCCCTCTCGACAGACACCCTAGCTGGATTTATAGATTGTTTATAGACATTGACTATGTTCAAGACACCACCAGCAAGGTCGAGAGTTGCATATACATGTACGGACTTAATAGCTGGCAGCCAGTTGGCGAACTTTCCCCGCTCCTAAGGTCTCTATTCTCTGGAAGCAGAAAGATTGCCTGGCAGGTTTTTTTCAAGCAGCATATCACGCAAGAAACTAATCATGGATGCTGTAGATCTTTGTCGTAACCTGCAACGCTGTACTCCTGTTCAGGATAAATTACGAGTATACCCTTGTGGCGGCCAGATTGGCCGCGCTGGCACTAGCGAGAATCGGCGTACTCTACACCAACGATTATGCTCTAGGTATACATGTGTCATGCTAAAAGCAAGCAAAAACGATGTCTTTGTCGTGATGCAATTCTAAGCCCACACGGGCCTCTCAAGTTGTACATGTGTAGATCATGGATGATGGGTGGCAAGCCGTGTGACCGAGGCATTTAGCTGCAGATCTAGATCAACCCACTCCGATGCACGGTGACATAACACAACCCACACACCAACCATTTCACCAACTATAATCTTCATGCCTTGTTTCAAGCTGCAGAAATGCAACTGCGGGGTTCGTGGGCTGAGGACCAAAAAAGCAAGTACGGACTGAAACCGGTCGCAGCGTCGACAAGATCCACTGTTGGACCGGGGTCTATAGTTTAACATGCCCCCACCAGAGACTACCCATAGTATCCAATATCCACGACCCAATAGACATCACACTAGGGTCGGACCGGCCGGGCCTCTGAGTTTCCGGCTGTCGATCGGTCTTACAATGGATGCAGAATTTCCTAGCCCACAGGGTATGTGCGCGTCATGGTGACAGCAGAGGCAACTGTAGCTGCAGGACCTCCCCTTGGTCGCATACTACTTAAGCCCAATGGAGTTCCTAAGCTGAGGTCGTAAATCATCTTCAGAGATTGCCTTACACAGAAGAACTCAAGTCTCTTTTCTCAAACGATAACATGGATTTCTTGAAGTCTCAAGTGACCCTTCCCAAGGTGACCCTGCCCGACCTGGGACAGGCGACCTCCGGCACTGTCAAAGACTTCCGAGCCCTAATCCAGAATGATCCTACCCTGCTCAAGAATGCCACCGCAATGTTCATCCAGGCTGGATCCTATCCCCTGAACGTTACGCAGAACCTGACCAACTTGCTGGTGAACCTGGACAAGATCACGCGGACTGCTCCTGCCTACGACGCCTCTGCCGCTAAGAACTCTCTCGGAGGCAGCATGGGGATCCTGACCAACCTGCTGGAGCCCTATCTTAAGACTCAGGCTGGGCAGGAATTCTTCAAGGACGTGCGAGTCGACAAGGTTCTCCAATCCCTGCTCAAAGAGTGGACAGTCTACTTGAACTCCCCGGAGTCCGCCAGCGTCCTCACCGACGAAGAAGCAGGGTGGTTCAGCGACGCGGCTCTCCCTGAGGGGCGGGATACCTTCTTCCGTCGGTACAAGTGTGAGCCCAACGACATCCACTACGGCTACCAGTCCTGGGACCAGTTCTTCACACGCGAGTTCCGGGATGGCGTGCGGCCCGTCGCGGGCCCGGACGACGACAATGTCATCACGGCCGCCTGCGAGTCGATTAAGGTCGTCTTCGAGCCGGACGTCCAACTCTCCGACACCTTCGACATCAAGGGTCGCAAGTATTCGCTCAGCACGATGCTCGACGACGAGTACCTCGCCGGGAAATTCGGCGGCGGCAAGCTCTACCAGGGCTACCTGAGCGCGACGAACTACCACCGCTGGCACGCGCCGGTCTCCGGCACCGTCATCTCTTCGCATGTCATCGGGGGCGCGTACTTCGCCTCCGGGCCGAACCCAGCCTTCTACGCCTCTCCCTTCACGGATCAGATTGAGTGCGAGGTCGGGGCGGCGCTGCACGAGGCCACCCGGTGCGTCATCGTGATCGACAGCGGCAATCTGGGCCACGTCGCGTGCGTCTTCGCCGGCATGCGGGAGCGCGGCTCCTGCGAGCCCACGGTGCAGGTTGGCGACGATGTGAGCAAGGGCGATCAACTTGGGATGTTCCATTTCGGCGGCAGCACGCATTGTCTGATTTTCGGTCCGCAAGTCAAGCTCTCGATGGCGGACCTGCCGTCCGATCAGAATGTCCCAGTGAATTCGCAGCTGTTCACTGTAGCGTAGGAGGTCTACGCAAGCTTCGTGTACAACAGGACCTTGGAAGTGGGTCTAGAAGACGCATTATCCATCGGAAAATTTGCTTTCCGTTTGGTGAAGGGTTTCTTTTCGACGGCCATGAAACTATTCTCTCGATTGGTCTGTTTTTGTGCCAGAGTCTTCACTGTAGCAGATTATCTATGGGACGATGAAATTCATTCAGGGCAATTGTGCTCCTGCAAGTCTTTGGATAAAGCTTTCTCTAACGTAACTGAGACTATTGACTGCTCTCCGTGGCTCGAATCACGAACTGAACGGGGCTTGGGTTCTCGGAAGGTCATCGGAAATCAAGTAGACTCCAGGTTTGGACATTCCATACGAGGTGGTGATATGTAGCTCCCTCGGATCGCGATAAATAGCCAGTAGGATCAGCAAATGCGCGAAGCTTCAAGGTTGATGTCGCCGTACAGCAGCTGTAGCCATAAATGTGGTACACGAAAGGTCTGCTATGAAAGAGGACGAATTAAAGAACTAGCCCAGGAACAGAAAGAAGTGGTGATCTCCTCATAAATTCACGAGTGGGGCTGAGTAAAGATAGAACGCATAGAACATTGGAAGGATAATTTGATTGATTGCATAGACGATGTCAGGTTAGAATGGATCCGTCGATTGGTCAAACTGAGGAGCTATCTTTTTTTTTTGGGAACGTCGTCGGTGTCGTACCCGCTGCCTAGGAATTCACTGTATTTCGGGAACCCGCAACAAATCAAGGGTGGTTTGAGGTCCGGAAAGCGCTGCTTGAGCTCGTCAAATGTCGACCACGCTGGGATGGCTTGAATTGTGAAAGGATTCGAACCCTGGACGATGCCGACGACGCTGAGATGCAGCTCCTCGATTACCCACGCTCCAGACTCCGCAAGGAAACCGCCCGACTTGAAGGAATAGCACATACGCACATTTTTTTTCAGCCGCCCAAAGGGCTTCACAACCATCAGCGGCTTATCACTGGGGGGAAGCACCCGGTCCGGAATCATCAGCTGCCAACGCGGCACGGGCTTCTCTCGGTCCGTCATGCTGGGGAGCAGCATCCAGCTCGCCTCCGGACCGGGCACGCAGGTCTCTGCTAGCTCCTGGTTCACGAGCTCCACAAGGGCCCAGTTCTCTGACCGGGAGAAATATTGCTCGAGGGGCTGCAAGGTCTCGGGATTCGGAGGGATGCGTCCCCAGAGGGCGTGGGGCTCGCGGGCGTCGTAGATCTCGGCCGACTTGAACCCCGTCTCGTGGGGGGCGCTATACCAGAAGGGCTGGCCGCCTCCGCCATTGTGATGGTGGTCTTCGAGGAAGGGAGTGAGCACCGTCAATCCGAACCATCTCCCCTCCAGCTGGAGGATGCCACCGACCATGCCCGTCCGTGGCTGGTGGTCCTCATAGCCATATGTGACGTATCGGAGACCGCTGATGTTGCCGGTCCTTTCCACGTTGATTTTCCTTGTCTGACTCTGGGCTACAATTTGGCCTGGAGAGGATGGTTCTTCTTTCATTTCCGACATCGCGTGAGTGGTAGACTGTGGCTCCTTATCGATACTGAGGACAAGTGTCTTGGGAATGAGAGTCGTTGTGATAGAGAACGAGTCGCTTTCATATACAAAAGGTAGGCATTATTTATCTGTCTCTGCGATGGCTGGATGGGAGTCTGTCCGGAGCATTGAATAGGAGGACCATTAACATGAAAGAATAAGACTGGCTGCACAGAAGAATCCCGCCATCATTCACAAAGAGAGCAAAACGTTAGAAGGCATCGAAAGAAGACGTGTAGCTGCAGTTAGAAACTACTCCGAAGAATTAGAGATAGATTCATTAACGTGTTCAAGCTGTATTTGTACGGCTTGGTCGTACCGCCGTGTTCTTAGAGGGAACCTCCGGGAATGATACCTACAAGTGAATGTTATCTAGATTCACACCTGGATCACCTCCTCCTATTATACAAAGCCAATGTTATGACAAGAGGTATATTTGATCTTGCCACCATGCAGCGGGGAACAAATGATGTGAAAGAGCGAAGTATACCAATTAGTCCTATCTAGACCTTGCAAACAGGTGGAAATATTATCAAAATCCTACTCCACAAGCTCGATGTTAACTTGAAAATCATGGGCATAGACCCGCAGGCCAAGCACACAGATTGCATTCCATGGCGATGGTGAACTGCCATCTGTATCAATTGCCTGCTCAAGGGGAGTTGCTTCTTCCCTATCTTGGTTTTTCTTGTCATCGTCTTGTTTGCCGTCCTTCTTATCCACTTCCTCCTTGTCATCATGGCGGTTGTCTTCATGGTGTTTCTTGTCATCATACTTCCTCTCATCATCCTTATTATGTTTCTTGTCTTCATCCTGCTCGTCATGGTGATTTGTGTCGTCTTGTACTTTGTCTTTGTGGTGTTCTTCAACGTTATTGTCTTTCTTCTCATGCAGCTTTGTTGATGAAGCAGGCGTTTGAAGTTGTGACTGTGAAACGTCTGAGTCGTGACCTTCTCTCTGAAGAGTTTCGTCCTTGCTAGCGCCATGTAGATCGTTCTCTATTCTTGCCTCGTGTGCCTGTTCATTTTTTCCAGACTCATCCTTGCCAACTTCATCTTGGGCAATGTCATCCTTGACACCATCCTTGCTAGCCTCATTCTTGCCAGCTCCATTCTCTGCGGTCTCCGCGGTCGCATTTGTAGCTCTATTGCTCTGGACTTCCATCTGCTTCCCAGATCGAACTTTAGCATTCGCCAGGTCGTAATTCATGGCAACCTGTTTTAGCTTCTGGGGATTCTTCTCCACCCACTCCTTCACCACATCTTCCACATTCTTCTTGTCGGAATCTCTGGTTGCGAGAAGCTTGATGAGAACTTCGTATCTTCCGGGCTCAAGTGTAACCTCCGCGCTGATCGAGCGGTTGCCGCGGCATTGAATCGGCCGAACTAGCAACAAGTGCTCTCCGGGCTTCGCATTCTCCTCCTGGAGAAGGAAGTGCAGCGCGAATTCGTACTGCCCTTCAAGGCCTCTCAGATAGCGTCTATCAACCTGCAACTATTTTAGCATGTGATTATTTAACCATCATGATGTCGATGCGAGGAAACGGAGATCCAGCTCACCTCGGAGAGAACGAAAACCACAGGACCAGCTACCCTAATCTGGACCACGAACTTGGTGCGAAGATACCCTTCAATCCAGGGGACACTGACACTGGTCCACCGCTGGACGACCGTCCACGTCTCGTCGAAGATGCGTGTTCGGTGCAGGAACACAAACGTCGAAAGCAGATCCTCATAGGCCATCCAGAACATGCCGTCGTCTCCGAATCGGTGCTGCAGCTTCTGAAGCCAGTAAGGGCTCCACTCGCGCGAGCCGTCGCTCCAGGGGCCATTCCACTCCCCGACCCCGCCGGTATTTCTCTCTCCCCACGGGTTCCTGACCAGGGGTAGCATGTCAGCACTATGCAGACAGAACCCAGATCAAGAACAGACATACCTCACCAGCACCAACCTCACCTTCTTCCCATCTTCATCCTCCTCCTCCATCGCCCGGAGAATTGAATAAGCATGTCCCAGCGCCAGACCCCCTCGCGTCCAATCTCTGCCCGACCCCAGCGCTGACGCAGCGAACACAAAATTCCGCTCCGCATTGACCAGCTCCTTCCACAGCGTATGCTTATTGAGCACCTTGTTCGTCGCGATCGTCGTCGTCACGCCGCCAGTCATATCCTCGACCGCCTCCCCAGACCAACCCCCGGAGAGGGCCTCGTAATCCCCATGCACCTTGGCATACGCCTTCTCCAGCAACGGCAACCAGGTCTCGTTCGCATCGGAGCACTTGGCGAAATACAGCGCCTCGGAGCCGGTCTGATGGCGCTGACGGTACTGCCGCGCCAGGCGGCCCGTACTGTCGTAGCGATCCCCGTAGAAGTCAAAGTCCTCGTGGGACAGGTACAGGTTATCGTCGACGACGGTGGAGACCCACTCCCCGTCGCGGTAGAAGACGAACCCGTAGACGCCGCACTCCTCGTCGCGCGCGACACAGATCCGGTCCATCAGGTCCTGCCGGTTGCAGATCGTGGCGACCGCCGCCAGCCACCAGCAGTCGCCGTTGGCGCCCTGCTTGATATCGGTATTCGAATACCCATCGATAGTGAACTGGGGGTTTTCGAAGATCCAGTCGACGCGGTGGACGGAGCCGGGGACGCCCTCTTCATCGTCCTCATTGTCATCGGAAGAAGAGGAGGAGGAGCTGCTTGGGCGCCAGTCGTCGTTCGCCTTCGTACCATACCCCCTATCCCCCTTTCTCCCCACTCTATGCCCCCTTCGCGCCGCAGCACCTTTTCTTTCGCGTGCGATACGCATAGGCACCCCCCTACTCTCCCCACCAAATTTCTCCCCCCGCACCAGCCCGCGCAGACAGTTCCACAACTCCAACTCGCGATCATTCTCAATGTCAAAGTCCGAGTCCGTGAATTTCTCGTTCACGCGGTGGCACTCCCGCACGATGTGCTGGACCTCCGCCCGACACTGGCGGGCGGCTGCCTCGTAGCTCTCCGCTGCATTGCGCGCGGACGATTGGCCCGGGGCTTCCTGCTGCGACGGGAGGAGATCCGCGTAGAGGCTCTGTGGGAAAATAGTGGTGACCTTGCCCGGGGCTTTTGTGATGAAGCTGTTCCAGAATGCGGTGAGGGTTGCTTGGGGGGTTTTGGCGGTGGAGGGATCTGGCGCTTGCGGGGTGGTCATTATGCTGATTACTTTGGTTAGTAAAGATGGAACCTGGGTGTGGGTATGTGAGGTTCAGAGCAAGGGGTCGCGCAAGAATGTGTTTTATTCTACGAGATGGCCTGAAGAACGTGGGCAAGGTGGTAAGTCTTATATTGTAGTAGGGTTATTAATGGCAGGTGTGTTGGTGCAGGGATGTTTGCGGGTGAGACAAGGCTGAGGCGTGGGTAAGAAGACTGGTGTGTGTTGTCGGCCGTGTTACTTCTGTCAATCAGCCCCGCGCGCGCTTAATTCAACAACTGGCTTTGCTTCTTGGAGTTTCCTGGGAGCTTTCTGTATCTGGATCCTTATTTATCATTGCCTTGTGATAGGAAGCTTTACCAGGCTTCTGAGCATGGACCGGAGTGCATGTTTCTATAAGGGTGCTACGCGTATGTGAAGAACCGAGGGGGGACCACGCCAGCCTCGTATTCTGAAGCGGCAGAGGTGCGGCTGAAGAGGCCGGGTAATATATGAATGGAGGGGAAAATGCTGGGCATATCTGCATAAGCGGTTCATCGCGTGCTGCCAGCCCAACTGTCACTTCAACATTATCGAGAGACTCCGTGAACCTATCGTTGATTGGATTCTGGACCGGTTATTGCCAAATTGTACAGTTCTGTACAGCAGAGGCACCCCGCGCGCCAGAGGTCACGGGTAACCGTGAGGTGAGGCTGAATGCTTTGGAGTGTTCATGCTTATAAGCGGGAGTAGTTGAGCTACTGAGAGAAAACTCTGGTAACATAATGGAGCGATCCAGCTTGCTTCTGGGGTAACAGCCTGTTACATCACAGCGTTCACTTAAAGCGAGTGAGGTGTCAAGCGATGCATTGAAGAAGGCGGGGGGGAGAGACGGGCTGCGGGCGGGAATTTCCGCCGCACAATTCCCACGGGCGGTGAAGACCGGCGTTCTCAACCCCAAACCCTACCTACCCTCATTGTTTGTCTCTCACTGGACAAAAGAACAGACAGTGGGTGTGTGGCTAACTACAGGAAAAGTCAACTATGAAGGTATCTATGTGTCTAGCTGAATTATGACTGAGGATTCATGGCTATGTGCTGCGTACAGGCAACATAGCCAACTACACATTTTAGACTATTGGAAATATTAGGAGCCACAGGCTCGAAAGATCGGTACAGCCTGCAGAAGGGCATCTTTGAGATTGTAAAGTCGGCGTCAACAACTTTTATCCTGTTTTACTTGAAGGGGCCCAAAATGGACACAAGGTGGCGGTGGGGTTTGTTGTATGATATCTTCAAGCAGCCAGACGGAGATCCAGACACTATCTTGATGTTGCAGATATAGGTATGGTGAATGTGAACAGTAATCAATTCTCATAGCAAGATGGATCGGGGGGCGAATGCCCAGTAAGCAGGGTTCTCTGACACTTCCTGCAGCGCTACGAAGCGGGGGGACGTCTACTATGCATGGTAAATGTCAAAACATGATTCCTCATTAGGTTCATTCATGCTCACAATAAATACATTAAGACATTACAAAGGTAGGTCCTGATACATGGGTATAATAGAAGCAAAAGAATGACGGGGTGTTATATCAGGGTATTTGGTGATCACGTGAATGGTTTGAAGTTCACCCTCGGTGGTGTGCAGATCACTTATCCACATGAAAACCTGACCCCACAGATTTCACGTCAGCTCGCACACTAGCGTGCGTGGCTAATCTCTTCATCTTGAGCATTTGACTGCGCAGAAGGTCCCTGAGGCTGATTTGCGACCGGGGTCGAGTGCGACGCTTCCGCCATCTCCGGGTCAGCAGTAGCAGCGGGAGCAGCGGCAGCCACAGCGCCACTTGCCTCAGCCGTCGACCCCTGCCTCGACTGCGGCGCCACGCTAGACGCAGGACTGGGCTCGAGGAGGCGCGGGCCGGAGGTCCTCTCCGGTTGCTTGCTTGTCTTGACGCGCGCCGGGGCCGGACCCAGCATAGGCGGGTACTTGAAGCGGAAGCCCCAGATGAAGAAGAGCTTGAGCTTGGTCCCGAAGCCCATCGCCTTCCACCGCTTCTTCAAGACCTCTCCGTCGGCCTGCGAGCGCGCCCGGTAGCCCTTGCGGAACCAGCACAGCAGGAACAACGTCAAGGGGAGGATGGTCAGCGACCAGAAGACGGGAATGCCGCGCCTAGTCTGCCAGCCCGTCATGAGCCGGCGGAAGCGAACCCAGGCCTCGATGAAGCCCAGGATCAGGAAGAGACCGATCCAGCCGAGGGTCAGAATCAGGGTCAGGGCCAGGGGCGAGATGCCGAAGTAGTCCGGGTCAAGAAACCAGTTGTAGTTCTCGTCATCCCAGTTGTTGTAGTACCCGTTGTAGTAGCCACTGCCGTACGAGCTGGAGGAGCCAGTACTGGTTGGGTAGCAGCCGTCGCCGGTGTAGAGCTCGGTCGGTTGGTTGTACTGACTGAGGGAGCTCAGAGAGCTGCTGGGGACCTGGGTCGGGTCGACGTACACGATGTCGATGGTGTAGGTGGTGGGCTGGAAGGGCCGGCTGTTGTCGACGGACAGGGAGGTGGAGACCGCGGTCAAGGGCAGTAGGCTCTGCACGCGGACCGGCGGGTAGATCTCGGCTGCAGTTGTCGTGGTCCAGTGCGAGGAGCAGCCTGTGGGTGCCGTGAAAGTCAGATTGACCACGAACATAGTGCTGTCGGCTGCGTCCTCATTGTCGTAGAGGTAGTCATTGTAATCAGAACCCACGCCGGTGGGGTACAGCTCTTGGATGACAGTGATATCGGAATTGGAGTTGATGACTTCATTGTAACCACCATACTCGCGATCAGTGGCGATTGAGGTGATGGTGGACTTGGCCGGTGGTAGGGAGGTGACCGTGGGGGTGATTTGTTCGATTTCGGTGGTGGTATACGTCTCGTAGTAGTCGGACTCGGTGTAGACGTTCTCTTGGTAGTAGGCAGTGACGATCCAGGGAGCTGCCGCAACGAATGAAGACAGCTGGACCCAAATGAGTGACAGGAACAACAAAAACGAATGTAAGGACGCCATCATGGGATGGTCACCGGTGTGAATGGGCTAAAGGAGCACGCAGAAATTGGAGGATGGGTGTGGCGCTCACTGGCCTTATTATACGAGGGGTCAAACAACACACTAGGCTCAACTCTGTAGAGTCATGCCGTACGGAGAACCTAGTAAGGGAAATTAGCTTCAGCTCCTCCGCCGATTCTACCAGCTATAATTGGCCGGGTTTCAGACGCAGGGACTATGCGAAGGGTCTATCTTTTCTAGTCAGGGCGCTAAGACCCTCTTTACAATCTTTGTTTTCAGGGTCAATTGACTTCTGCATCAGATCTTGACCATGTGTCTCAGCTGGGTTCACACGTTCGTCTGACAATTCTTTCTAACTTAGACTTATGTCCTTTGCCATCTCGCAGAGCGTAAGGTGCCGGACACCGAGATCTATGATGGATTTCTCCGCCGACATCTCTCCTGACGAAATACCACTTCGTCGCTGGTGGGAAATTGCCGGGGGCGAGACCCGACAGGGGAAAGAGGCTAGCGGCCTCGCTTTCAGGGTTTGAATATAGGGCTATCCGCAATGCAGCCTAGTTCTTTCGACTAGCCTCGTACAGTTGGACGGTTTGTTCCGGATTTTCTCAATTGAGCCTCTTGGCCACCGACCTAGTGCGATTTAGTCCAGTCCGCAGCCCTGATTTGGTTAGCCGTGGACAAAGTTTGGCACCTGGTGCCTGCTGGTGCCTGCTGATGCCTCATAGACTCCTAACCGAGTCATGGGTGGGAAGGGGGGCGATTTCTAAGAAAAGATTTTTGCTTCTGCTGGTGTCATGCCTGAGGTGTCACTCCGGTGCCAAGACTTACCCTGTCTTCGTGCTATCATCGGCTCAATTCCCGAGCCTATAGAGTTTGAAGACCAGAGAAAACAAGAAAACGAATACAAAAAGCATTCAAATTACCTCTCGGCAAGTGTATACCCATCATGATCAGGGAGAATGCAATAATTCAAGAAGTGGACGTGTAATGGGGGTTCTATGATTTGTACATGCAATACACAAGAATGTGGACGAGGAAATATATACCCGCAAAGGAAAAGGATTTTTGAGGATGTACACGTTACTGCTCTGGTGCAACAAAGTGAGATTCAATCTGGTGAGACACACATCAATACAAAGTTAACTCTAAAACCGCCAACTGCCCAATCTCACATCTCAAGCCTTTCCTCCCGTACTAAAAGTACCCTCTGTCTGCCGTTCTATCACGGCACGACAAATTGACCCCTTAGTATCTCCACGATCCGCTACCGCCAGGGCAACCAGGCGTGCCATATTTAATGAGCAAGCGGGGAGGCAGGTTGAGTTGTGTTGAAGCTGTTGGTAACAAGGAAATAGGACTGGTTGTGGGCGGGGGAAACTGCTGAATTTCATGGTCGATGCTGTTCCCTCTGTGTGTGGCTCCCTTTGTGTTTGTTCTTTGCTTCAATCAATAGGTCTTTAGAGGTCGCTCAAGACGGAGACATGCTAATGAAAAGCTTCTGCTGTTCTTTGTACCGCTCTATACTATCCCGTTCCTTTGTTTCGACCACCCTTTTTGTCTAGAAACCACCGTTACAATGATTGATACTGGCTCGGCATCCGAACACAATAGCCTGGTCGTTCACTGTTTCTGGAGCTAATAACAAACCAATGCAGCCAGGAAACAGTCATATTCACTTCTCTGTCATCAATGTACCATTCTAGAGCTATAAGATCCATACTTGTGTCGGCCATCATTGCCCTAATGTCTTCTCGAGCTTCAACAAAGACTCCGCCGTATCCTTGATACTCGCCTCCAGGGAATAGAACTCGATCCCCAGCCGCGTGCGCACCTTCTCATTCGACACCCCATACACCTGGGGCACCTCCCGCGCCGCCTTGCCCTGAGGAACCTTCGTCGTATCGACCCCAGGCACCTTGGTTCTCAAAACCTCACAAACCTGCGCATAATCAAAATTGCCGGCGACCACAAAGAACCGCTCGTTGGCCGCCCCCTCGACCTCAAACGCGCGCAGATGCGCCTCCGCCACATCCCGCACATCCACCCAGGCCGGGAATCCCGTAAGGGGGATCTCTCTCAGACTCCCGTTCATGAACCGATACACGTCCGCGGCGCTCTCGTTCAGACGATCCAGGCTCGCTACGTGGTGCTCGACCGGCCCGTAGATCATCGGGGGACAGATCGTCGACAGGGTAAAGTTGGGCTTCTCGCGCTCCACGAACTCCCACGCGGCTTTCTCGGCCAGCGCCTTCGAAGCGCAGTACGCCGTGGGTCCGTCAGCGGTCTTGGCCTGTTCGTATGTCTCCGGGTTCCAGTCTGCTTCGGTGTAGGTGTGTTCGGGCCAGTAGCCCTTGCGGAGGTTGACGATGGCGGCGAAGGACGAGGTGAGCACGATGCGCTGCACCTGGGGGGCGTGGCGGTGGGCGGCGGAGAGGAGCTGGAGGGTACCTTGGATGGCGGGTTGGAGGAGGTCGCGTTCTTGGTCTTGGACGCTGAACGCGAAGGGGGAGGCGGTGTGGATTATCTTTTTCATCGCTCAGAGATCAGCCTATGGTCTTCCCTGACTGGGTGTATGCGGCGAGAGGGTCTTAGAGCCCAGGGGGCTACTCACGCCTTGAACTTCCTTAACGGCTTCATCGAACGCCCCCGGTTGGGCGATATCCTTGACGATTGTGAAGGATAGTTTGTCACCGTACTCCGCGAAGATCTCACGCACTCTGTCGGCAGTTTGCTCGGAGCGGACTGTGCCACGTACACGGTAGCCCCGTTGGAGGAAGACCAGGAGAATGTGCGTTGCGACGAAGCCGGAGGCTCCGGTGATGAGAATTGTTTGATCTTCGATCTTCGACATCACGTTGACTTTGCTTATGCTATGGATGACCTTGTCTGTAAGAAATGTGCCTCAAAGACTGTAGCAGCTGGGGCCAGACCACCTTAAGTAGTTTTGGGGACCTTGATTCTGAGGGCGCCTGGCCCTCTCCGGTCTGACCATAGTGGGGGATCATATAGGTGTGGACTGATGTTAACGTCGGTGTCCTGATCTCATCCTCGCCTTCTGAAGCCGCTTGTCCCATTTCGAGGCGCGGGACGGGGCATTGGCGGAACGTTTCTCATCCGTTGCACCTGTTATGGCAATTTGAGACAATAATGTTTAGTGATATAGTATCCACCACGGGAACGCGGCACCATCCTTTCATCGAGAGGTAGGATCATTAGGAAGAGGGAGTGACGACACGGCCCGCTAAGGTTGATAAGCTTCACCCGCTTAAAGTGATACTTAACAGCTACGGATAAGACTGATGTGCTTGACATTTGTCGCGGGGCACATCCCTGTATAGTGCAACGAAAAGTGCTGAAGTGGTCCAGAAGGAGCCGCGCACCTCGGCCCGGGCTCTCGGGCTTGGCTGCAGCGAGAGATTCCGGGTCTTCTTGAAAAACCTGCGCGGGTCTGGTTGCAGCTATTGTAGTATCTCAAAGTATTGTTTTGTTAGGCACACAATAATCACACAAAGAAAGGTAATATATGCGACCTCCAAGCACAGTGGCTTAATCTCTGCAAATAACTGCCTATTTAGGCAATTTCGGCCCTCGTACGAATGATATGCTCCCCAGTTGTACTCAAAGCAAAAGCGAGATCAAGGTCAATCTTGAATTGTATCCATGTGTAATGAGATCCAGTCACGGGATGTCTGCTTTGACGGAGGTATATGGTAGCACTAATCAAACCCAAACCAAAGCCGATTAAAGCTTCGCTGTTCGCACGCCCTGTCTCCAGTTCCGGGCCATCTTATCTCCTTCCGAGTTCCGAGGCTTATCTTACCCGACCGTTTCATGCAAATGCCCTAGCCAGATTGAGCAGATCAATCCGATACTGCTTGCACCAAGCGACTCGTTTAGTGTCATCGGAGCAATCCCAGAGTACGCATACTAGATTTTATCGATGATTATCAGGCTTTTGACGATCGGTCATCGCCCATCACGAGGGGAGGATCGGATGGACGGCCAAGCCGGATCCTTATCAATCTTATCGCTGCTAACTCAAGCTAGGCAACGTCGGAAACTTGACTCGAGAGCCATACTAGAGCAAGCATGCCTGCGATAATCTCGAACCTGCGTGAATAGTACTAGTTGACTTTCTTCCTTGTGCTTAGTAATAGGGAAGTACTTGGAGCTTTCTCAGTATCCTCGCTCGATAGCAAACTAGCTGGCGCCAAGGAGGGTAGGATTATAAGGGTCTTGAATGGACATAATGTACTATGTGCTGCGTACTCGAATTCATTGCATGCCGCCAAAACCAAGTATCGTGAGATTCTAGCTTTTCTCCTGTACCCCAGTCCATCGACCCTATTGGTACACTCTCCCCAATTATACATAGACATAACAAAACCTCCCCCGCAGTAATACTCATCAACTCCCGCACCCTCACCTTCTGTCCTTCACTGACAAACCCCCACATTCACCGCCGTCTTCAATGTGTCACCGAAGGCGGCTCATTCAGGAACTTTCACGTCCCGCAATCGCGTTTTGCCTCTCTCTAGATTAAGACTTTGCCAAATCTACCATACCCAATCAATCATCCCATAATGGTGCCAGAACGCCACATCCCCGGAGCTGACCTACACGTCGCGGCCGGGGTTCCCACCCATCAAGTATTGACCCCTGCCGGGCACGCCAATTGTCCCGCTGCCGGAGGCGCCCTGCATTGTGATCTGGAAGTTGTAGATGGATGTGAGGGCAGTTGCTGCAGGCACAACACGGGGCTGATGTACTCCTTCTTTTCTGGGGAATTGAAGGCTCGCCAGTTACGCCGGACACGAAAAGGCAAAGCCCAGTCCTGTGAGACTGACAGTTCCACAATAAGAGTCTGAAGAGCGATCCTGTTTGCGACTTCAAGCCTGGGAGAATAGAAGAACAGGATCGCTCACCCGGCTGACCGGACGGACAGAAATTGGCCTTCTCTTGCTACCTATGGGCCCACCTATTTAAGTAGCCCAGTCTATACAGGATGAAGTTCAGTGGCTGGAAGTTTATTTCATTTCATGAAGATCTCGTATCCAACAATCAGCTGGCGGGTCGGAGAAGCACGAAAGCCCTAATCTGGGCCGGGCAATCGCTTGGAGCGGGAGGGGACCACTCACATTCTAGAGAATTCCCATGGGCCAGAGACACGTCAGTATGCATGAGATGTAGCAGGGATCTGACATCAAACCACTTCATATACAGGTAGTCGTTCTGGAGGGATTGTCCGGAAGACAGAGGAATCTAGCCTTGCGCGGTCGGGGAACGTCTCTTCCAGTGCAGATCCATCTTAGAATCCAAGTTCACCAGGTAGTAGCTACTGTACCGGATACTACACTTACAGGTCTCAATTCTTTGTATTTTTCAAGCATCTCACTCCCATATTTATTTAAAATATTATCGATGCAGCGAGTCGATATTTGCCAGATGCGTGGCTCAACGTCTGTTCGGCTACCCTACGTACTCAACCCGATCCCGCCGGTCGCTGTCCGACTGATCGGCATCATCGCCGAGAATGCCATCCAGCCATCCAGTAATAAGATACTCTCTCTTCAACTTCCTCGACAATCTCAACAATACAGCCGTCGGAAACGCCAATATCTCACCTCGCCTTCCTCGCCTGCTTATCCTACTGACCCCACCCCCCAAACAAGACTTCATCCCGAACCCAGCTCCCAAGCAAGCATGCACTCCCGGGCCCCAGCAACAACGACCCTCCCAGCGCAGCAGGAGCCATTCTCTTCCACTGAAACTCCCACCCCCTCGCCGCCCACGCACTCCGAAGTTCCAGGATTACCACAATCATTACCGTCAAGTACCCGGCTACTTGATCCCAGAGTAAGAACCCACGCACACCGTCGCCGGGGGATTTGGCTTGCAGGCCGATGGCCAGTGGCGGGATGAAAATAGCGGTCGGGTGGAGTTCCCTGCGGTAGATTGGTTGAAGGATGGTTGGGAAGAGCACGGTGGTGATAGAGACGGCCACGATGGAGATGTGCATCAGTGTGCTGAAGAGGAAGGCGGGGATGGTGGCTGCTCGGATGGCGTGGATGTGTACTTCGTTCTTTTTGGAGGTTGCTGGAGCGGTACTTACTAGGGTGGTGAGATTTAGGAGAGGGCGCAGGGTGTAGAGTAATGCCAGCGTCAGCAGGGGATAGAGGTTCCAGGCGACGATGGCGAGTTGGTGGAAATCGCTGCTGTTGCTGATTGACCTGGCCACGGGAAGGGTCATGAGCGCGGCAGGGACAAGATAGCTGAGGACGATGGCGGGGAAGAGAAAGCACTTCATCAGCGGTGCGAAGGATGAGATAATAGAGGTGTGCTGGAGAGTGTTGAGATTGATCTGTTTGGGGAGGCGAACAGTGGGAGAAGTGGCGATGTAGTTCAAGGCCCATAGGAAGCCGGTCGAGCCTATGGTGCAGCCTTGGAAGAGTAATAGCCAAAGAGTTGGTCTTTGAACCCAGGAGAATCGATGTTAGCCTGGGTGATGATTACCTTTGTCATTAGAACAGAGATCTGCGTGATGCACATACTTCAGAAGACTCGGCCTTTCGCCTCGGATACCATTTACGTAGGCGATGACAATGCACGGCAACAGCTGTCCGAGAAAATATAGACTAACTGCTGAGGCAGCTGGGTGAGAACCGTCGATAGCCTCGTACCAGAAAGCAATCAGCACCGAAAGAGTGCAATCAAGTGGATAGCGAATGCCAGTGAAGGTTCTCCGGAGAGTGGCCTCGGTTCCGGGAAGAATGTAGGGCTTAGAACCATCCAGCGTCCGTAATAAAAGCCCAGTGGAGCCGTCGAGCGCGGAACGGCCCCAGGTCCCTAGCATGCCCACCAGGCCCACTAGATACAACAGCGACTCAGATTGGACTTTTGCGGACATCTTGTTTCAGAGTAAAAGACTTCACGGGTGAGAATAAGATAGGACGAAAAATTTGGGGTCTTTTATAGTTGACTCTTCTTTGTTGACAGCGGATGGAGATACGAGCTGATGTGAGCGAGGGCTGTGGATCATGACGTCACTTACACCATTCACCCCGCCAGCTGATTTCAGCTGTATACGAGCGGCCTTTCGTCTGCTGAGTGAGTTCTCCTAGGATAATGGTGACAACGTTTTACAAGGGGTCCAACCGCTCTCGAAACAGGATTTCATTTCGTCTTGAAGCTTTGGCCTAAGTCAGACCTTAAGATCACAAGGGAGTTCTATAAACTCGAGACCAGCGGGTAGCTTAATGGAAGCACTTGTCATCCATTCAGCATCAAAATTCCTCAAAGATGGAAGCAGCCCTCTGGGCGACATTCCTTGGATTCTTGGATGAAGAAAACACGAAGTTGGCATAAAGGATATTATAAAAATTACATATGCATAGATGATCTCATTATACACATCTTCAGACCCTATCTCTCCTACTGATCTTGTTGCTGCTGATCCTGCTGCTTCTTCCTTTCCTTGGCCTCCGCATCCGCTTGCTTCCACGACCCGGCATAATGATGGCTCACCAACGCCGGACTTTGATCCGTGGGGAACCCATTCTGCGCCGCCGCAAACGCATTCCCAGGCATGATCAGCAAATCCCCCACCAGTTTCGGGGATTTGATGTCGTGGAAATCTCGATCATCCACCACCCTGCCCAGTAGCCCCTGCAACCCATCCAACAGCGCAATGGTCATGATCTTCGGGCCCGTGACATTCACCACGTCGATGGGCAACATTTCCAGCGTCAACTGGTCCACGCCCACCCCATTCAAGGCTGCGATCTCCTTCAACTTGGCGACGACCGCGTCCACCACCGCCGCCAGATTGCGGGACCCCGGCCGCGCCGCGAACACCCAGTTGCAGAATTGTGAGGCCACCTCGGTATCTTCGCCGCGCCACCCGAAGTCGAACTCTAGCCCCACGATCATGTCGATATTGGAGGCGTGGTACTCCGGGGGCACCCAGGCTACGAGCTCCGTGTCGCAGGTGACGTCGAGGTCGCTCCAAATGCCACCTTCCGCTAACACGATCAGGTAGCGGAGGAGGTCGGCGCGGAGGATGGGGATGGGGAGCTTCTCGTAGACTTCGACAATGTCCGGGCGGGTGGCGCCGTAGCGGGTGCGCACAAAGGTGAGGGCGGAGCCGTCGGTGAGGAGCTCGTGGCGGAAGGCGGGGTTCTTTAGGAGCCAGCTGTTGATCCAGCTGGTTTGGTCGGCACTGAGCTCGGGGGTCTTGGAGGAGTGCCAGACTTTGTCGGTTATGCCGGCGATGGCGGTGTTGATAGTGTGGGGATTGGAGTTAGAAAGGGTGGTGGGAAGAGTGGTGGGAAGAGTAGTAGCAAGAGTAGTAGGTTCTGTTTGGAGGTTGTTGCTGTTGTTGCTGTTGTTGGCGCCACTCTGTGGCGGATGATCTTCAGATAATCCTAACAAGGCATCCGGCTTGCTGTGACTGAATGGTTGGGGTATTACATCCCAATTCTGAGATACAAGAAATACCAACAAAAGAAAAGAGACCGTGAGCAAAATAAAACGCATATATCGAGAAGAAATCATGTTGACCAGCAACAGGTGAGAGACAGCAGGAGATCAAAAGTGAGTGAACATTTGGCTGAGTAACGTAGGGACGGATGGAGCAGCGTGGGTATGATGTGATTTTTAAGAGAGAGACATGGAAACAAGTCAGGGTCTAGTCCTGTTGCCTACGGGCTTACTTAGCACGTGGGTGCTGCTTTAATTAGCGTAGGCGCCAAGCCGTCACAGCTTTAGCCAATATGAGTTTAAGCTTACCAGAACATGTCTCACTGGCGGCAAATCATCTCGGGTTGGGGAGAAGCACTCGCCCTCGCTTACATGGAACCCTGGCAAGACTAAAGATGGCACTAACTTTGCACCAACTTACCAATGATACAAGCCTCTAGTCAGGCCCGCTTTGACTCCAAGACTAACCCAATTTAAGAAAAGCCCAACTCCCCATCCGCGGCGCTGTAGGTAGCGAATAACACCATCGCCCTAGTAGGCGTTCGCGCTAAATCTCGTGCCTTTACTGCTGCGGATGTTCTGCTAGAGAACAACACTCTTGTCCGACACAAGGCTACGAGCACAACGAACATGTGTCTGGGCAAGGATTTCCACCCTTATCAAACGGTAATGTTGATGTTGCCAAGGTACAAGAGCGAGGGCCCCTCTCTGCGCTCGGGGGCCGAATCTTATGCTTTATGCTGTACCAGCCTCGTTTGAAACTGTAGGCTAAATGACTGGCGTTCGCTGCCATTTTCGACTTTTGGTGTGCCTGTTCTCTGCTTGCTCTTCCTCCATTACAGGAGTTTCCTGATTCATTCGAATACAATGTCGTCAGCATTCAGGCTTATTCCACATGGCCCCTCGTCTTCCTCGTGCTCTGTCTCCAAGACACCCACGCTCAGACGACAGTCGACGTCTCCATCGAGAGCAACGCACATTTCATCGGGTGGTATCTAGGTCCAACAGGCAGTGAGTGCTCCTTCCATCTGTCGAGATAGCCAAAGGTTCCCGTCCTTAAAACCAGCCGCCCATGCACAGCGTAAGCATTAACCGATCCCAACACCTGGACGACATCCGGCACCTACGCCGCAGGATGCTCAGGGAGTGCTTGTTCCTTTGCAACGCTATGCACAGCCAACATCCTTTTCTACAATAACAATGAGAGTCTCGTCTGATAAGGTCCACCCTCAAAGCAACCCACAACCTCCTCAACTGGTAGTTCCTCCAAAGCGTGGATCGCGGGTCCGGTCGTGGGGGCGGTAGTGGGGGTGGCCATCATTATCGGCGGAGCGATCCTCTTCCTCTCTTGCAGGCAGAGACGGACCTTCCACCCCCAGGCGCAATATGATACTGGCTCGAGGTACCCTTACGGGGGCCACGGAAGTTTTGTCCAGCAGCAGCACCAGCCGTCACAGGAGAGACATGAATTGTATCAGGAGCATTTTGCGGCCACATGGCCTGCAACGGTGTATGAATTGCATTAGAGCATCTTTGTGTCTGAAAGGGAGAGGGTGGCTCTAACTTGGAAGCAATGACTGGTATCGCCGGCAAGGTATCGCTTTACAACTTTCACTTTCGATGTCTTTCACAGCACGCTTCCTCCGATCTGAAGATACAAAGCATGAGGAAGCCCGAAAATACTGAGCTTTTTTTGTTCACCACCGGGCATCCCGGACAAAAATGATTACTTCTGCCTTCGTGGGTTGGAATGGCCATCACGAATGCGTGATTGATATACAGCAGTTAAATGTAGGTAAGAAAAAGGGTTCGAGATCTACTTTAACAACTTAAGACATATTCCATCTGCTATTGAGAAATAGAAGTTGATTCGATGGCTTCGACAGTTTCGTGATATTCGCGGCGAAGAGGCGGTTCCGTGGTTGATTATGTTGACTAACTCCCTAGAGTCAAAAATAACTTAACGGTTTGCTGTTCCAGCGGTTCGCTGTCCGAGTACGATGCCTTATGACCTAGGTGATGATGTAAGCCCCTTCGGCCAACATATCGATCAAGAAGTCCCAAAGCCCGCCCACTGCATGAAGTAAAACACTATTTTTCCAGCTCATATTCAACTTTCACAGATTTGACCAATCTCGCAGCGTTCATGAAATGTCTTCAAAGGTCCTTTTCCGCCGAGTGGCGCTTCTTACTCTCGGGCGACGCGCCCCTGCGTCCGTGTCGCAACGGCCGCTCACTACACAGCAAAAGGCGATTGTCAAGTCGACAATCCCCGCACTCCAAGAGCATGGCGTGACGATCACCACCCTCTTTTACAAGCGTCTGCTTGAGGCGCATCCAGAACTAAAAAACATCTTCAACACCGCGCATCAAGCAACGGGGGAGCAGCCGGCAGCCCTGGCGCATGCTGTGTGGGCGTACGCATCTAACATCGACCAACCCGAGGCCCTAAGTACGGCCGTGTCTCGCATTGGACACAAACATGCCAGTTTGGGCGTCATGCCCGACCATTATCCGGTCGTCGGTGAGCATCTTCTGGTCGCAATTAAGGATGTCCTGGGACCGGCCGTCGACGAGGAAGTACTTGCTGCGTGGGCCGCAGCTTACCAGGAGCTGGCCGACATGTTCATCAATTTCGAAGATCACCTCTACAAACAACATCTCAGACACCCGGCGGCTGGGTAGGATGGCGGAAATTCTTCGTCTCTCAGAAGACCTCCGAGAGCGAAGAGATTGTTTCCTTCTACCTTCGCCCCGTCGACCAGGGCGCTCTGCCCGAGTACCACCCCGGCCAGTTTGTCAGCGTACGATGCTATGTTCCCGAGCTGGGCTCCTATCAACCGCGGCAGTATAGCCTGTCGGACATCCCGAACGGCCAACACTTCCGGATCTCCGTCAAGCGGGAGATGGCGAACGATTCGAGACCAGCCGGTCGGATCTCGAACGTTTTGCACGAGTCACTGCCCATCGGCGCGGAACTGGACGTGAGTATGCCGTCCGGCGACTTCGTGCTCGATATCAACGCCACCACTCCCGCCGTGCTGATCAGCGGTGGCGTGGGCCTGACGCCCATGATGTCGATGCTGAAAAGCATTGTCGGCCAACAAGGTCCGTCTCGGCGGGTGGTGTTCATCCATGCGGCACGGAACGGGCGCGTCCACGCCATGAAAACCGATCTGAACCAGATCGTTGCGGAGAATCCGATGGTGAGCCGCATAGTCTTCTATGAAAATGCCGACGCAGACGACACCCGCGGTGTGGATTACGATCATACTGGGCGCGTGGACTTGGCTCGGATCCAAGGTGAAGCTGTTCTGCCTGATGCAGATTACTACATCTGTGGGCCGCAACCTTTCATGAAGGCGCAGAGCAAGTGCTTGGAGGCATTGGGTGTGCTACCGGACCGCATCCACATGGAGGTTTTCGGCTCTCCGCGTGATTGAGCGACATATCAGATGCCTGTTGTCATAGGGAACTAGGTGGCCCATGTACTTGAGCTCTGTATTTTTACTCAAAAGGGAGAGCGGAGAGAAAGCGGTGTCTATTGAATTTCGTGCATAAGAAGATGTCGAGCCAAGGTGCAGAATCATATGCGCCGCCAGTAGTACAATTCTGGAAGATATCTCAAGGGTGGCCATGAGTTGCCAGGATTATCTGGCCATAGTAGCACATACAAGCCATGGGGAGCTATTAATAGGGTTGTTACCTCGATGGTTGGGCTGCTGTCCCTACCGCTTGGCATCAGGTTTTGAGGTGGGCAAGGCAACGCGGCTAGGCGGCATTGATTCGAACAAAGCAGAACCTGATGATGACTCTTTGCAACAATACCCACACTTTCCGACCAGCGACGATATTGCTCGGCGATAATCAAAGAGAACTTCAGGTAGGCAATTGGCTTACTGCTAAGTACTTTCATGAGTAGGATATACATAAGATTTCCGGCGAGTATATGACGTCATTCAACACTCGAGCACCCAGGAAGGCGTGTTTCGGTTCATGTTACCGGTCATCAATTGTCTCCAGAGTCAAGCTAGTCTGCGGATCATGCTATTCAGTCTGCTGCGGGTGGAGGAAAACATTCAGATGTAGAGATTAACACTTGTTTAACAGATAGCTATGGATCTTTTTCTGGTAAAGATAAGAAGTTCCAATATTGACCGTCTCAAACTTGACACTTGGCGCATACGATTAGCCAGTTGAAACGAGAAAGGCACTACGAAGAGAGCCAAATAGCAAAAGCATCCTCGGGGCAGAGAAGAGATAGAGTGTCTGATTCCACGGCTAGGGCAAAGTAACGAGGGTCTTTAATATCCTCTCGTTATCGATGATGCAGCTACAGGTTGTCTCAATGTATGATGAGTGATTATACCTAGAATACAACGATCTTACCGCGTACTGTGAGAATGAGCATTGAAGTTTGGTATTAAGCGACTTGAATTAGTAAAAAGACGGGGTGATAAGAACTAATATACTGTTTAGAGGATATGGCAAAAGAGCATAACCGTGATGATTAGATATTGTAGTTGTTATCTTTTATTATGTCCCATTGTGTGCAGACGATCATTGATGTAAACGGTTGGTATAGGCTAGTAATAAAACAGTTCAGAACAGAAAGCGGTGATTCTGGCGGGCTGCGGAAAGGGGGCAGAAAAAAAAAAAAAAAAAAAAAAAAAAACAAATCTCTACCGTATTTTGATGTGAAGCCCAAGCTCCTATCAACGAAAATCTACTGCCTAAGGCATCAAACAGTGGATCTTCGAGTCAAATTTCAGCGGCTTGGCCAAAAGGAGTGCCTGACTATAATTCAAAGCCGGGCTGTTCAGCCACAAACATCCACCATGCAAGATAAAATGGCTTTCCCAACCCTCCCAGCAGAGCTCATCCGCCACATCATATTTCAATCCACCCCGCCCAAACAATGGGGCAAGTACTGGCCCTCCACGCGGGCCGTGGACGACGTCAAGGACTTTCTCGCGCTGAGGCTAGTGTGCAGTATGTGCCCCCACTCGGTGTTAATCAGCGACCTGAATACTCATTACGGTAGAGGATTTCAACCACATCATTCTGGATTACTTCCTCGAACCGCGGGTTTTGACCAAGGACTTTGACTCTGCGTGTCTGCAGCGGAGTGACCCGCCCACACCCCCGGCTGTCCGCTTCTGCCGGAGACTGCTGAGTCGGCATTTAATGCGGAATCGAGCCGGGGGTCAGATCAATGAAGTGTCGAGGAAGTTTGCTGAGCATGTGAATGGGGTTGTGGATGTGGCTGTTGATGCGTTACGGGATGGTAATGAGGATGGTGAGGAGGTTCAGAGGCTGCAAAAGACGTACACGGAGGGCATGGCGGCCGCCGTGGTAGCGTTCGGGGGTCTTACTAAGGCGATGTTTCAGGGGTTAGCTGGAACAAAGCCGGAGAGGGATGGTGTGGAGAACGATCAGGATGAGGATGAGCTGGAGGACGAGGGAGAAGATGATGATGATACGGAGTGGGCGTGGAGCGATCCACTGACCATGGCGCTGACTGCGGCGGGGATCCTGTGCCGAGTCGACGACATGAAGACTCTAATCGCCAAGGGTGCGAGGCCCGGGTTCGAAGAAGATGCGGGATGGATTGGCTTGCCCATTCACGGCGCTACGATCGGTGGCAACGTCGATGCCGTTAGCTTCCTTTCCGAGCACATTCGGAAGCAAAGTGTACTCGACGACGATGAAATCATGGAGGACTGCCTGCACACGGGGAACACGGCGCTGCATTACGCCGCACAGTATGGTCACGGCGAAGCCGTGCAGTGGTGCTTGAAAGAGGGATTCAAACCAGATGACAGGAACAAGAACGATCAGACGCCGCTCTTCCTTGCTGCGAGTAGCGGGCATGCCGATGTCGTTCACAAGTTGTTAGACCTGGACTTTGATCGGGCGGAGACGGCGCTGGAGCCGAAGCCTGAAAGGTCTGCAGATAAAGGGTCTGATGATGATGATGATGATGATGATGATTGGTTTGCGATGCAGCTCGCTACAGTTGACGTCGAAGCGGATGATTACCGCGGCCGAACCCCAATGTTGATGGCCGTACAACGAGGGTACCTGGACGTCGTTGAAGAGCTGATGCGGAGAGGGGATTTGCTGATCAACCGACGGAACCCTGAGGAATACAGGATGACCTACCTAGCGACAGCAGCCTCGAGGGGTCACGACGAGATCTTTCTCCGGCTCCTTTCGCACCCGGATATCAAGAAAGGCGCCATAGACAGCAGCGGCCATGGGATACTAAAACATGCAGCTGTCGGCGGCAACGAGAATATCCTGCGGAAGGTCTTGTCATGGCCCGATGTGGACATCAACCGGCGCGGCGAGGACGACTCGACCGCAATCATGTGGGCTGCGCTACACGGCCACGAATCCATCGTCCGGCTGCTGGTTAAGAGTGGCGCAGCCGTGGATCTCGTCACCCACCAACTACATCTCCTGCTGATGAGATACTTCGGCGTCCACGGCGACACGGGCACCGACGCAATCGACAACCGACTGCTGGGAGCAATTACGGGCCAGGTCGCAGTGCTGGTAGGCGCGTCGGCGCTCGACGCCGCCGCACACAACGGCCACGAAGGCACCTTTCGATTGTTGATGTCTCAGCCAGGCGTCGAGCTTGATCGGCCGGACTTGGATGGCCGGACACCGTTTGCCAATGCAGCTCTCACAGGAAATGCGGGCATCGTCAGAATTCTGTTGGCGCAGGGTGATGTGCTCAATCCTGAAGCGCCTGATAGATTCGGCCATACGCCCTTGATGCTTGCGGCGCGGGCTGGCGATGAGGATGTCGTCAGGGTTCTCTTACAGGACCCTCGCGTGGATAGCAGCCGGAGGGATAAAGAGGGGCATTCTGCTCTGGTCCTTGCGGTGAAACAGGGCTCTGAGGATCATGAGAGTGCGGTGAAGCTACTGTTAAAAGCGGTTCGATCGAGACAGGAGGTTGAAGAAGCCCTGGCAGCGACCGAGAAAGCAAGCATGCGTGCACTTCTGAGTTTATACCTGCAGATGAAGTCTGAGAAAGTCAACGAACGGCACAGTTTGGATTAAGAATCAACCTTTCTCTTATTTCCTCATCTCGACAGGCTATCCCCCCTCATGCCCAACACAGAGAAAATCGCGCATCTACACAGGTAGCCGAGCTCACATCTTCACCACTGAGGAAGACACGGGCCTTTCGGAGGAAAAGTGGGGCGTATCATGACCATCCTCCTTGGTGGTTAAGCGGAGAGACTGTCTATCATGGTATGCTCACGCATTTCTCAATCTTCGGTTTCTTTGCGATAATGGCACGGTGTCACCTACTTCCTGTGCTATTCTTTTTGACAGTCCGTAACAGTGTGAATATCGGGACTGTAAAACCGGTGGATTTCGGCTGATCTGGGAGGAGGGAGGAAGGATCTACACGCGGCGGCCGGTGCCCACTGATCAGAGGCAGGGAGTCCAACAACACAGATTAAGAATAGACACCTTCGGTAAGCACACATGGCATCATATCGTGGGGTTTGGCGATGGCGGGGTGAAGCGGGTATCGGAATCGAACTGTAGTGTACGCCACGTGGCGGTAGGGAAAGGCAAATAGACTATCTACCACTGGAATAGGAATAAATCGGCGAATCCTTGATCCTTGCCCTTGCAACCTTATATTGGCAATTGCCCTGGACTGGATGGGTGCGTTCGGTTGAACGGGTTTATCGGAGGCACATCGGGTCTATTGATAAACTTCCCAGCGTCGGGAATCTCGCCGAATGTGTCGAAAAACTGCCGATCATGGTTGCTTGGGTGGATGTCACCTTTCCTGCCAATCACGTCTCCGGGGAACCTTTTCCCTCTACAGTCCCGCATGCCCCGAAACCAGGAGCTAGCTCTCAACTTTGGAAGCACCTGGCGCACGCCTGCAGTAATGACCTTTGTGCCCGTGGCTTTGCCAGAATTCGGTTGATGAGCAAGTGCAATTCTTTGGCAACCTCAATAGTGGTTGTTACCATTCGCAGCCGCAGCCCAGATATGTTCGAACCTGATCAGAGCAGCGTGGGTTTTGCTGGAGACTGGGCATTTTGAGATCACTTTTCAATTCTTATTAGCGGAGACTTCGTGTCTAGTGTAGGCTTGGGTGGGATTCCGCTGTTGACATCTGCGGTCTTCAGTACCTGGTTACAGGAGTGACAAATCGTATATACCTCCGATGACTTGCAGCAACCATTGCTAATTGCGCAGCTCAACACAACAATAAAACACGCAGTTTGTGGAGCAAGGAAACCGTATCTATTACGCGATCTATCAACTATACCCAACAAACATACTCCACTAAGACTCGGCACCAGCACGGTGAAGAATCATGTCCGAGCAGTACGGCACACTTGACCGATCAACGTAGGTGGCCACACCCCTTCGTGCCAGACAAGGGGCTTACTTGAGAGGATCGGCAGCAGGCGAGCTATTTGCCGTCGAGGGCTAGACTGTTCGTAGCCGGACCCGCCTCTATCCAACCTCTTCCACCCGAATCGCGTAGGTAGGGTGATCGTGGGAATTGTGCTACATAGCCCAGGCGTGCTAGTACCTACTGTCTTCATGCAAACGGCATTCATTTCCGACAGACCATTCGCTCCTGAAGCATTCTTTCTCTGACTTCTTCTCGGCCGGCCCAGTCACTGCGACAGGCTGTCGAAGCCAGCCAATGGATCGGACTCACCTTAAAAACCACATATCACTGGCTGAATAGCAATTTAGTCATCAAGAAACAGCACAAAGGGTCAGCCGTGACTAAGTTAAGTTACGGAAGTCCTAGCCGGACCATTGGGAATCCCGGAAGTCTCTGGGTTTGTGGCACCCACAATCTGTTAACCGATCAAACCACTACGCGCTTCATCAAAACCCATGGTTTTGTCATATGCTGAAGTCAGCCATGTCTGTGGCGTGGTACTCTAGCGATGACTTTCTATCGTGTTTGATTAGTAGTCTGATGGACCAGCGATTGATCTTGCATTCGGAAGCCCTATCTCACTGTCTAACAAACCGATCTGGAGCACTTGATCTACTGTCATTAGATCAGCGGGGGAAATGGGATATCCTCCTATCGCTCTCATGTCATGCACTACCAGAAGCACGGTTTATTGTGCCTGTTGGAAGGCGACGTGCATGGGGGCCCTCATGATCACTGCAACACTACTGCGGCCGAGCCGATCCCAGCACCACATAACATATCCCTATCTTGAAGAGCTTTAGACTGGATGATATGAAGAAAGCATCAGAAGTGACCGTTTCTAGTAATGAACTCGGATGCTTCCGCTGGATCCCCGACATCCGGACTGACAGCACAATTGTTCTTTTCTCAAAAAACACCATACCAATCGGCGGCGCTGATCCACGGTTTGATTCGAGACGGCCCGATGTCGGCCGCTCGCGTCGGCTGGCAGCAATTAGAGAAAATTTCAGATTATCCCATCATTGTGACGTTTCCGCCACAGGCACGCCAAGGAACTCGCAAGGGACCCCAGAAATCAACGCCAAGAGATTCTTCGGCTCCGAACGTGACCCGCTAGAAGTAGGAGTATGTGCTTTCTCGGCTATTGTGCGTTTCGCAACTTACCTTGTTGCAAGTATATATACTTCATAGCGTTCTACGAAGACCTGTTATGGGGCCTAGGAGTATTTGTTGTGAGTATGTGAGTAAAACTTCGCCTTCATCTATGGCGTTTTGCATTCCACAGGTAAGCTATCTTACACGGGGCTCTTGCTGACCGGAGCGGTTGCTAATGGTACACCTCTCCTGGTAGTTCTTTTGACCTTTGACCTACATCGAACGAGCCAACGACTATAATTATTTCCATTCTCGCCTTGTACGATGGCCCGCCCTCACGACACACCTGGACTAATAGAGCACGCTGTGCGCGACTCGATACTTACCGCTCTTACGCAACTGGCTGCATTCCGCCTGGGCTATGGGCGCACCTTTACCGCGTTAGCTACCGGTGATACATCGATTGTTGTTGCGGAAGCGACGACATCGTGCGCCACATCTGAGGAAGGGGAACTCAACACCGCAAGTCTCGTTGGTGTCCTTGCCCCCAGCTTAGAGAGGGGGCAAGGTGGGGACACAAAAGCACCTAGTTGGACCAGACAGCACGTCATCTTAGACATAGGCGAGGACGACGTGAGCTTAGAAAGTCATCCACTTGTCCAACGATCGCAGGCTCGCTTCTACGCAGATGTCCCTGTATGTGACCTCTCCGGGATTCAGATCGGTACCTTCGGCGTGGTCAGCAGGAGCCCTCGCTCCTCCTTCCCAGACAATGCCCTCGCAGTTTTGCACCAGACTTCTAGGACTATTGCGGAGCATCTGCATACCATTTTGGCGCGCAATGAGCGCTTGCGAGCGAAGAAGCAGCTCCAAGCGCTGACATCTTTGGCCACCGAGCGGAATGGGTTTCCTGACACTGCATCAGTTTACGCAGAGGCGTGCACACTACTCCAGGCCAGCATGAACCTGGACGGAGTGATTCTGATTGATGCATCTCGTCTCCATTCGCAAAGCGATTCTACAAGGTGCCTATGACACGCACTGGAATCGGAGGGTACGAACTAACCTGTTCTTAGGTCGTCTTGCACTAGCTTCTGCCACATGGGAGGGCAATCCGACTGCGCGCATCCCAGACGCCGCTCATCATCGAAACTCTGCGGTCTCCTGGGCTCTGCGATCTCCGAGGAGTACTCTACAAAGTTTTTGGGAGGGGAACCCCCTACGCTAGACGAAGACCTGATAGGGAACTTGCTCCTGATGTTTCCGCATGGCCAAATATTCAATGCAAGCCAGTCTATGGATACACGCAATACAGTCCATCAGACCGTAGCTAGAGAACTATTCCGAGCGGTTCCTAATGCAGCGTCGCTTATGTTTGTCCCACTTCAGAATGATGATATGTCTCAAGGGCCCGCTGCGACGATCGTCTGGGATTGTGACCGTCAACTGGGTGATGATGACCTCGGTTACCTGAAAGTACTCGGGGATATAATCACCTGCTGGGTCGCTCGAATTGAGGGAAGCTCCCTCAAAAAATGCAAATCGGATTTCTTGTCATCGATAAGCCATGAGCTGCGGTCGCCGCTTCACGGAATGCTGGGGAACTGTGAGTTGTTACAGTCTACGGATCTCAGCCCCACTCAGATGGATATGGTTACAATGGTCGAGACCTGCGCAAAGACGCTGCTGGATACATTACACTGCCTGTAAGACCTACTTTTTGGGATCAATAGGGATGGGTAGCTAACGACCTTACACGAAATAGGCTCGACTTTAACAAGATCAGCACTCTCACGCAGACGCAAAAGCGGTGCAGTAATATGGCTGCGGATCTCTGGGGAATGGCGACGGACTTCGATCTCAGTTCCCTTGTGGAAGATGTGACAAACGTCGTGCTTGCCGGGCACCGACACCTCAACGAGACATTTAAGAACTCTGGCTGCACCGGGCCGGTACAGGATGGAGTGAATTCAGTAGAAGTGGACCCGGGGAGGAAGTCGGAAGATCTTGTTGTCGTGGTTCGGGCTGAGAACCAGATTGATTGGAGGATACACTCCATCTCTGGCGCCTGGAGTCGGATCATCAAGAACATCTTCGGCAACGCGTTGAAATTCACCAACTCTGGGGTGATTGAGATTGCTCTCGACCGGAATCAACAGAAGCGCCACGGGCGGACGACTGACTTTGCACACCTACGAATAACGGACTCTGGCTGCGGGATTGCTCAAGATTATCTTGAGAACAACCTCTTCACTCCCTTTTCCCAGGGGTCTATCCTCACTGAAGGGGTCGGACTCGGTATGAGTATCACAGAACGGCTTGTAAAACATTTCGGGGGCTACACCAAGGTGGAGAGCCACTTGGGAGTTGGGACACAGGTTGACGTTTACATTCCGGTCGAATTCGTGCAGGAGAAGTCTGTAGCCACGCAGCCTCCGGATCCGAAAGTCCGTCCGGAGAAACCACTACGCGTTGTCATGGTTGGGATGAACCCTGATTCGAAGGGGGACGAGATGGGCCAAGGCCTAAGCACTGATGCAAAACGCAGACTCGCCATCGTAACCTCGATCAGCAGCCTTCTTTCTCGCCATGCGCACCACCAACTCTCCTTTGCTGAACCCTCAAACTGTGGTGGTGGCGGCGGTGGTGACATCGCAATAATAGAGGAACCGACATGGAAAGCAACACCAGGAATTGACTTGCGTAAGTCCCGATTCCGTTCGGTCATTGTCATTGGGGGATTTGGGCTCGCTGCACCGCGGCACCTCGTTGTGGACGGTGTCGACGTATTCCACATTCCACAACCGTACGCCACCCTGTCATGATTTCTTCCAGACACGTACTAAAGGGATCTAGCCTCGGCCCCAAGGGATTTCTCCGCACCTTGCGAGAAATCACGGATTTACAGAGCTCTACGAGTGCTGGTGAGTATCGTCTGGCCGCGCGCCCTATATCGGTTGTGCCGGCGCGGCCACGGTCGTCAGTCGAGGACTCTGATAAAGCCGAGAGCTCCAAGTCTCCACCAGCGGTCAAGACACGCACACCGAACTATGCGCGGTCCCTTCCCCAGGCCCCGGCAGAGGGGGCTATATGCGTACTGGTTGTGGATGATAATGAGATCAACCTCAAGGTATGCATCCTATATCCCGGGGATGGTTACCATCCGAAATCAAGTTAATGATCCGCGCAGGTTCTCTCCATGTTTCTGAAGAAGATCGGATGTACCTTCGAGACTGCATCTGATGGCAGTGTTGCATCAGACAAATACAAGCAGGCAACCAGAAAGTTCGACTACGTACTGATGGGTATGCTCCCCGCCCGCTATTGCAGCAACAGCCCTAACCTGCCCAGACTTATGCATGCCGAGGATGGACGGAATCGCGGCCACGAGCGAAATTCGACGGTACGAGGAGGAGCATGGCCTTTCCCGCACCGCCATTTTGGCGTTGACCGGAGTAGCCTCCTCCGAAATGCAGGATCAGGCTTTCGCGGCCGGTATAGACGACTATTTGCTCAAACCCCTTTCCCTAAACGGCTTGAAGCATATACTAGGCGTATCCTGAAGCCATAAGGCCTCTGGGCTTTTTTTTTTCTTTTTCTTTTCCTTTTCCCTTTTCTGTTGTCATGGTTTTACTTGTTTCACAACTGCATCCTTGCAAAGGCTAGTATAGAGAGCGTTTCTTCAACTTGTTGTTTAATTGAGATTCCACCGCCCAGCTTAAGCCATGGAATAACTGACAGTGTAGATAAGGTCCTTGTTATGTCTACGTACTATCGTACGCATTTCCCTCTGCATCGGTAGAGTATGTCCATTGTAATTTGCCACAGACTCAAGTCGCAAAGCCTACAGCCAAGTCCAAGGTCAATCCTGAAGAAATCTACGTGAAGATATTTCACTAGCAATACTGACTTAAGAATGGATTGCAACATGTGGCAAAGTAGCCGGAGTGTCCCCCGTTCCCTGTTCTCCTCCTGTTGGTTGTAGGGGAATATGAGTCCTCTCCTCAACCACCAACGCCGATCAGCAGCTGTAGCTGAAACTTCCACAGCCGCTGATCTTCTCTCAGACCGGACGAAGAATGAGGAAATCCCAAAAGCTCTGGGCGGCTTGTAATTACGAAGCTCGAACAAGGACAAAAAGGAAATCCATTGCTGACTAAATAGAGACGCAGCGCTATAACCCAGCTTACCCGAAAACGATCGCGGCCAGTGGTCTGTTCGACGCGCAAAAAGAAAAATGGCTTTGTGTACATCTCAATAATATGGTCTAAGTCGTCCTGGCGGGCGTGCAAAGTGACTAATAACATGGTCGAGGGGGGAGGTGATTTATCGTCTATTCAAAACCAGGACCTATGTACATCAAACGGGTTGCTATGCAAATCACATCCACCACAGATCTATGCACATATCATGATCAGCCTGCATCCCAGCCACACCACACCACACCACATCACGCCGTTGCAGAAACCATGTCCCATCCGAACGAGCGCAGCCAATCAATAATACTCAGGCAGATCCCCAAAGCTAGGGATCGCATCGCCGCACTTGAACTTCGGACTGTACGCTTTCGCGGGCATGTACCCGTTCTTCCACGCGGTGCGGTAGCTCCACTGCGCCGCCGACTCGGTCGCCCACGTCCAGTAGAACCAGCCCATGGCGGTCTCGAAGGCGGACATCTGCGCCTCCGCGTACGTCTGCAGGAAGGTCTTGTACCCGTCGGAATACCCCACCGGGGAGGTGTTGGCCAGGGTGCAGGAGCAGGTGCCCTCCGAGGCAGTGGGGCAGTACATCGTGTCGCCGGTGGACGCGAGGGTTCCCTCCCACCGGTTCCCGTTGCCGACGTTGTTGACGTACTGCGCGCAGTCGGTGTCGGCCTGGGACCATTCGCCGCAGATGGTCGGGCCCCATCTATTTTACATCGCATCATTAGTACTCTTTCCAGATTTCAGGGGGTCGAAGAGCGGGGAGCGACGTACCCCGTACTCGTAACATTGATCGCCTGAATCATGCTATACCAGCTCTCGCAGATCAGCTCCACGCGCCGTGTGTGGTTCAGCACGATCTCCCCCGTATTGAAGACGGTGTACTGATGGGTATCGAGCATCATGTTGTCGGGCCGCGTCTTGAGCATACTATCCCACTTGGCCAGATTCAAGAACCCGTCGTGCACCGTCACCCAGGCCTTGATCCCGTTCTTCTGGACGAGCTCCGTCGCCTGCGTCGTCCAGTTCAGCACATCCGCCACGGGCAGCGACAGCATGAGCGGCTCGTTGGCCAGCCCGTAGATCGTGACGACGTTCTTGTACCGGTCCTGCGCGAAGAACTGCGACACCTGGTCGTGCATGTCAAGCGACCGCTGGCGGTTCAGGGCGCCATCCGTGCCGTTCAACCACCCGATCTTGCCCTGATGGCCGCTGTGATTCCACCCGTTCTGGCTGCCGGGGATCCCGTGTGGGTCGAGGTTCACCCGCAGCCCGTACTTGCGACAGTACTCGATGGCGCGCAGTAGGTACCGCCAGGCGATCTTGGGGACGTAGGGGTCGCCGTCGTAGGTGCGCACCGCCCAGTAGGAGAACTGCATGCGGACGTGGTCGAGTCCCGCGTCGCGGATGTCGGCAAAGTCCTGCTCGGTGATGAAGGTGGCGTAATGCTTCTCGATGGTCGTGTTGGCGGCGCTGCCGAGGCGCTCGCAGAGGGTCCACTCGTCGATGATGCCTTCGCTCGAGGAGTAGGGTTGGAAGAGCGAGGGAACGATGAAGGGCTCGATGGAGAGCCAACCACCCAAATTGACTCCGCGGATGGGCTGCGAGCCGTACGGGAACGCCTCGTTCAGGGGTGGGACGTTCTCGTTCGCTTGGGCGGAATCATCCCAGGTCGAATTCAGCCCCATGACCGACAATCCTCCCACGGTCGCATTGGTGAAAGTGACGTTAAAGCCCGTTGTATCGTACCAGGTGAATGGGTCGAGGTATGTTCCGCGAGCGTAGGCCTACCACACACATGTCAGCACAGCGCCACAGTCCAGATCCTCCTTATTACCACACCTACCGGAATACTATCACGACTGATGCCGTCGAGGTTATTATTCGCGGGCTTGTCGTTGTCCGAACTTGCTGAACTCCCACCATTCTCCGCCCTCCGCGCCATGATAATCCCCACGGGGATAGCAATCGCCGCCAACACCAACAACACCACAAAGAAGATGAGTGTGCCTCTCCACTTCTTCCAGAACGGCAAGTTCGCCACACTCCCCCGACCCGTCGACCTGGACCCACGACTCCGCTCATCCCAATCCCCTTCTTTCCTGAGCATACCATCCGTAGCCTCCGCGGCCTCGCCGTCCGCCCCATTCCCACCAAAGCCACCACCGCGGTGCCGCACCTCCGCCTCGCCCTGCTCCAACTGCGCTCCCGACGCAACCCTGCTTTCTGCTCCACCCCTAGGCGCATCTAACGCAATAGGCGCCAGCATAATTGGCTGCTCAGCGATGACAGGACGCTTCCGCTGCCTCTGCCCGTGCCCCTGCTCCGATCCTTCATCGCGCCCGTCACGGGACCCTTCACCCAGATGACTCAAATAATCCTCATCCCCGACCGTGGACCCCAGGAGCTTCGCCAACGCATCCCCACTGAGCAATTCCTGCGCCGCGCTGTCCCGGTTCGAATCCCCATGTCTGCCGAACGCAGCCGCGAGCCGCTCCCGCCGTCGCTGACGCCGGGTCTCCCGGTCCGGCCGCAGTCCGCCCGGCGGGGAGGAGGTGCGTTTCCAGAACGCCAGCGACGAGGACGGGACTCGTTCTCTTGGCTGGGAGGGAATGCGCTGAGCACCCACATCCCCGCCGATCGCATTGTCCCGCGCATCATCCGCATGATGGGCCATGGCCGCCGCCCGCTCGGATTCCGTGAAGGTCATCATCCCGGACAGACCGCGCGAGCCGGCCTCGGCCTCGAATTGGTCTGCGGCGGGGACGTGCGGCCGGAGCGGGATCCAGTTCGGGTTTGTCCCTTGGGGGACTTGGTGCTGTTCATACTCGTAAGTTGATTCGGACAGGGGATGGTCTGCATTGTCGAGAGAATCGTATTCGTGAGGGTCATGGTCGTGGGCATAGGTGTCATATTCACGGGGACTGTAGTCGTAACGTTGGGGGGAGTAGCGCTGCCCCTCCGGATGGACATCAGAGGGAAGGCTGGGACTCAGGCTGGAGACGTAGCTGTCTTCACCCCGGTAGCCCAGGCGCGGGGGCGGGGACAGGGTGTAGTAGCTCGGGGTGGTGGAGTCGGGGGCCTCCGGCAGCTCTCGGCTGGGGGTGCTGCTAGACCGGCGGGATAGGCGATCCCGACTGCCCGAGTGGAGAGACATCCGCACTGAGCACGGACCGTTTTGTTATTATCGGCACTACTGGATGAAAAAGCCACGGGAATGCCGGGGGTGACTGTCGGGTGTGGCGGCGGATAGGGATGGAATGTGGGCTGACTGGTGGGAATGCCCCGGCAATGGAGTTGATAGGTCCGGCTATTCCGGATGATTGTAGGAGGTTATATCGATGGCAGTGGAATGGAAATTGGTGGACGAAGGAGTGCCCTGTCAGCCCCAATGTATGGGATATTAGGGATGTTCGGGAGGTACCACGGGTCACGGCTGACAATTGTGGAAGTCAGGAATGCCTCAGTATCGTCGGTGACACAACAAGGAAATACTGAAAAGATACAAAAGCTACTCCGTGGTCAAGGCAGTTTTAATTTGAGATAAGCACCAGCCATGGACAGGATTGGACGGATCACCAGGAACCGCACGGTGATTGTGAGGAAAGAAAGTTGGGGGCGTCCGGCCATCAACATAACAACCCCAAAAAACAACACATCGACCAAAACAAACCGGCGCAGAACAAGCCCCGTGATTCGTCCAGCCCGCATCCTCGTGTTGATGTTACTGTATTTGGCTAGCTCAATGATAGCAGAGTTCACCTTTCTAGATCAGGCTAGACTACTGGGTACTGTAACTGCTGATTATCTCCCGCAATCACGGGACCGGGACCCTGTCCGCTAATTCACCATTGTGGCCTGAGGCCCTGAGATTACAGCATCCGAGCTTGTAAAATTGTGGTCTAGATTACAGTGATGTTACATTAACCCCTGAAACCTATGTTCTTTCCCTATTTGTGCCGAGCCGGGCCCAAGTAGGCTTAGCTTTCACGCCTTGGTGTAGCGCAGGTACGGCTTCAGCTCCCGCACATTGCCGAACTTCTTCTTGGCGTCCTCCGTCGACACCGAGGGGGGCACAATCACATCGTCGCCCACGTTCCAGTCAATCGGGGTCGCGATACCCTTCTTGTCCGCCGTCTGCAGCGAGTCGATCACACGCAGCACCTCCGCCGAGTTACGGCCCGTCGACGCCGGGTACGACATGATCAGCCGGATGGTCTTGGCCGGGTCGATGATGAAGACCGACCGGATCGTGAACGGGATGCCCTTCTCGGCGATGTTATCCAGGTCGCGCTGGTCGATCATGTCGTACAGGAAGGCCACCTTGCGGTCGGCGTCGGCGATCACGGGGAACTGCACCTGGGTGTTGGCCACCTCGTTGATGTCGTCGATCCACTGGTCGTGGGAGCTGAGGTCGTTGGCGCTCTAGAGAGTGAGGTGGATGGTTAGCTTGGTCATTTCAATGGTCATGGTGAGCAAAGACGGAGGTGGTAACGAACCAGGCCGATCATCTTGACATCTCTCTTCTCGAACTCGTCCTTCATCTTGGCGAAGGCGCCCAGCTCGGTGGTACACACGGGAGTGAAGTCGGCCGGGTGCGAGAACAGGATGGCCCAGCTATTGCCGATAAACTCGTGGAAGTCAAGCTCGCCATGGGTGGTCTGCGCCTTGAAATTGGGGGCTGCGATGGGTCAGAGTAAGTCAATTGGAGAATGTTATGGCGAGAGGGCTAATTACCCTTAGACCCGAGACGCAGACGGGGTTGCTCCTGGGGAATGGTGGTGAGGAAGCGGCGGGGGAGGGGCTGCACGCGGGGCTGCATGCGAGGGAGCTGGCTGGAAAGTGACAGACGAGGGAGAGGGGTGGCCCGGGGAAGAGCCGTGAGAGCACGGAAGCTAGCGCGGGAGATGATGGACGCCATTGTGATGTGGATTGAAGCAATTGGCAATCGTGAGAAGGTGAAGAAGTTCAACTGCCAAAGCTCCAGCGATCCTGTTTTCGTCACTCGCCCATTGCATCAGCGGGGATAACTATGCACTAGCCTGTTTAGGGTGTTGGCACCTCAGGCATCATCTACTCGGCATTTTCCTGAGGCATCCAACACCCTGTTAAGGCCGCATCACTAACTGGCGGGGACTGGTCAGCAATTCTAAGACATGTCTTAGTGGTTACTATGTATGTTCGCTAAATGTGTACCGTACATCGAAAGGCAAACGTTCTCCGCAAAAAGCCGCTGTAGTGAGCATCTCTCAGTCGGAATATCTGGTTATTCAATGCACCTCAACCTAACCGCCTGTCCGCCAGCAGACCCTGACGCCAATGACCGAAGGCACTAATGTCCCTTCACCCACTCCGGTTCGACGCAAATCTGACTCTCACGCCAGCTTTGAATTTTCTTGACATTCCACCCCGAAATCCATCGCCTACCAGGCTCGGCCTCACGCTTAGTTCCTCGCTGGAATGCTCCGGTCAGCACATGGCACTCCCCACTACTATACCGGTACTGGAAACAATCATTCCTATTCAGACAGTCCACCCGACACGTCTCTAGCGTGGGCACCTCTCCATCAAGGTAAACAAGAGGTACGTTGGAAAAATTATCCCAGTCCTCTTCCTCCTCCGGCATTGCATGCGACGGAAACGCGAGTTCCGACAACTGGCGAAACAACAAGGGCTCCTATCAAATCATCAGCAATGAGCTCATCTCCCATCAACGACTACATTATAAGATAGAATGCTTATACTCACAGAGATATTCTCGCGTGCCTGCTCAAAGGCAAAGATAGAACTTCGCTCCCTGGGCTCAACATGATGCATCGTCACCACCGGCTGGCACCAGTGACTGGGTCCGAACGGTAGTGTCGCCGGCTTCTCGCCATTGACCTGGGGCCAGAAATTCTGCACCCCGACGTCGGTCTCCTTCTTGATTGTGCGCGCGAGGACAACATCCCCGCAGCACTCGGGCTCGAAGACCCCATCATACCGGCCGGCAACGCCGGGATCCGCGCCCACGAACCGTTCCATCAACTTCCTAGAGATGACGTACCCGCTCCCGCCATGCGCAAAGGGCTCGCTATCGAGGTAGGCCACCGAGCCCATGTAGAGCGCCTCGTCCGCTGACAGCGTCTGCAGCCACAGCAGGAGATTGCTCCACACGAGATAGGTGTCCGTCTCGATGAAGACGTACCAGTCCATGCTCGGTCGCTCCCGCCAGGTCATCTCGACCATGTGCAGGAACTTGTACTTGTCGAGGGTCCACGCCTCGCGGCCGTCTTTCCTGAGTGTGGCGATATCTTGCCCCGTGCGCCGGTATTCTTGCTGCTTGCAGTAGAGGCTGAAGTTCGGGAGCGACTCCTTTAGCGAGGGGTCGTAGTCGGCCAGTGCATCCTGTATGTGGTAGGGGCCGATGCGCTCCTCCAGGTCGGAGAAAATGAGGTAGTTTCGCGAACAGCCGAGGGTCGTCAGCAGCTGCGTAGGCAGCTTCTCGTAGATTTCCGTAGCTCCGGTTTTGATCACCAGTAGCACGTTTCCCGGGTCAGGGAAAGCTGAGCACCGTCGGTCATCGGGACGGGCGTTACTCTGGATGAATGAGGCGTTTGGGTTATGATGGTGGTATTCGTTCGTTGGACTGTGAAGCGAGTGCATGTTTGCAATCCAACCGGTGCTCCATGCAGCTGGGCGGGTCTCATAGAATGCTACAACAAGGGTAAGTCCTAGACTCATCAACCCAAGTGCCAGCCACAACGCCTTGCGAGAGGCTGGTTGCACCCACAGTCCCGTAGGGTGCATGAAGACGGAGGGGAATATAGGCCGGAGAAAAAAAGGGTGGGGTTGGACTGGCAGGAAGGGATTGAGGCCAGGAGGCCGGCCATATTTAACTGGGGAAAGGGCACAGATTCGGAAAGAGAACGGACTGTAAATAGGCAAGCATTTCCGCTCACAATAGCCCACTGGGGAAAGAGGAGAAAGGTAAGTGAGAAACACGGTTAGGTAAAACCAAATTGTGGGGGTGGAAGGTAAGACAACCGGAAAGCTACATGATGTCAAGCTGGAAGGATCACTGTGGATGTGGAGTACTGTAACTCACCTACCTCACTTTGACAGCAAATCATCTTTCGCTTCTCCCAGAATATACGGGCAACTCGCTATCAACGAAGACTAAGGTACCTTACAAACTATGAGTTGCCAATTCAGCTCTGCTCGACTACTTGAGCCTCCATTGGTCTTAGCTTCGACGGCCCAGTGCCAGAGCCTCGGGATAGACGTCCGGGCGCTCAACCCAGCCTTAGGATATCTTCGAAAGACAGCGTCCGAGCGCACCATGAATCCTTCTTCCCAGCATCTTATAAAATGACGGTAAGCAATATATCTGTGCTATAGACTTTGAGTTTGTTTACTCTACTGTGTACACCTTGGAATTGGTACAATGTCACTAAGGCTGTAAAGTGGTTCCATTTCGAGGGTCTCGCTACTAATATCGGCAATACCTTTGACCTACCCGAGACATGAACTAAATTTAGTGCGAACCAGTCATGCAATCCTCAGTGGGGAGACACCGGACCACTAACAGGACTTCCAGGTTTTCTGGCAGTCCACACAGACTTAGAATAACTTGTGCTTGTCTCGCTGAGCCTCATGCGTGGTTCATACATAAGGCCTCGCTTGAGTAGCATCACCGACCAGTGGGTAATCCGTGAACACCTAAGGCATCAGGAATAGCGATTCTTTATCGGAACCTGATGGAAGCCTATCAGCATTGGAACTCCCCGCCACTATTCCATCAAATTCTTCTCTCGTATCATTCTACAATACGCTATCAGGGGGTACCGATAGTACCATGTCTTTTCCTAGTTTTAAGGAGGAAACCCATGAGTTTATCCGTGATTTGGTACCTTGATTTTCTCAACCTAAGTGACCCATCAGCCAAGCCCTAACTCGATAAGGTTATCTGATGTTCCGTCCGGTTAACGCCTTTCCTCTTCCTCTCGCCTGCCGGAAGTTCGCCCGACAAGGCAATTTTGGTCACATTCCTAGTCCACTGTAGCAAAAAGATCTAAATACGAAAATCCAGAATTGGCCCGGAATTAGAACAAATGTCTGCTGGGGGCAGTGAAATACCAAGCACATTGCCAAATGATCTCCGGAAGACATCGCCGTCTTGGTTCGACAAAGAACATACACGTTGTACAGTACTGTCCAAGTAGGATGACGTGTATGTACTACTGAAAATAGTAAGGTTCTGCGCGCCAACCACACAAAAGATTAGTCATTGAATTGCGCCAGCGTGAGTGCGGGGTCGTTGTGTCTTGAATAGAAAACGTAACGTGCCTCCGTGCTCAGAAACAGTTCCTTTTTGCAGTACATGATTTTTACATTCGTTAACATAACATAAAGTATGCCGATACGTATCCCACAGTATGCAGACATCCACACACCGTCGGCTCCCACCTCCCGCACCGAAACCTACGGCCGCAACACCGGCACTCCTTTCTCCATCTATCCAGACCACGACGCCACGACTGTGAAAACTCTGGAAATCTGGGAGGGCCGCGCGAGCGGCGACTCAGCGGGATTATGGGTAATCAAGGGCTTGCGGATCACCTGGTTCAACGACCAGCGCAAACAGCTCTACAACCACCCGCAGGACGGGGACCAGCTCAAGATCCTGACATTCGCGACCAACGAGACGATGACGGAATGTAGTATCCGGGCAGCGTGGCGCGTTGATAGGATTGAGATCGTCACTAGCCGGGGCCAGCACTTGGTGGCGGGCGGGGAGGGAGGCACGCCTTACAGGAACGTGGCGAGAGGATCGCTGGTGGGCTATACGGGGAGTGCGGGGTGGGAGGTGGATAATATTTCTGTCTTGTATCGATAAGGATGGGGTTCTAGGGCTGTTCGGGGTGAACCCATTGTTGAATGCTTGGAACCAGTGATGAAGCTGCTTACGCAGGCAGGGCTACTAGAGATATAGGCGCTTTGGAGTTGACGTACAGTACCTTATCCTCATCCCCGATAATTGTGTCGCATGATTCATTAGTGGCCCAATCTCGATTGAACACCCAAAGGTATACCAGAACATGCTCACAGCACATTCTTCTCCACGAAATCACAACGAAGCAGCAATCAACCTCTTATACCCCTCGACCGCATCCTCCAGCTCCCGCACAGTGATCGCCTCCTTCTCCCCATGCGTGACCTCGAACCGCCCCGGCCCATACAAATATCGCTTCACCTTCCGCGCATCTTCACGATCATGAATCCCCAACGAGAACGCATCCGTCCCATAATTCACCGCAATGACCTCGAACCCCTCGACATCCGTCTCAAAAAACTGCGGTGGTGCTCCGACCGTCCCATTGCCGACCCCACCGCCAAAGTCCAGAAACACGCTACCATCCCCACCCATCAACTCATCATCCACAGCAGCCTGAATAATCCGCCTGGTCTCCTCCGGGCTCCCCGCTGCCAACCGCACCGAGACCGTGGCCTCAGCATGCGCCGGTACAACATTGGCCGCCTCGCCTCCGCTAATGGTCCCGATATTCAAGGTGGAGTTACCCAGAACCTCACCCCACAGTAACCCCCCTTCCTCAGGAGGAACATACTGCAAGGAATTAATGTGCTCGAGAACAGGCAAGATGGCGAGGATGGCACTCTCTCCGAGCCAGGGATAACTCGAATGCGCGGGCTTCCCGCGCGCGACGACCTTAAACCCCAGAGTGCCCTTGTGGCCCTTCACCAAATCGCCATTCGTCGGCTCACCGAAGATGACGGTGTGGAAGCTCGACGGTGCGGGATTGAGCTCCGAGGCAGAGAAATGCTTCATCCCCACGCCGGACTTCTCCTCGCCAACATCTAGTAAAATACCTACAGAGACCGTCGGGTCCGTGGCCAGCGTGTCGAGGACGGCGAAGATTAGGGCTGCGACGCTGGCTTTTGCGTCTACGGTGCCCCGGCCGGCGATGAGGAGGTCCTTTCGGTTGAATTTCCCCGTATGCGGGTTTGGGGCTGGGGGATGAAGGGAGTAAGGGATGAAGGGTGGCACAGTGTCGATGTGGCTTGTTAATAGAATCTCGGGGAAGCGGTTGTCTCCTGCGTAGGCGTAGATGTTGAAGCGCTCTTTGGTGGTGGTGGTCTTGGGGGTCACAACTTGCTTCTCGACGGTGAGGTTGTGGGAGGAGAGGAAGTCGATGATAAAATCGCCGACTTCTTGCTCATTTTCCGAGACGGATTCGATGGTCACAATGTCGCGATGAAAGCTGAGTAGAGGCGAGGAGATGATGATTCGGTCGAGTTCTAACTCGCTGTTAGGGTTGATAATCGCATCGTGGGGGAGAGGGTCGAAGAGTGGTTGCTGTGTTGAAGCGAGAGCTCGCCTCGCTAGGGCAGCGATGCTGATAATCTCAAATGCCTTCATTGGGGTGCCGATTTTCAATAATGTCACCTAGGGAGGCTATGTAATCCTGGGCGTGCAGGATGTATATTAGTTTCCAGGAATTGGCGAGTCGGTGAGGGGAATCGGATGAATGTGGATTAGGGCATTCCTCCCCGCAATGGCGTGTGCTTATCAATTTCCGACATCATATCTAGTCCGACTGCCCAAGAGATTGCCATCCTGCTGTATTTCTTATCTATATACCACCTGACCTATTTCAGATCATAGGCCAATCTTTGTAAATCTCGCTACAGACATGCCAAGGCCCTTCCCCTCACCTGTCAACGGAACTCGATATCCTCCAGCACCGCTTGATTCTCCTTCGCCGCCGCCCGCCGGACCCTCTTCAACCTCCTCGTATCGACATCCACCTTCCACGTACGCCCCCAGGTAATCAGATTCATAATAATTGCCATCCCCACGAACCCCATGGCAATCCCGAACGAGGTGGTATAGCGCGGCGCATACCGAGAATTGAACAGCTGCGATCCCACCGCGCCTCCGATCTGCCCGTAGCTATTGGCGAAGGCAATCGCAAACGCCGAGCCTGTGGCCCCCTGCGTCGTCTGAACTCGCCAAGGCCACATCATCACGTACCTACAGCGTTTATCAGCCATTGGCAAACAATTTCCGGATGGGGTGTGCTTACCAAGCGGTGGAAAATCCGCCCGCAATGATCGTAGCGGCATAGACACCCCCGCTGTTCGGAAATGCATATAGCACGCCATAGCACGCTTCGATGACTATCATGAAGGCGAGCGGGATGGCTGGTTGCGGGATCCTTCCGGTGTCGGCGAAGACCCCGAACGCTAGCGTCAGAATCACCGCGAACACGGCGGAGGGAATGTTAAGGAGGAGGGATTCGCCCATCGAGCTTGAAAATTGGTTAGCGCTGGTTTGCGACCATGTACTACAACAACTCACGTAAAGCCGAGATTGGCAATCACAGTGGGCTGATAGAATGTGAGACCGGTGGTTCCAACAGTGAAGAATGCCCAACAGAGCAGGAATAGCCAGATTCTCTCGTTTCGCAGGCAGGTGATCAGCTCTCGAAGGTTGAAGTTGGATTCTTGCGCTCGAGGGGAGTTGCGGGGGAGACGAGCTTGGATGAAGGCTTGCTCCTTTTCGGAGAGCCAGGATGATGTAGAGGGAACTAGTGGAGTGAGTTAGCAGTGTCTAGGTTCATTTCGAAGATGTTGCATACAATCTGGCAAGAAGACATATGTGATAACACCCAGGACGATTGTGATGATCCCCTCTGTCAGAATCAACCTGGTAGCAAGGTTAGCTTCGAGGACATCGATTCATGCATGGATCTGCCGAACGCACCATTTCCACCCCGACAACCCCCCGGTCGTCACACCGTTGAAAGCAAAGGCAAGCACACCACTGATGACCGTGCTGAAATTTCCAAGCAGCGTAACCAACACAATCCGGGGAGCTATCTCATCCGGTCGATACCAGTAACACAACTGGACCAGCATCCCCGGCCAAAGACCGGCTTCGAATAGACCCAAGAAGAAGCGGACAGCATAGAGACCTTGTCGATTCTTGACTGCTGCGTGGCAACAGAGAACGATTCCCCATGAGACCTGGTTACGTGAGACGTGAGATATATCTGGTGGGCGAATGACATTTACCTGAATCCGAGCTTGCCAGACGGAGGGTTTGACTCCCTTGATCAGAAGATTGGACGGCGCTTCGGCGATAATGTAGGGAATCTTGTGACTCATTAGTCTGCATCGCAGCTATTTACAAACACGGTGATTCTCACATAGTACATTGCTGTCACCAAATTATACTGGTCCTTTGTCATCTCAAGCTCAGTCAGGATGTTGCGAGGAGTTCCTTTGTCCATGGTAAGTGCGTAAGAGACCTAAAAAGCTTCCGTCAGAGGACCACCCTCATAATTACTCCCAGCATGGAAGGTCTCACGTTTGTGAAGTCGACACTTTTCAGCATATAAATAACAGCTAGAAGCGGGATCAAATGCCAGTCCACGCGTCGCAGGAGCTTCTTCTCCTCGTCCGCACTCAGTGCGGCGCGTTCGCGCATTAACTCGGCATCGTAGCCTGGGATAGCCTCCCCTTTGTCAGGAACTGTGATGTCCGCATTGCGGTTAACTTGGTGCACATAACCTCTCCCAGGGATGGGTTTCTCGTCGATGAAGACTGTTTTAGGGTCTTCACTACCAGCGGCCGGTGCCGGTTGGACGTGTTGATCGTCTGAAGCATCCGACAACATGATCGTTCGGTGATGTTTCGAGTTCCTGGGGTTTTGAAATGACTGCTGCTGTTATTTGGGCACACGTAACTCTGCTGGTGTATTCACTCATATTTTATGGCATTCCGATGCGGGGATTGAGGAATGTTACTATCCACGGCTTTGATGGCGCAAGAGCGACCCCGCCGACTTCGGGCATGATAGCGTACTGCGCATACCCCTCCTCGGCTACATGATTTGATTGCCGAGATAACTTTGCATTAGTTTGAAGACTTTCACTGTGAGCTGCATGCACAAGTATAACGGTAGCGAATGGTGTGATTGCAATTTGTGATAACATCAGCAAGTCTACGGGTGTTCTGGGCCCGCATTTAAAAAGTGCGATAATGACGGGATGCTGAGACAATGCCGCAGGGGAGAATGAATACCATATCTGAGGTAGGCTTTGGGGTGAGAGAAAACAACAGGCACTGCTCCACCCAATTTCCTGTGAGCATATGATGTATTCGCTATGGTACCGAGAACATTTCTGGGTAACAGCTGAAACTGATGACTGCCATCGATATCTTCACTGCGACAATTACCCAATGCTGATTCGTCCCACGGGCGCGTTGACATGCGAAGTATACCCTGCGGGAATCTTTGTCCACAAGAGTTAACTGAAAGCTGTCAACGATCTTGGAAGACATACTCCGAAGGCCAGCTATGTGCTTGCTTTCTTAAGATAGCTCTGTGCCAATTTGAAATGGCAAGGGCCGTGAGATATACTCATTGCCAAAACCTGAATATTTATCCTTTATAATGAGATGAGAGACAATAGTTTCAGCTGATCTCGAAAAAGCCCAGAGGCTTTCCCCAGGCGGCAATGTGCTTAAAGGTCTTCGGGCTGTCTTAGCGCTTTGGGGTCTGCTGTTTGCTTCAACACCATCTCTGAGGGCGCGCAGGCCAATCACAGAACTTCAGTCAGCCACTGAACTATCGAGGTACTTATCTTGAACACTGGGACTTGTTGCTCGTGCTCGAGAATCCTGGGCTTGACAGGCCAAGCATACAGTATGGCGGCAAATGTCTTCATTGTGGCAATTTGTAGAAGTTCGAAAAATATGATTCATGTGTAAATGAGATTTAGAAAAATGGCACGGTGTGAATACTCAAAGTCTAGTGATACGCGTTCAACCGCTATCCCAGGAGGTCATAACGTGGGACAAAGACGTACCGGCAATGAGTTAGCACAAAATCCATCTCACTATGTGCTGAAAAGCTAGGATCGAGGGTATCTCGGCCCGAGTGACCCTGCATAATTCAGCCAGCCACGGAAACTTCCGCTTGGCAAGCAGAGCCCTGCAGTGCGTGAGATTATGCAGGTCATGCTTGGGGATCTCATGTTGGTGGACGCCTATGTTCCCAATTATTGAAGGACATATCTTTCTTACTGACTTCAGTCACGCCAAGATGCAAGTGATATGCAAGTGGTAGCTTGTCATCACACTGCCATTCACAGGTGGATGTGTAGGCTAACGTCGTTTGCAGGTGACAATTCAAGGCTATGAGCGAGTTTTGAGCAGCAAGAACTTCTTTATGAGAAAACGCAAGGTATAAATACAGGTACAATAACTCCAAATCGTGGACCATCTCGTCTCTGACATACTCCAAGTGCCATACCACTGTCTCTCAGTTATTCATATCTTCTGTATCACATACTGTAGTTTCAAATCTTACAAAAAGAAATATCGGTCCACATTCCACAACATGCGTTCTCCATGCACCATCCTTCTGCTCTTCGGCCTCGCATGACGACTCACCGCTGCAGCGGACCCAATGAGCCAGGAAGACTGCGACAAGCTCTGCCAGACACGATTTAACAGCCCTCGAGCCGTAGGCCAGCTCTACGATGTCCACAATGACCTGGGCTCCTGCGACGAATGTACCATCTGCACCGGCGAAGGAGGCAAGTACACCGACCCGATCACCCAACGCCGGCGCTGCTGCAATGAGCAGAACCAGGTGTTCCTGACCGGCCCCGAGGGTAGCAAGCTGGGAAAATGCTGTGAAGCCAGCCAGGCGTATCTGGCTACCCCCAGCGCCCAGCACGGCGACTGCTGCCCGGCCACCAACCACATCTACCTGTGGGACACGAAGTCGCAGTCCGGCTCCTGCTGCCCGGTCGGGACCGCCTACTTCGACGGCCAGAAGTGCCAGCCCAAGAGCGATCCAGCGCCGGAGCCCAACAACATCAACTGCAAGCCCCTCGGCGTCTGCGCCTCCGCCTCTTCTTCCAAGACCACGGGCCTGAAGCAGGGCCACTGCTACCAGCTGAAGGACACACAGAACCGCACACTGTCCATCCGCCGCGGCGCGCTGGACTACATCCTACAGACCGAGTACGAGGACATCTATTACTTCAAGGTGTGCGCCAGCACGACGGACTGCGCGGCGAGCGACAAGGAGGTGGCCGTCGGCGACCAGTTCATCCTGCAGGATGCGTTTGGCCAGTGGAACGTGGACGGCGCCGGCTGGATCGACAAGCGCTGCTCCGACCACCTGTATTTCACGCGCGACGCCAACAGCGCGGGCGCGTTCCAGGCGGCGCCGTGGTGCTTCCATGGCAAATGCGAGATCTGTCTCAAGAGTGGTGTCGAGGCCTGTCGCGGGCTGAAGGTGATCTGCCCCGCGACCAGCCCGGGGATCGGTTGGTATGTTAACGCCAACTATTGCTTGCCCTTGTTTGTGGAGGAGGTGCCGTGTATGAGTGAGGTGTTTGGGGGGGAAAGGTTCAAGTTGTAAAACATATCGCATGCAGGGTGCTGTGAGTCTAAGTGTTTTGAATGTGAGGAGTAACGGTTGTAGGCAGATTAAGTAGTGGTGTAGGGTCAAGAAATTGAGCCTGTTGCGTATGACTTTAGAGTCTTGGAATCGGTGCTGGACAAACTTGGTGGATTTTGGCTTAGTCGAGGGTCATTCATGCGATCTACACCAAAGATAGCGATAATGTAGGATAGAAACTGGAAGAGCAGCACCAAAGCATCAGTCGGCTGCAGGCACAAGTTCAACATCAATATCCCCTACTCCCTCCACCCTCGACATAAGAGAATCTCATTCTGCAGAATGCAGAATCAGTGACATGTTCTTAGCACATATGTTCTTGACACACTCTCAAATGCGACCGCGCCGAAAGGAGGCTGCACCAGGCTTTCCCCCCCCCCCCCCCCCTCCCCAAGTGTGGGTCACGTGATGACCGGGGACCTAAGTAGGAAGCCGGAGCGGTTGAACTGGGATGAGCACAGCGCGAGTAGAGTGAACCTTCCCACGACAGTGTTTGAAATCATCATTACATCTACAGTCAACATAAAAGTCAATATGTTGAAGGGAGAACATCTCGGTCCCGGAAAACCGCCCCAGTCCTTCACCGTATGTTTTCCTTTGTCTACCGATGTCGAGACTGCATGAAAGAGCGATTCTCGGGCTTTGCGCAGCAGTAGCAGCCCAAGGCTTTTGCAGCAGGAAGTAATTAGTGAGGCACAAGACTCTACTCAAATAGTGTCATAGAGAGGTCTGCCCCTGGTTCAGGAAGGTTTGATAGGTGACCACCAAAGTCCAGCACATTTGCGCCACTAGTCTAGGCTCCCATTTGTCTCACCATTGCTCGTGAGCATACAGGTCATACAGGTGTTGGGGCGCCATCGTGGAATGGCTTTGACGTCTTCCGCAAAGTCAGCGAGCAAGTTCTGGGCTTCTCAGGTTTTCGGAATAGATCTAGAGGAGTTTGTGCGGCTCTCTAATGCAGAATCGCAAAATCTTCGTAGCCCCTTGTTACACTGCCTCCGTGCCTTGAAGGGATCTCATGCGGAAAAGACTTGCAAGAATTCCTAGATGATCGTGCGAATGGGAATGCAGTACTGGCTCAATGAATAGCACGCGAGCTGGGTCGGCTGCTAAAAAATTACCGCGACTAGCTAGTTAGCCGAAGGAGAGTCCAGTTGCTTGCTGAATAGGAAATAACGCCAGCTCTGAGTCAAGAAATATCACGCTGAGAAAAGCATGCTGGAATTTGTGAATCCTTACTTTTTCTTCTGAAAGTCTATAGCAAGACATTCACCCGCCAATGCCAGATACTCATCCGCCGCCGCCGCTGCCCACCGATATGCATTCGAGTTTGAGGAGCTAAGCAAGGTAATTACCATCATTAAGCCAAGAGATATCCCATTTCTAGTAGAAGTTGATCTGACTTTGGTTAATTGAATTACGCTCCCCAACCGTATCCGCCCGGCACCTCGTAAGTGTATTGAATTACAGAGTTATTGATCTAGCCAGGGGCTTGAGAGTGATTTTCCTGTCCTTCCAACACGTCCATGCAATAGAACGAGTAACTGATTTCTATCTTTCTGCCTTGGTCCCCCCCCCTGATTCAGTTCCACCAGCCAGCAACCGCCCCCCTCCTCCCTCTTTTGGACATACACGAACAGATACCCTCCTCTCATATCACGATTTGTTTAACTGAGTTTCAATTACAAGACCAAACTAGAGGAATGCATACGAGAGACAGTCTAGAGCGAGAAGCATGGCTTCAGGAAACTGGACTCTCAGGCTTCTCCCGGTTGCGTAGACAGGTGAATGTACTACGCCGCTCCAGGATCCGCCACAACCCCGTCCCAAGGGGTATTCATCTCGATCTGGTTCATCCTTGCAACCAGACCCGTGGCGATCATCTGATACTCAGGCGAGGCTTGCTCTGCAAGCTCAGCAATGCGCTGCTTCCAGAAATGCCAACGCTCCACGCTGAAGATTTTACCTTTGCCCTCTTTGTACAGGGACCACGCCATGTAGATCCGCTCGCTATGTTCCTTCTTTTTGGCGTTAAGGTGAGGCAGGTCACGTTCCAGAGTGCGTAGGTGATTGTAGGTTTTCACACCCGCATGGAGGATATACTCGCGCACGATGGCGAGATATGCATCTATCCGGGACGTATTAGCATCTGAGAGGGGTTTCTCCAGCGTCGATCGCAGTTCCCATGCAGGGAAGTTTAATCCCCAGAACAGATCCCGTGCAATCAGCCTGGTGGTAAAGGACGCAAAGCTAATTCGCGCCTGGGATGTGCCCTCCGGTTTGTGGGAAAAAACCCCATCCAACTCTTCACGCATGGCGTTACCGAAGTAATCCAGGTCGTCCCAGAGTTTATACCTAGCCAGAGCCTCCACAAAATCGACCAGCCGTGCCCGGACGTCGTCGGTGTCACACTCCGTGGACCAGGCCACTTCAGTCAGGGATGTAGCCAGGCGATAGAGGTGATAGCTTCGAGGTTGATCATGTCTCCCGACGGTTGTAGTGAGTGGCACTCGCTCAGATGTCGTCAGCTCATTCAGCTCGCGGGCCGCTTCCTCTGGGTTCAATGGATCTTGGCCCCTGACAAGACGATCTAGAATGTCTTCGTACGCTTCCTGAAGCGCGATATTCTCTTCAGAAACGCCGAGCTTACGCAAGCCAACGGCATCAACATTTCTGGTACCATTCCTCTTGTAGCTTGCCATTTTGCACGATTGGGTGTAAAGTGGTTTCTGCGTGAGCCGCTGGATGTTTGTGATCCAGATGATGAGGACTAAGTCGGAGTTTGAGGATAGACCCAAAGGTCTTTAAATATCCCGCGCGTTGTGACTGGCTTCGTGTTGGATGTCGTATAAATTGTGAAACAGGTCTCTCAGCTAGGTCTTGTCTCCAGGCCCTTTCGTTCCGGTTATAGTAGATAGGAGGATGCCATTTGGCTTATTGTGCTACCCTTTCCTCTTTTTTCCTTTTCATCCACAACAGAAATTCAATGACGGATCTGAAAAAGGCGATGTCTAACCCCTGTTACAGGTTTTGACACCCAGCTCCACCACTTTTACACCTGCCTTTGATGTTTCGATCGCTCTTCAAGCTCGCTAAAAGAGCGCATCTCTTCAACGAGTCTCTTTGGACGAATTTGTTTGGTCAAAGTACCTCCTAAACAAAGGATTGGTACATCAGGCGACCACCCACTGAGTCATGGACTCCTCATCGCCCAGCTTTGTCACTATCATGAACCTCTGGACTGATTCATCATATGACCATGTGTAGAGCTTTAGTTATGCCCCACCACAGTCTCATGCTCGGGCATAGAGCCTTTGAGTTTTTTCTTATGTGGCGAAACATTGAGTCTCAAGTGCCTTTTGGTTTGGATAGGGAGGTTTTCCACGCTTCTCAACCACCGTGTCTGTTTCCCAATGATCTGATTGAGTGATTAGCAGTCAGAAACCGAAAGGCTGGTTGTGATAGTATATATGAGCTTCGATTTTGCATGTTGAGGTAGCAATAGCATCTTTCATCCAGGAGTCATAATTGTCGCTGTATGCACAAGATGGAGAAACCCAATGGCCCTGCCACCCAAACATCTTCCACCACCAGCTCTGCGTCTGCATCGGACACGCAAAACGCCAGCTCAGCCGGCATCCCAATTCCCGGCTCTGAATTTCGGCTGGTCAGGCGAAGAACCTGGTCATCTCACCTCCCTCCTCGGTCCAGCTCTCGGTTCACCAGTCATATCAGTATCTCGCCTATCGACCCTCACTGCCGATTCATGGACCTTCCGTTATCGTCTTCGGTGGAATCCTATGTAAGCTACTCCTGGTTTCCTATCTCGTCCAATCGTGGCTTACTAAGGCACACTCCAGTATTCTTGTGCGGATCTTCCTGCGGATAAGCCCTGTCGTCGCATTCTAGCAAGCCAGGCTACACTGACTGCGAGGTATTGGGATCTACAACCTGATGGCGAGGACATGGATCCTCAACAAAAGTATCCCAGAGTGTTCCACAATAAAGCATGCTTGTGCTTCCCGCGAGGGTCCGTCGACGTTTCTCTTCGCGAAGCCCCTGTCCTTGACACCGGCGTCTGGAGACGGGGATTGGATCCGGATGCAGTTCGAGTGATATGACCTTGGGGTCAACCTGATCTCAGATGGGTATGCTACCACAATGTCAAAAAGTCAACAAACCCAGCAGAAAACATGGACATGGCAGTTCATCACCCACGAAAGACCTCCTGGGCCGTGGTTTTCACATACTGCCCCTCTCCGTGTAAGCTTTTTGCTGGCTTTGGCTACTCTCGCTGCTTGTGTCTTTGTGTTTTCCGGGTCATTGTCTTGACTACTTTCAAGACCGTTTGTTGGATCTGTCGATGTTTCTTAATAATTGCCTGTTCCGGAGGATCTCTACAACCCTGCTTGATATTTATCTAACTTGCTAATTCTGTTTTCACTCGGTTTATCTCTCATGTATGTAGTTCTAATGATCAGACCCTCAACTCTCTGTCCGTATCACTAAGCTTGGAAGCTGGTCATTTACTTCTTTGCACCTTGTCTTCAACATGAATGTGGTATAAACCTTCACATAACATCTGCACTAAGCATCTGCCGCCGCAGCAGAGGTATAACAAATCGAGCCCTAGATTAATTATGTCCGCATGGTGCCGTGCCGCGGTATGAAGATTCCTACTTTTCGGACTGCGAGTGTAGTGCCGATTGAAGAAGGTTGGTACAAGTTCTGAGATCATGCGCTCGCGCAGGTGAGTACTAGGTACTTTTCTGAGAATCTGGCCCTGATCCATGACGAAGCAGAAGGCTCGCGGGTATCCGATCGCTTGCGGGCGCGAACCCGGCCGTCCAGCGGAATAATGCCATGTCCACCAAACCGTCCGAATAACATGGAAGAACCGTCTGTGTTGCCCGTAAGGAGGAATTTTTAACAGGTCGATATCTGTGCTGTAACTGAGAAACCAAGCACATACGACCACAGGGTGTGGAAAACAGGGCTTCCCGTCCGCTCAGCCGTACTTAAGCCACACGCCGGGAGGTTAGTAGTTGGGTGGGTGACCACCAGCGAATCCCTTCTGTTGTATGTTTTTGTCCTCTGGGTTGAATCTTCTGTTGGCATTCAAGACCGAACGGGCGTTTCACTTTAATTCGGATTCATTGATTGACTTGATCACTTCTTGCTGCTTAGTGGTAGTCGTTGAGCGGACGACGTGTGCTACTGCCCCGGGGAAATTCGTTACCACAGTCATAAGCGTCAACACTACGAGCTGCGATCGAAAAGGTGGCTTGCTGTGGTTGGATCTTATAGCTGAGAACTTCAACAATACTTCGGCCACCGACAATGAGATTACTGCTTAAATTGGTCGGAGTCGTCAATGTCTTCGGCTCATGCTTCACAAGATTGATGTCGCAGTCTTCCATTGTATATATTTGAATCCTCTGTGATGTGATTACTGAGTATTCAGGCTTTGACGCCCGCCTTCAAACACTCCTACCAAATCGGCGCATTGAATCGGCCCATGCGCATTAGACCTCGGCTTGGGCAATGCAGTCTGACGATAATCGATCGCACTCAATACCGTTTGAGTACAAGGAACATCTGAATCCGATTTGGACCTTGGATTCTGCGTGTCTTGGCTGCAGCAAGATATATTACGCCAAGACCCACAAACGATTGTGAGGGAGCATGCGTCATACTACGCCGTGTGTGAGCTAGACTAGTGGCTACCAAGTCCTAATGAACAGATTGTGGCGTCTCGTCCAAAGGCGCAGAACGGTCTAAATCTCCGAGCAGATTGTACGAGGATGAGCCTTCTCATCTGGCCAAGGCGGCGTAACGAGATTCTCTGCTGATCCCAGCCGTAGCAATCTTAAACAAGCTCAATGTACCGGAAGAAGTTCGGCTGCGGCTAGACCCATGGTTAGAGTCCTCCGACTCGTCATCAGCGAATAGTGCACCAACGTTTGCCAAGAACTAAGCCTATTGTCCGCGCTGAAGTCTGAAGGCCCAAAGTTGGTTAAACTTCTTATCAATCTCAAGCTTCTCTCCAAGTGGAACCACTTTGCACGGCAGATGCGGAGACTAAACTTCTTGCAGCTTAAGTGCCTCCATCCGCACCGTCTTGGCAATTTTCGGAGCGGGGCGGGATCCCTCGGAGTCAACGGGATCGGAACTATGTTGTACTCAGTAGTACCTGCCTGGTTGCGATCATGCTTCAGCTGTTTCTTGACCATCTGTCTTCACCAGCAGCTAGCTTGCGAAGCCATGGCCCACGGCAATTGCTCTATATATTCAGTCACGACGCCCACCGAAAACTTAAGAAACAGACACGCAGAACATCTCCGATCATGCTTTCCTCTCTTGTACTCGCCCTCGTGGGCATCTCTGCGCCCTATGTTGCTGCGAAGACCAACACGCCGGGCCTGGAGCTAGTCTACTCCCTTGAGCGTGCTACCCAGGGCATCAGTATCTCCGCCGATGGCCGCAAATTCCTGACGCAGCGTTACTCCACGACCGCCGCGCCCCAAATCGTGGAGCTTCTCGCCGACAACAGCACCACCCTCTATCCGGACGCGGCGTGGAACGCATACAACTCCAGTGACCCCAGCTCCGACCCGACCACGAGCTTTGTCAGCGTCGATGGAGCGCGCATCGGCCCGGATGGCCGCTACTGGGTTGTTGACGGCGGCTCGTCGGGCGTCAATGGCTCAACCAAGCTGGTGGGTGTCAACCTGACCACCAACGCAGTTGACAAGCTGTACTACCTGGACAACGTCAAGGCGGAGGAGAGCGGTGTCGATGACGTCCGCTTCAACGCCGCTGGCGATGTGGCCTACCTCAGCGACACCGCGGGGGCGCTCATCATCCTGAACATGACGACCGGCGACGGCGTGCGTGTGCTCTCCGACCACTCTTCTGCTCAGGCCTGGTTCCCCATGATGTACAACCACACCCTGGTGCCTGGGTACGGCGCCGCCGGCAGCACCCTCGCCGTCGGCCTCGACCAGATCGAAGTCTCCCCCGACGGCGTCTGGTTGTACTACCAGCCCTGCAACGGCGGTCTGTACAAGATCGAGACCACCTATGTTGACGCTGCTCTCACCAACACTACCCTCGCCGCCTCGCTTGGTGACTATGTCCAGGCTGTTGCTCTGACCCCCAGCACTGGCGGCACCACCATCGACGGCAACGGCAACATCTATTTCAGCGATACCAACCTGTTGGCCATCTGGAAGGTGACCCCCGAGGGTCTTGCCTCAATCCTCTTCCAGGATGACCGCCTGATTTGGACTGACCTTATGTGGGTCACTCCCGACAAAAAGCTGTGGCTGCCTGCTTCCCAGATGCGTCCGGGTGGTGATGGCCTGATGGCTGCCGGCCCCAACTACATCTTCACTTATCCTATCGAGGCCGGTCCTTCCCCGATTGACCACGCCTAATGAGTGACCGTACTGGACCTGTAACATACTAGTGGCATATCACCCGCGTGTATGATGGCATTGTGATCGTGTATATCTAAGAAACGTTATCTCGGCACGAGGCAGTAACAGAACATACAACTCCTGCTTGATAATAACCTACTCAGAGCTTTCCTATGAGTAACCTGTGCGTGATGACTTATTAAGTGGTTGTAACTTAACTATTTGCCGCACAGCAAGATTGTCGGTGGTCCTCAAGTAGCGAGATCACGCAATTGGCGCGGCTACCGGGGGGGGGGGAATCACGGGTCACGGGTCACGGGTCACGAGTCACGGGTCTTCTCGACAGATCCTGATTGGGTCTAGCCTATCAGTGCGGGAGGGCTTTCCCCAATTTGGAATTAGGCTGATTGTCCGTGTTCCGAACCAAACGAGCATCCCACCTTCAAGACAAAAATTCAAGAACCATCTCAGTGTCCGTCAGATTTCCCAAGGTTTTAGATCACAAATTATGGATGTTTGTAGCTCCGGTGACCTGATGCTTAAATAGCCAGTTAGTGCTTTGTGGCCAAGCGACGAGACAATACCTGCAATCTACACTCCACTGGGCTTTTTCCACTCTATCGTCTAACACAATGCCTAAGGGAACTAACACCTGGATCGAGCATCGCATGCCATCAATGGTACGTGAGAAGACAAGCTTTTCTATTCTGTCAGCATATTGTGCAATATCTTAGGTGGTTTAAACTGTATGACATGGTGAGTTTACGATTGAATGCCTGAATAAAATAGGAAATATATTGATTGATTCATACACATTGCGAATTTCGTTCTTCGCCCAGTCGTGATCTAATATCTCACCCTCGTTAAATGTTGCCAGATAGGAAAGATATTCTCATGCGGTCGCCGACGTTCTAGCCTGAGAGCGAACAGAATCTCGGTCGCATTTGTCGGCATAGATATCCAGACCATCGCCGATGATCTTCAGGAGAAGCCACTGTTCATTGCCTCGGATCAACCGGGCCCAGAGCTTCGCGACGGCAAAGCCCAGGTAGACACAGTCCGAGGGGATCGACGGTCGGGCCCACAGGTCCTCGTCTCCGGAGGTTCGGCCTTCTTCGACGATGTCGGTGATCCAGCTGACCAACCGTGTTTCGTGCTCTGTATGTCAGTATGTCAGCACCAATGTGTCCATGGTTCTCCGACCACACAAGCGGAAGAATACATACCGTCAAGCGGCCGCCTCGTCTGACAGTTCGCGATACAGAACAGCCATTTGCTGAGGAAGATGGCGAACTCCAGCCCACAAAGTGAGTGTTGGATGCTCCAGACGAATGCATGGCTCTGTGCCACAAAGTTCACGCCCAACTTGACGGGGATACTGAGGGCGTGGGTGGCATGCAGGATCGCGGGGAGGAGATGCGGCCCGGCGGGAAGCCGCGGCATCTCTAGCAGCCGGTTGGCTATCTCGTTCGCGTCTCGCGATCGAAGAATTCGGTAAGACCCAATATCGAGGCCGAGGCGAACATACGCAACCCCGAGGAACGCGGTCGAGGTGAAGGTCACGGGGCCGTTGGGGTTGCGGGGATCCAAGCTGGATTCCGGGGCGCGCTGCCATAGGGAAGTCCAGGCGTGAAGGGCGTGCCTTGCAGAAAGTAAAAATTTAGCCCGAGAGCAATAGGGGTCTTCGGTTAAAAGGCTAATTGAGCGGATTGACTTACCGCATTATCTCCTTCTGGCCATTGATTAAACATTTGTTGGCATCATTGTATGGCCCGAGAGCACGATACGCGAGGAGGATCTGCTGAATGAGCGCATGCAGCAGGATATAGTTCGCCTGGGGCGAAGGCACCGGGTACGCGTTTGGGAATCCCGGCGCCGGCGGGTATTTCATGATGTGACAGAGGGCATCTTGAAACATCATCTGCTCCCGAAACCCGGGCCTGGTTCGGATACGCTTCCATTTCTCCGAGCTTGGAGCGATCCACTCCAGGCAGCTGCATGGCAGGCGAACGCGAATCTCATCCGTTAGGATCACGGAGGGGGTGCCGAAAGCGAGAGACTGCAGGTTCAGAAGGGCAAAAGAAAACAGCTTAATCCTGCGATCAGTCTCTTCTTGGACCCAGGCCTGCCAGTCGGTGGCACTTGCATCGGGGTCTTGGTCGGCCTTCTCGAGCTGGCTTTCCCGGATGCATCGCGCCAGGAAGCTTTGAAGGTTGAATGCTTCTCGTGCTAGGTCCTCCTTTCCTTGCCAAGTCGCGAAAGCGATCAGGAGAAAAGCGCAGCGTGCGTCGCGTATGGTTTCGCGGTATTGCAAGCTCTCGTGATTTGGAATAGATCCCCGATCTGGTGAAGTCGTAGTGTCCCCAGGCGATAGGGCTTCCCCACCATTCGTCATTTGCCTTTCACGCGTTCGTTGCTGCAATATATCCATAGCCGCATGGAACAGCACCACCGCTTTGCGATTCTCATGGCGGAACTCAGCACCCAGGGCGCACATGGCCAAAAGACACTCTGGCTCACATTCATCAATCCTGAACGTTGGGATGTGCACCATGGGGTAATGCGGATAGAATCCATCGAAAAAGCCATTTGCAAACCGTGACAACGAGTGGCATGATGGCAGGTTGTTGACCGCTTCAGTTGAATGGGCCCGCGTCAGCGTTTGAAGCAGGCGATCGCGATGCTGATTTGTAACAGTCAGGATTGGCAGCGTCAGAACGCCGAATTCCGCTATCATCGATGTTTAGCTGCACCTTCAGGCTCGGATGGATGTTCGAGATGGTCTTACCGACCGCTTCTCTCTCGGTTGGTAACTTGCTCAGAGCCTGACCAGGATCAACGGGATATGCACCAATAGATGAGTTTGTATTGAGATTGAAGCTTGAATCGCCCGCGAAGATCTGTGTTATGCTAGGTTCCGTTGGGAGATACCATTCGTTGTTTAGCCCCATGTTGTTACTGAACATCTCCAGATCTTGCAGGACCAGCAGATCCTGGGAGCTGAAGAGCGGATTCCCTACATTGGAGTCAATCCCGGTCCGGTGGTTTGTCGCGAATCACCAATGAGATATGCTACTACACCATACCTTCGAGTTGCACATTGGGATAGTGGCTAGTCTGGTTCGGAAGCCCTTGGGCGATGTCATGAAGATCTGCTAGCTCCGGCAAAGATGGCTGGAGATTGGAATGGGAATACTCTACTTGAGACTGGACATTGCTGGTATGGTGAACCTCTGCAGGTGACGGGTCCTCCGTCGATGGAGTAATCGGAGCGTGGCCAATACTTTGGTGGCGCTTCAGCAGATCTCGCCGACTGAACGATGCACCGCAGTCACATTCGTAGGGTTTCTCATGTGTATCTAAAAATTGCCATTATCTCAGTCTCATAGACCCACATTCGGTTTCGCGGGAGGTCTGCACTAACGAATTCGAAGATGTCTTTGGAGATGTTCGTAGCGCCGGAAGGATCGCTCGCAGTAGGAACATATCCGAGGCTTTCGCTTGCCTGCTGATGATGACTCCGGGGTTGGTCCTACTGAAGACAACTCCATGCGTGATTTTTGGAGGTTGGGAGACAATGCTGAGAGTGTGTGTAAGGGAGAGTTAAAGTTTAGAATGGAGACGTTAGAGGTATGGAGGTGGTAACAGTCACGTGGCCACCGCCACGAATGACGTCGATGACATGCCCTAACTAGGGATTTACACATCTATACTACACTCATGCTTCTCGACACCTTCATTGTTCATCTACATCATACCTCCATATCATGCCAAGAATAGAATCACAAAAATATCTTAATGATACATGTAACTGTTACACCTCAAGATTCGACTACATAACAAGCGGGGAGGTTGAACCTGGAGGAACATTCTGGTCGATGTCCAGGAATACGCTTCTTGAGCTTCTCGACGAGATAGTCGTAAGAGGTGTCCATGTCGACGTGGTAAGTTCGGACAAGATATACATCTTCCCACCATTTCATTCCGGCAGTCTGAAGTACTCCATCGACGTTCTCAAACGCTAGGTCAATCTGCTTCCGGGTATCGCTGGCATCGAGACTCCCCGAGTGGTCCAATACCCTTTCACCAATTATGATGGTCCGGCTTCGAGGTTTTATGATCATTGCTGCTGGAGAGGTGCGATACTAGGGGTAACCTGCCTGCGTGGAGATGACGTGAGACCTTTTGGGGGCGTCTCGGCAACGTCGATGGTTCCCTATTAGAGATCATGCAAAGTAAATTATGACAGCTTGGCATCGCCTAAACATTTCGAATTCAAACTCACTATGTGTGTCTAGCGGCCACATATCCTGCACGGCTCTTCTTGCTTTCAATGCTGTGGTCAAGCTGCGCATGTGTCGGTAGATGATATCGACCTTTTCCGTCCTCCCGGGCCAAGTAGGGTACAGTCCATGGCGAGATCAAGGTACTCTACAGAGCTTATGAAGGCTCAATGAACAGGGACAAGCAATATTCGGAACCGCATGCTGACATATGAGCTCTTTGCATACCCGACTTCATGAGTACTGGACTTATCATTTGCGGTTTCTCATGCTGGGTGACGTTGGAGGTGTTGGAGGTGGTATGGAGGTGGTATGGAGGTGGTACCCACAAATGCTCCACAGCTCCATCCACCGTCGATATCAGCCGTGGCAAAAGAAAATGATCTTCAAGGGCCTCCAAAACGGTTCCAATCATCAATCTCAGCTGAGAGGATCATTCAAGATCATGAAAATCAACCGTTCTTCGCATAACCTGACCCTAATCAAGAGAAATATCACGAACGTCCAACATAGCGACACCAAATTCGGCTCGCCATGACGCCCTACAAGCTTTTCGAGCCTCTGCAGATTGAAAACCTTCATCTCGAGCATCGAGTTGTCATGGCTCCGCTCACTCGACTCCGCGCCGACGCAGAACACGTCCCCTTAGCCATAGCCAAAACGTACTATGAGCAACGAGCATCTGTGCCAGGGACGCTGCTCATCGCCGAAGCCACCCAGATCTCAGCACTCGAAGGCGGGATTCCGCATGGGCCTGGAATTTGGAGCGAGCCCCAGATCCAGCGCTGGAAAGAAATCACCGACGCCGTGCATGAAAAGGGCAGCTTCATTTATTGTCAGTTGATCGCGCTGGGCAGAGCGGCTGATCCTGCTGTGCTTCGTGCAGAGGGCGGATATGAGCTCCACGCCCCCAGTGCGATTCCGATGGAGCCTGGAATGCCCGTTCCCAAAGAATTGAGAGATGAAGAGATTCTGAACATTATCAATGACTTTGCGACAGCGGCAAAGAATGCAATCCGAGCTGGGTTTGACGGCGTTGAGATCCACGGAGCAAACGGCTATTTAGTCGATCAGTTTCTTCAAGATGTGTCAAATCAGCGCGTCGATCGCTGGGGCGGCAGTGTTTCCAATCGAGCCCTGTTTGGGCTGGAAGTTGCCAGGGCTGCAGTGGATGCTATCGGGGCTGACCGCGTTGGGTTTCGACTCAGTCCGTGGAATACTTGGCAAAGTATGAAGATGGCCGATCCCGTTCCTCAATTTGCCTATTTTGTGGAGCAGCTGAGGCAGTTGGACCTGGCTTACCTGCATCTCATCGAGTCGCGGGTCATCAACAATATGGACTGTGAACAGGGGGAAAGTAACAAGTTCCTTCTCGACATCTGGGGCAAAACTTCCCCTGTGCTTGTTGCGGGCGGATATACCCCGGGAAATGCCGAAGCTGCTCTTCAGGATGACTACAAGGATTACGAGGTCGCAATCGTCTTTGGACGCCATTTCCTTGCGAACCCTGATTTGCCGTTTCGCATTCGCCAAGGACTTGATCTCAACCGATATCATCGAGAAAGCTTCTATACTCCTATACAAGAAAGGGGTTACATCGACTATCCCTTCAGTGCGGAATTTGCCAAAGTGAACAACTGATGTTTTCGGAGGACTTTGACCGCCCACAAAACACAACCCCAAAAATAGAAGGTAATGGGTAGAATCATCTTGCGGGCTTGTAATGAACCAGAGTCCGAAAGGTCCCATGCACAAATCATGCTGGATAATATATGTCTTCTGCGCTGAGTACTCTCTTGACACGATTGAACTTAGTAGCATAGTACTCAAGCAAAAAAAACCATCTTAGTAGGGCTTCACTATCTCAGTAATATACTACCTGATACTGTTTCTCCTTGTTTGCAAACACGGGTGTTAAAAAAGTGATAGAAATGCTATGATTGATCGATCGATTCCATCTGCTCTAAACTCCTTCACCGCCTTGATTGATAATCAGCAAGGTATATTGTCACGTGACTACTGATGACGATAAGAGGAAAGGGTGTATTTCTAATCTTATCAAGCAACCCCGCGGCTTCATCTTCACATCAACAATAATCGCCACCCGAATTTCGTCAAGATGGAGCAGGAGATTCCTGTAGCAATAACGCTGGACAACAGCGAAGTGTCTACTCCTACGTAAGTGACTGAATCACATTTGCTCCTCATTAGACCTTGTGCTAAACCCCCTTCCCCAGGACACTATGCTACGAGTGCGGTGCGCCCTTAACAGGCACGACACTCTGCACTGACTGCATCAAAACCTCGGTCGACATCTCTGCGGGCATCCAACGCGACGCAGTGATACACTACTGTCGGGACTGCGAGCGATGGCTCTCACCCCCGGCTACCTGGACGGTCGCCGCCCCCGAGTCGCGCGAGCTACTGGCTCTGTGTCTGCGCAAACTGAAACGCCTCAACAAAGTGCGGGTGATGGACGCCTCGTTCATCTGGACGGAGCCGCACTCGCGGCGCATCAAGCTCAAACTCACCGTCCAGGACTCCCTGGACAACGACGCCCTCGTCCAGCAGAGCTTCGAGGTCACGTACTCCGTGCTGTACCTGCAGTGCCCGGACTGCAAGAAGTCGTACACGCACAACCACTGGCGGGCCAGCGTGCAGGTGCGCCAGGCGGTCATGCACAAGCGGACCTTCCTCTACCTGGAGCAGCTGATCCTCAAGCACAAAGCGCACAACGACACGATCAACATCAAGGAGGCGCGCAACGGGGTCGACTTCTTCTTCGCGCAGCGGAACCATGCGGAGGCGTTCGTCGACTTCCTGCATTCCGTCGTACCCATCGAGGTCACCAAGTCCCAGACACTGATCTCGGAGAACATCCACACGTCCAAAAAATCATACAAGTTCAGCTACTCGGTCAAGCTCGTGCCAGTATGCAAGGATGACCTCGTCGCATTACCGATCAAGCTCGCGCGGCAGATTGGCAACATCGCCCCCTTGGTGCTGTGCCAGCGCGTCGGCACGTCCATCACCTTCCTCGACCCCAACACCCTCCAGACCGCCGACTTGCAGCCCAAGATCTACTGGCGGGCGCCGTTCACGCCGCTCGCGGAGGCGCCCAACCTCGTCGAGTTCATTGTCCTCGACATCGATCTCACCGGCCAAGGGGAGGGCAAGTGGCAGCTCGCCGAGGTGACGGTCGCGCGCGCCTCGGACTTCGGCGGGGACCGGCAGTACTTCACGCGATCGCACCTTGGGAGCATCCTGCACCCCGGCGACTCGGTGTTGGGCTACATGATCACCGGGGCCAACTTCAACAGCCCCGAGTTCGAGGCCCTCGAGGAGTCGAAGACCTACGCTTCCCGGATCCCCGACGTGGTGTTGGTGAAGAAGCACTACCCGCGGCAGCACAAGAAGAACAAACGCAATTGGAAGCTGAAGCGGATGGCGGTCGGGGAGAGTGAGCTGCTGCCCACCGACCACGAGCAAAGCCGCGTGGAGAATGATCTTGAGATGTTCCTGCGGGATGTGGAGGAGGATGAGGAGTTGCGGGCGACTCTCGCGCTGTACAGGAACAAGCCCAAGGACGACGAGGCCAGCGTGGCGGGGACCGAGTGGACTGATAGTGAGGTGCCAAAAATCAACATGGAGGAGCTGTTGGATGATATGGATGCGTTGGAGATTCATGAGGCTTAGGCTACAGTGCCTTCGGGAATATGCGAGTGACCAACATATTACATCCAGGATAGTTTTGTTGGATTTCTTTGGGATGTGTTGATCCTCATCGAGAGAAGAAGAAGGGCATCTGTATAAATGCTGTCCTAGGAAGCACTAAGACAAAAATATAATCATGCCCTGGTTCTTCTTGTGTCAGGGGCCGAAGGCAGGCTGCGTACCGCCCGCCACGCCACGTTGATACATAGTTCCGTCTTTAGATAGTTTGACGTAACTGAACTGATCATATATCTACGTCCCTGACACTTTCATAAATCATTTAGGCTTAAACGTCAGCTGTACATTGCTTTTGACACCCCACATGTCCTGTGCCTTATTTGGTTCAATATCCCATGTTTAAGGTGTATGTGTATGAGGTGCAACTAGCGACGAATGCATCCAGGGACACTTAGGGTTCCATAGACTATTTGTCGAAACACGAGTTGAGGGAGGTCCGGGACCGTGCCCTCATACCCGATGAGTAAGAACCTTTTTCCCATGTCCGGTGAGCCCGCTTGGCATACTAGCTTGATGGGGATGGAGGTAGCGAGGTAAGCTCGACAGGTTCCAATCGCATGCTAAATGACGTGATACAGGCCAAAGGCCCTAAAGGAGTTGAATTTCAACTTGATAGAGTGGTGCAAAATCGAATGCGCGAAACACATGTTTGGGAGACAAACAAACATGATCACTCCCATTGGCCCTGCATCAGGCAATAATCAGCCGGGCTTAGAAAACCTTGGAATTCTATGGCTAAGGGTGCGGCTGTAGCAAGCACTTGCCAAACAACATATATATACAAAGGTTTCAATTTGGGTATAACGGGTATTGATAGCTATTAAAGTCATTGAGCCGAAGTAACGGGCACGAAGTCGGCGAACTCAGCGGGGAATTCGAAGTCCAAGGGAATTGCAATCGACGGGTCTACAAATGCAGGGTAACTGTTCCTCTCGTGTGGCGTCCATGATTCAGACAAATCGGACGGAAAAGGGCTGGTCGTTGTGTCGGCCCAAACTGTTGTCCCAGGGTTCTGAGCTGTGGAGATAGGGTCGCCCGTAGGAAAGGGTTGATTGTGGGGTTGCGAAGGCTGCACTTCGATAAGCGTAGAGGTGTCCCCAAGTTCGTCTACCATGCCCCCGCGACTCTCTGTGCCTGAAAAAAGCGACTGCGAGAGTGCAATGAACTCCTCGAAGAGATGTTGTATAACCGTGACAGGATGACTGCTCGAGACACTGGGCAACAGAAAAGTCGCTACCATCTTGAGAAGGTTCAAGTCCCCGAGATTGGACGTCGTCACGGCGTTGCAGAACAAGACAAAACACGCGGTCAAGGGGTAGAAGGTTAAGGTCCTATTTGAACGTAGCGGGCTTGTCAGCGATGCAGTCGATTGAGCGCAAGACCATAACAGGGGAGGGTCCAAATTACTGACCAATGCAGGAAGCCGACGGCACGGTCTTTCTCGTTGATTAGACATATAGATAATAATGACGATAGCTCCTGGCGCGCAGATTGAAGAAGCAAGTCTCCAGACCCAAATACCCGGCCGTGAAATTGATCAGAGAGATAAAGAATTGTGGTTCGGATGGAGTGGTGAGCGAAGCGAAGGGCAGCAATCTCGTTCTCAGCATCAAGGCCCTTCCAGCATTGCGTCGAGGACGCAGATACCTTACATTCCGGTCAGCGTCAGATCGCATGCTATAGAGTGTATACGCAGTATGCGTCGGGAATATAGATCCTGGCGAGGCAAGATCGTACCTGCTCAATGTGTTGCTCAATCTCATCCACTCTCTGCAATAGTGATTCGACGGAACAGCGCTGAGGAAGTTGGACGGAATGTGAGCTGTTCGACAGGATGTTCTTAAGTAATGATAATGTGTCATCCTGTACTCGGGCCATGGCAATATAGACTGCGAGAAGATCGGCGGCTGTGCCATCAACATGGTCGTCAAGCATCCCGGGTTCGATCTCGAAGAACGTTCGCGAAGGTTCGAATTTCCACGCGTAATTCTTATCTAGCATATAACACCAAAGAACACAGAAGACTTCTTCCTCTGTCCTGGATTTCTGCTCCGTGTCAGGACTCACCTTATCGAGTCCTAGGTCAGTGGCTATCCGACAAGCAGTCCGAGTCAATTCGTAACAAAAGTGAGTATTGCCAGAGCCTTGATGAAGGAAAACCTATTGCATCTCCGTTAGAGATCGACATAAAACACTGTATCGCAAAAGTGAGGTAGAGGATATACCCACCCCACAAAGAAGGGCCTGAAGAAGTGAGATGGAAGGAGTGATTGTGAGTCGAATGCGCTCTAACGCTGCCTGTGCGGCGCGTTTATATTCAGCCGACCGAACTCGCAGATGGTCGGCGAGCTCGTCATCATGCTCTCCAATCATGAGAACGGTCATGAGGAATTTGTGAGCGGCGGCGTGGACGCAGACGCTAAAAATTTGTCTCTCGTCATTCGAGACATGGTTGGACAACAGCCTCAAACACATGCGCTTCAAAGTGGTCTTGGAAACATGTTTGAAATAATCCGACACATATATTCCGAACTTTGTACTGCCGATATCTTGTTCAACCGAGCAAGGCCGTATTAGCTCCGGCGCACATGGCCTTTTCTTTTCAACATGATGTCAAGGACGCCTCTTACCTTGTAGCATCCATGTCAGAAATTCCGGAGGCACACCCTGTTCGTCCTGGAGGGGTGAACTTGACCCTTGAGGGGCATGAGTTGCACGAACCAAAGCCGAACGTAACACCTCCTGCGCTTTGCAGACCAAGCCGTGCTCGAAATGGCCCATGTGGCCTGGAATCATGAAGCGAGTCTCGATGGATCTATTTAGTGGCACCCAGGCAGCCAGGTCACAGCCAACTGGTACTCGCTGATCACTGCTCCTAGGCTTTGCCTCTAACCTGATTACAGGTGTGTTGCTTGTTTCGATTTCTCTGGAATGGATCCTTGATTCTTGCTGTAAGCCAGACCGTTCAATGGGAATGTCAGTCTCAGTCAATGCGACCGGCTCAACTCTGCTAGGAGCGACTGCCTGAACGGTGGTCGTCGCTGAACTCGTAGTCTGAACTTTAGGCTTCAGGATTCTTTTTGGCAGGCGTCGCCGAGTTCGTTGTCTTTGGCAAGAAAGACCCTGATCAAGGCAATTGCTACATGGTAGTCCTCGATTGCACCGAACCTGGACACGATATTAATGTGAATTTCGATACGCTAGGTGCCGGGAAGAAAGATGGTAATTTACCTTCCGGGCATGACAAGAGTCGCACTGTGTAATTGTCAGCCTAATTACCTCTGTGGAAAAGACCGGCGGGCAGAGTTTCATACAGCTGGAAAGGGGTAGGTGTGTTGACGATTGTAGTCTGTGGCTTGCATAGTCTACCATTGTCCTAGAGCATCAGGTTTCCATGCTCCAGTAATTGCTATCTTATAAAATAGTCCTTCAAGTTGTGCACGCCCAAGCAAGAGATGTAAGGCGCAGTTAGGCCCTGTAGGTTATTTTGACTGCTATTTTGACTGTGGCGAAGCCTTGACTTATGCTTGGCGATTAGTAATATTTCACCTGGGATTGTTATGAACCCTCAGGAAAACCAGGAAAATGGACCAAAATTAATTCTGACCACGCAAACCTTAAGGCTTGAAGCCCCACAGAATTGCACGGTAGCGGAACAGGACACACGCCAATTGGTTCGGTCTTGCCCGCCATAAGGCAGTCGCACCTTGCCCTGAACAAACCCTGTTACAAAATCCCTGTTCTCGATGGGTCAAAGGGTCGAAGTGGTAGCAGTTTATACCGGGGTAAAGGGAATGTCGGCAGATAACTGGTCTAGTCCTACCCAGGGGTGTGCAGTCTATTGGATGTAAAGCGCCAAGACCACCTTCAACCTAGATTTAATATAGCACTGGGGCTCAGAAAGGACAAAATTCAACGTCACTTGGTTCTAACCAGAAAAACACGTAAATCAGTGCAAATGATCTTATGTGGCGTTGTCGACACTGCGCCCGAGAACGTACCACTAGTCTTCAAAACCGTGTCTCGCCTAGTGAAACTGTAGTTATACAAGGAGGAAGGTCAACTATTCGCCTTTGAAATTTATGGTACAGTACAGCATAAAGCAACAGTAGACGTTGTGTTCAGCCACCCTATCGGGGCCCGCGGGGCCGAGCTGGGGCTCTCTGATCAGAAACAGTGCATATGCAATTGCAGAGCAAGGTTTAGCCTGTTGCCCTAACTGGAGGCACCATTGCTTTTGTGGAGATAATCAGAGACAGTGGGTGTCAGAGTTCAATGGAGGCTTGGCATTCAGATCACGCTGCTGATACACTAGGCACTTCCTTTATCTCATTTGTGCCTTTCTGCGTAAATTAAATGACAGCCTGGCCTCATTAGAGTGGTGTTACAGGGACAGCCCGTTAACTATGGGTGTCTCGCGGTCGCTCCGCAAGGTCTCACTCACCCGTCAAGCCCAAACTTCAATACTGGCTGGCTAAGAAAGCAGTGACAGAATAACTAGGGCCCTCTCAAAAGACCCTTTTCCAGAACATTACAAGAACGCGACCGAGAAGAAGACACCCAGGCAACCCACGAGGTAGGTGACTGGATGCGAAGGCTCGGGGCCTGGATGATTGGGCACGGAGGCCCCATCCTTATCCCGAACCAATGGGGGTGCCCGGTTACGCTTAGCCCACCGCAGCGCGCGCCCCGCTCTTAAGCCGAACCCCCCCCCCCCCCCCCTAAACTCGAGACTGTACCTATGTAAACCTTCCAGGTTGTCATCTTCTGCAACTTTCAGTCGGAAAGAAGTTCATCTTGCTGAAAAGAGAGACGTGAAACGTGGGAGCTGAAGGGGAAAGAGATTTGCTGCATTTTGATACTATGCTCGTAGTCCCGAACAAAAATAGCCGTAGCATTACTCCTCCAGATCATGACAAAGGCCAAGAAAATGCGCCCACTGAGTCGGCAGTCAGAGTCACTTACAAAATATGTCTCGCACAGTCGATAAATGTCCGAAGATTCTAGGTCAAAGTCTTTGGCATTAGATGATAACCGGCCTGAATCTCATCTTTCTGACTGTGCTGACCTTCCATGTCTTTCATGATGAGTTTCTTTGATCCTACCTCGTGTATGGAGTCACAGGTCGAACTAGACAAGCGTGAGCCGACATATACGAATAACGATTGCGTGTCGGGCCGCCTGATCCTCAATCTAGACTCCCCAGTCGACATATCGCAGATCACCGTTACACTGTTGGGACGGTCTATTTCGAGAATGGAAGGCTCAAGCCACACGGAATGTCACCAGGTATATCTTTAAAATTACCTGTGGCGTGCCAGTGAAATGCAGGCTGACCAGACTCAAGCTTATTCAGGAGGCACAGCAGATATTTCCCCCATGCGGGCAGCTGGATCAAGATACCTCGAGGTTCCGGACCCTAGGGCCTAAGCAGTACACATTTCCATTCTCCGTAGCAGTACGTGCTCATTGAATGACTACTGTGATACCGTTAGTGACTAAAGTTTCCCTTGCCAGTTTCCCACGGTATCGGGATGCTACAAAGCACACTCGACCAAGTCTCTGGAGAAACATTCCCAAACCGAGTCCGCGCTACCCGTCCGAGGGCAAGAGACGCCCCATTTGCTCCGCCGACTTCCTCCCTGCACGGGTGATCGGTCCACCCCCGCGGAGATTGCATATGCCGTCGAAGCCAACATCTATATCGGCGGCTTCCTGAAGCAGTCTATCAAGCAGGTTGCGTGACATGCACATCTCGCAACACGTCCCTCTTGCTGACACAACGAAGCAGTCCCGCCAAATATTCTTCTGCCCCACATCCAGCCCCCCGCCCCCAAGGCAGTCTCTCGCGCGACACCGCGCCGTCATCATCCGCTGCCATCAGAGCAACAACGTAACCACCGCGCAAGAGGTAACGGCGGCGATAGCCACAACGTACCATGTCAGCATCGAACTCATGTGTGGCGCATATCTCCACCTCGGCCAGCGACTTCCCATCAGAGTGCAAATTACCAAGGTCAATGCCGCGGATCACGACCTCATCCTGAACGATTTTCAGGCGATGATCGTCGAAGAAACGGAGGTGCGGGCCGCGGGCCAGGTCCGGGTCCAGCGTGTCTCGCGGATCTTGCGGACAGTGAGCAATCTGCGCATGTTCGTGTGTCTGGCGGAAACGCCCGTCGGGACGGCGGTCAATATACCGGATGATTTCTGGGGCGGGCAACTCCTCCCGACGGCGATCACGCCGACGTTCGAGACGTGCAATGTGCGGCGCAGTTATAAGCTTGAGGTTCGGCTGGGGTTCAACAGCCGGCCGTCGAAGGTGAGTTCTGACCAAGTTAGAAAGTCCTCTCCTGCGGAAGGGAAACCGATACGAGGGCATTGGGAACCGTTCTCTGATTGCTTCATGATTTGCGCAGGTCCAGACGAGAATCCTCGAAGTTCACTTCCCGGTTCATATCGTGGCCACCGAGCCTGCGCCCATCCCGAGTTCGGTTCCGCGATTCTCTGACAAACAGCAGGACAACATCGGGGATTGCATTCCATGGCAAGGTATGACGCAATGACTTATCTATAGATCCAATATATTAATGACTTGATCACGCATTGCTGAAAATAACCCGACCTTCAATTGTAATATAGACTCCGCTGATATCTTCTAGCGACCAAATATCTGGATAGTAGAACGGTTGACTAACTATTGCTCTTGGTCGCGGTCGCTCAAATCTTGTGCTTAATCTCTTAGTAAGTAGGTTTCTGGGAACGATCTTAGTCTTGCTTGTCATGACATCTTATCGCTTGAATACATGCATGACCGCCTTACAATGGAACAGCACTCAGAGGGATTTAGGAGCTGCGTTTGATTCTATACGGCCATGGATCACGAACACGACCACAACGGAATGGATCAGAAACCCCCAAGTTGAGCATTACGAAGCATTTTCTCTATACGTCCGTTGAAGTGACACAGCCCACATCCATATCTCTAACACAAAATAGCCATCACCAAAATGCCAACTAATCCCACCGCGTACTTTCTTGTATGGGTCACAGCACCCGCCCCTCCCGTGGCCGACGCCGTCGCAGCAGTCCCGGACTTTGTAGTTGAGGACTTCGAGTCCTTTGTGCTCTTGGAGGTCGAACTCGATATTGCTTTTGTTGGAGTGGGGAAGGAAGTGGCGGTCGCGGTGGAATTGACGTCGCCGGTGCACCAGACATCTGCCCAGGCGACGCCGCCCTTGTACAGACAATCGGTTAGATCCTGCACCGATTGCCCCACGGCAAGAGCGTAGAGTGCGCAGTCGTTATCGTACGGTTTCACCCCGGCGGGAAGCGCGCACGAGTCGAAAATGGTCGAGTAGTTGGCTTGGTTGGGCACACCACAGGCGGCGTCGTGGACGGGGAGTTCGTATTGATAGGAGGTTCCACAAGCTGTGGAGGTGGCGGCGGCGCCGGTTGTTGTGGCGGTGACCATCGTTGGCGTAATATGGGATTTGGCCGGAGGAGGTACAGAAACTGACAGATATTCGAAGGGTGAAGAGGGCGAGATATTTCTTGCTAGGATTATCTTGTGGAAGAGCTTTAGCCCTGGGTGTATATATTCGATCTATTTTCTGTGCCAGGGTGTTTGTGGGGCTATATAACGAGCGGTTATCCGGGCTTTCGGCCGCCTATTTTTAGCCGGCATAAGGCCACCGGTCTGGCTGAAGGTACGCCGTTTCGGGGGAGTTGAGATTCCTCTGCTCGTCGTATGAGAGGGTGTGGGCTGCACAGCCCTGCCACGGATATAGGCGGCCCACTGTCTGGTAGCACCTTGCTAACATGCAATGACGGGGCCCTCGGATTCCGATTATGTGTGGACTGGAGACTTCCCACACGAATGGAAAAAGAAAAGTCGGGCCAGCTCCATTCTTCTCTGTGCTAAGCATGAGACATTGACCCCAATGACTCTAATAATCATCTACGAGAATCCTACCCTCTACACTTTCCGTACCCTCTCCATATGGCAAACAAGTCAATTCGGTCTCACTCACACCCCAGAATAATTTTTTAATTTAAAGTTTTCCACGTGCGATATTATCTTATATTCTTGACTCTTATTATTTACTTTACATATCTCGTCGACGTGTTTGAATTTCGATCTTTCATCTGTTATCTCTGACCCATTGGAACAGAGACGGAAGAAAGTATACACCCATGAAATTCAAGTCTTGTACAGCAGGCCTTGGAAGGCAGAAGAAGAGACGCAATGATAAGATAACCCACATGCCTGTCATTCATATCATATGCAAAACATCCTACCACCACTATTGATAAAGAAAGCATGGGTAGACAACGGAACGGTATCAGTTCTTCTTCTCAGTGCTATGGGCATATCATAAAATCCAGAAAGACAGGACAACATCCCATCTCCGGGATCCACCCGGTATTCAACTGTGCCTGTTTACCTAGAAGACTGCTGCAAATTATCCTCCGCCAGTACGGGTCCACGAGCGAAGTGCCTCTGTATCTTCCTCTCCGGGCCGGCGGGACAAGATAAAGGATCGCAGGATCAAGAATTGATGATGAATATGGCGCTGACTGCTGCCATATGCCGAAGGGCTATGGAGATAGCCTTGGAATCGCTGTTTCTTGGACCCGAAGTGATGGACGAATACCGGTCGCATTGGCGGAATGCAACCGCAGACGATAGTCACAAATAGCTCCGACGTGGACCAGATACTCGAGTCGAGGGAAGACCCTAGTTCAATACGAAACATCAGTCAGCACTTCTCTGGCCGATGCAAATTATGGTACGGTCACCAAGAATCATACAGGTTAGATCGCTACGAGAGCGTAATCTGACGACGTAGGTAATCTTGACTATGCCACACGCAGCGGCTCTGTTGGTGATGACACCCAACCAGTCAGTAATAAGAATGAGAAGATAAAAAGCAGTCTCACAAAGATATTAATGGTTTCCTCGGCAGTAGACACTCACAGTGGTCCAAGTCCCAAAAGCGCACACGCGGCCACCCGCTGCTTTACGGACAACTGTGCATGCCAGATAATAGGCATGGGAATGGTGGCAAGGACCAAATCGATGAAAATATTCCACACTAGACTTGCACGAATCAGCGAGACATGCTAAATGGTGTATCTCATTTATTTAAACGAACCCGAGAAAAACAGGGAGAAAGCGGTTTGCACCCTGGGGTCCCAGCATTTGTGCGGAATCCACGGTTCCCACATAGCACGCGGTGGAGTGCACTGCACGAAGCCGAAGATATAATCAATTCCACAAATGGTACATGTTAGGCTTATAATGAGCCAGAGTAGCCACCTCGTTCGGCGGCTGTTGGGTCCGAGGATGCGCCGGATCTGCAGCGCGACCGACGTCTTGCTGGTCGCAAACCCCAGAACCCCGAATGTTTGAGCAATCCACTCATACTTGACCACTAGGAGTTGTTGCGTCGTGGTCAAGTAGTACATATGGCGGGCAGCCCCGATGACAGCCAAGTATTGGGCAAAGGCGACCATATTGATGAACAGAAGCTAGGGATGTAGTGAGCGATGGCATTGGCGGCAAAAATGGATCCGTGTTGCCAACCTACTATTGTAAATGTCATGATATAATCATCAACTCCAAAGCCCTTGACCAGGCGTCGCCCATAAAGGCGAAGCGCGAGGGCTGTGACTGCTACAGCAGCTTCAGTCCAAAAGACTGCCATGATAGCCGGACCCCGATCTAGGTCTCCGCCCTGGGGCGGTTCGGTGGTGGCCATACCAGTGCCCGACTATTGCAAGACCATGACGATTAAGATATGTTGAAAGTGAGATTCAGCAGGAAGGGGTGGATAGGGTCTTATAACCGGCAGAACTGAGTGCATGTAGCATAGCGAAACTTGGCCCCACTGTCCGTCTCGGGGGCTGAACGACTGATCATCGCCGCCGGCCCGTGGTTAGGGCTGCCGCCAGACGCATGTCAGATTTTAGCTTCGGCTCCTTGCTGGACAATCCATCCTCAACCGATCCCCAGAACAAGGCATGTAGAGTACCTTCCACTTTCTGATTCCGAGGCCTGTTTACAGACCAGAGAGGATTGTGGCGGTCTTATTTGTTTTTTGTGCATCCCAGATTGAAGAATATCTTCGTCGGTAGTTGTAGAGAAACTTGGCAAAACATAATAAATATGGTCAGCGTACAGTCACATATCACAAGTGTATAGCTCGGAAGCTGACATGAAGTTGGTTTAATCCTGGTGGGTTTAGTTTCTGAAAGGTCCTTCCACCGAATGTATCGTAGCCAATCGAGTCAGAATGGTATTCCAGCATTCCAAATCATGGTAATTGACGAATTAGCTAGGCAAGGGGCTTGGCCAGTTGTTGGCTGACCTACCCCTCACGGATCGTCGTTTCCTGCATTGTTGGTGGCTGTGGTTTCTTGGCGAACAGGACAAAGTTGTATGAATCAAGTATTCTGGGGATAAGGTCTTTGGGGGGATCTTGGTAGCAACTAAGCACTACAAGAAGAATGGATCTGCCAGCCACGGCGGGCATGAACAAGCCTTGTTCTTTGCAGGATTTGGATGCACGAGCCGTTCCGCGAAGGTTGGGTCCACAGAGGTGTCAGGTAGCAAGTTATGTTTGAACGATCTTCTATCACCATTGATCGATGTGAAACTACAGGAGAACCGCATCGTCCGTCACGAGGCAGGGCATGGGTAGTAATCCGGGCTAGACCGAATATACTTACACACCCTGCCATGGGCCCCTAAGCATTCATTGTGCCGCAAAGGATGCTAGCTACCACAGAAGAATCGGCTTGATTGTCCTTCCACTCTTCATATTCCGGACCGCCTCCTCGAAATCCTCTGCCGGATAAAATCCAACAATCTTATGCAAAGGCAGAAGGCCCGACTTCACCCACTCAATCATCTGCGGCACGAACTCCCGGTGAACCACATCCCCCTCGACGACACCCATGAACACTTTTCCCGTTACCATGAACTCGTGAATCGGGATATTGACAGTCGCCGTTTCAGGCGCTGCCCCCAGCTGCACAATCTTGCCCTTGTTGGCCGTCATACGAACCGCCTCGGCCACGAGGTCCGGCACCCCTGTAGTCTCCAGCGTGACATCGACCCCAAGCCCGCCAGTCAGCGCACGCACAGCCTGTGTCACGAGGCTGAGATCTGCATCGGGGTCAATCCGAACCACATGCGTTGCTCCCAGCTTGAGGGCCAGCTTGAGACGGGCCTCGTTCCGGGCGATCCCAATAATCGTCTGACAACCAGCGATGCGCGCGCCCATCACGGCACTCAAGCCCACTCCTCCTAATCCAAGCACCGCGACCGTATCATCACGCCGTGCGCCCGCCGCTTTGAGAACCGCTCCTGCTCCCGTCTGGATCCCGCATCCCAGCGGGGCCAGCAGCTGCAACTCCTCCTTCCTCTCGACCATGCCCGCCACATTGATCACCGCGGACTCTTGCACGATCGTCCGACTAGCGAAACTCGATTGTCCAAAGAATCGGCCGAAGATGTCTGGTTCGCGTGTTTGTGGTGTTGTTGCTCCCTCCTCCCAGAAGACGCGGTCCGGGGACGTCGACTCGAAGTTGATGGGGTCGAAATTGTGGCAGTGGGCGGGGTGGCCCCGGCGACAGCACTGGCATGTCTGGCAAGAAGAGAAAGACATGAGGACTGGGTCACCGACGTGTGCTGTAGTGACACCAGGTCCGACCTGTCGGACGTATCCCGCTCCTGTATGAGAAGACGGTATGTCAGTATCGTCTTCAAGTACACCCCTGAAGACATGCAATGTAGGGGAACCACGGGAAATACCTTCGTGGCCCATCACCCGCGGATAATGCACGCCGTGACCACTTTCCAGCCCGGCGAAATGCAGGTCAGTTTGGCAGACGCCTGAGGCAATGACCTCAATCAGCAGCTCATGCTCACGGATGGGTCGCAGAGCAACGTTGCGCAGCTTCCAGCCTCCATCCTTGTAAGGACCGTAAGAGACCAGAGCTCGCCCGTTGGTGAGTTGAATGTCAACCATGGTAAATATTATTGGGGGGCTTACGCAGGTCTTCGCATGGTCTTAACAGATATATGCTCGTGTCAGCTCACTGCCGACTCAACATCCCGAGAATCGTTGCGCAAATCATATAGTCTCAGGGGTGGTCGGCATGCCGATTTCGAGACCGAGGCGTTTTGAGACATCCGGATTTCCGAGCGCTGAGGGTGGGAGCAAGCCACCTGGTGATCTTTGCTGTGGATCTCGATTGCGGTTTTATTGAGACACGGATATACAGATTTTATCTCGGGTTAGTCGGTCGTGCCCGAGACCCACTCCGCCGAGCTTGCGGAAATCTCGCCGCCTGAAAGATCCCGTTATGTATGCCACTCTGCTTCGCCTATGATATAATGGAGTGTCGACCATCATAGCCTATCTCCATTAGAGAGATCATCCCGTACGTCGGTATGCGCCGCCACTGCGGGAGACAAGAAGGATCCCGCGAGCCTTTGTCTAGTGCACCTGCGCTGCGATAACATTGGGAAGTCGTCTTTGCGGTCGGATCCTCAATCCGTGTCAAGTAGCTCACAAGACACGGTCATAAATGTGAGAGGAAAGACAGAGGACAAAGCCATATACCAGGGAGGCATGATGTATTCAAGCCTGAGGCAGCATTACTCGGGGTCAGGTTTCTGCAGACACGTGATAGCTATCTTTGGTTGCCCCAGGCGCCAAGGCCCACATCAAGGGGGTTTTGATGTCAGCGTTGCATCGCTCGGCTGACAGAATGTCAAGACACGGATCTAGCCGATTGTTTGCTCCAAAAGATTTTGGCTCCTGTCAGGTGCTCACCGTGGACTTGTTCCATACACAAATGTCTGGACTCCAGCAAGTCAAAACAGAAGATTGGCCATCAAAATCCCAGGACTCGCTTAATTGATGTAGGAAAGAGATCATGCCATTTTGGATTCACTGATGCTACGAGGAAGAACCTCACTCCTAGCAAATATATTGGTTGACATCTTGGGCAAGATGCCCGCAAGACGACTCTAAAGCGGCAGGGCCTTTGATCCAGCACCTCGAGCCGCTGCCCAATTTTCTGCTGCAGCTCCTCCAACGCCTGCTGATCCTCCTCCATGCAATCCACGCCATCACCCTCATAGGACGGCTCCTCGTCATCGGTGTCATAGATCGTGGTATTCATCTACGGTGTCGGCCCAAACCCGTCGCAGAAGACCATGTAACTTTCGTCATGCATCCCAACCGTGATCTCCGTCTCGCGCTCAAGGGGGGTCATGTCCTTCGCCCCACCACGGCTCCGAGCGCCCGTAGCTGAAATGACGCAGGTGGGGGAGCCTCACCTGAAAGGCCCGGAAGTAGTGGTGCCAGCGCTTGTCGTATGTCGCGAAGTGTTTATTGCGCAGCCCAGCTTTGTGGGTATATCGGCCGGGTTCCAGGCAGGCCCGGTCGTTGTTGTAGACGGAGACCTCGAAGAGGATAGGGTTGTCGTCGAGGTAGAGCTCGGTCAGGGTCTTGCTGTGCGAGAGGATCCACTCGAGTTGGGAGTCGTGAACGAATGCGTATTTACCCAGGGCGAGCGTCTTCAGGCGCGGGAGGTGGATCTCTCGCAGATCCAGCTTGGGGTAGAAGCCGAAGTAGTTGCTGGAATAGATGGTGAGGTGTTCGAGGGCCGCGGCCGCCGGGGCCAGCCAGAAGGAGGGAAGTTCGGGAAAGAATTAGTGCGGTTCGTCTTGCTGAGATTTGAGTCAGAGCCTGAGGAAGCGATGCGAGAAGCCAACAGCAAGAAGAGAGTATGAGAGCGTCTCACCTCAAGATCGTTTTCCCCGTTTCATTCGTCATGTTCATTCGTGATATTCAGCCGCAGTGCGCGCAGACTGCCTAAAATCTTGGTGAGATTCCGGACCACCTCCGGGCCCGTCGGGTTGATGTTCTGGAGGTTGTACAGGGCGAGCTCCTTGACAGGCTCGTCGAGGGATGCCAACGCCAAGATAAATTCACTCATCACGCAGGAGCGGAACGCAGCATTCTGATGGGCGTCATTCCAGGTATCCTCGACATAACAGCCCTGATGAAAGCGAAGCACGATGCTTCGTAGACGGGGGAGCTCCTTCAGGCGCGGGACGAGCTTCATGAATCTGCGTAACTGGAGAATCTGCTTATCGCGAATGCTTTGATTGATATATCTTTCTTGCGTATAATACTGTGTCAATGAGTACAGGGTTCAGGGTGAATGGGAGGAATAGGGCATTTACACCGGCCCAAGCGCTGACATCCAGATACAGCCTGTCCACCAGTCGTGCCCGGGTCTCATCCTCGAGAATCGCCTGGAATCTTTCTCGACTCTCTTTCCGGGGGTACACGGTCACCACCTTGAGCAGCTCTTTTTGACTGATTGCGCCGATGTAGCGATTGGTGAGGGAAAGTTCGCTAAGCGAGGACAGGTCCGTGAAAGAAAGTACGCAGTGAATGATCTCTGGCGGCACAGACGCCAGGCTGGGGATGTTCATTGTGAGGTTGTTGATATTTGTGTGTATGGGATGGCCTGTGGGGTGTAGAGGCTATACACATTTATAATCGTTGGTGGCCCTAGGCAGCATGTCCCGTCGCTGCCTGGTTTGGGTCGTGGGTTGAGATTAGCGTCGCCCCCGCCCGATCGTTGAATTTCCTGATCCACAGTAGCCTCTTCACTAAAGGGGTTCCCCTGTGGCCCCTATTCCTCGACAACGAGTCAACCTGCCTTGTATTATTCACCAAAAGGAGGAACAAACCTTGACATCACCGGCCCAGGTCATCTCAACTCCAGTAACCAGAAAAGAAAATATTAAGATATGACAAAATAAGATTAGTAGTTGGAATTGGCTCATAATCTCTACTTATACAGATGCACCAGAATCACTGCCGTATGACCAGGGCTGATCAGTTGCGCAGTCTTTGTGTCTTCAATTTCCCTACCTCACCTAGTTCGTTTTCTAGCACCGAAAGAGAAAGATTGATACTTGATCCATATACAGAAGAGCATATCATTCAAGTAGAACCAGTATCCGGTGCGCTCTACATGCCCTTAACGCAGTTATTGGGCTGGTTTGAAGCAGTGTTGATGTCACACTTCCTTGTCACCATCTGCCTTCTGTCGGTCGATAGCATATTGGAGGGCGAAGAGCATGGAGGTTGTCCACAATCCCAGGGTTCAGAAAGGCTTGAGAGGTTTAACCCTCTGGAAAACTGGGCTCTCAGATGTAATAGCGCTACTGGTCAGCTGATGCCCCGTTCCCGGATATCGATATTTTCTTTGTTTGGTCTTTGCCACCACACATAGAACGTTCATGTTAATGGCGTGCTTCCCAAGTTTGAGCTTGCCATTCCCACACGATTCCAAGTTGTGATTATCGGTAGGATATTATTAAAATATGACATCAACTAATCTCTTTTAGGTGAGTTGTGTGGTTTACTACACAAGCATCCGCATCTCTCATTCGTTGTCTCTGTAGTCGGCATCGCCATTATGTATACTACTTACTCAAACATTCTTCCAGATAATTACCTCTACACCAGACCAAATAGTAGTCAACGTAACTGAGTTTCCTCCGATCTAATAGTTCCAGCTGCATCCGGAGGACATTATTTCACGCTTATTTTAGCTTAATAGCTTACTGTTACCTTCGGCTAAAAAGTCTACCACGTCATACTGCATGCTTTCGGAAATCTGTCGCCCTGCGTAAGTATGATGGCGTCTCTTATAATCACTTTACTCAACCGGGTATAAAAGCGCAGTTGTATCACCTCGCCAGTATTCATCTCGACTTCTATCTTTCAACTTCAACAGCCATAAGCTTTACTCTACTGGGAATATCAAAGTCTAGCCTCCAGTGCTAGTGAAACAGTCTTTGGAACAACAATGTCCGGCATCGAAGACCTTGTCCAAGACGGCCCCTACGGCGGACTTGGCGGCAGCGCTTACAACGCAACACATGAGGAGCAAAAAATCCGCCGCCTTGACGCATGGTCGGCCGACTACAGTGGCTACAATGTCCTCGGTGCTATCCAATTCACTTTCCAAGACGGGAGTTCCAGTGGACGTGTTGGCGGCCGTGACCCCAACATTGGCTATAACCCGAAGTCCTTTGTCTTTGATGATGAGGAAACCATTGACAAGTTTACTGTTTATGCCGGAGACAATGAGGGCTTTGTCAACGGCTTCAATTTCCATACCACTCAAGGCAACGAGTTTGAAATTGGTTCGACAGATGGACTGGAAAGCGATGTGCCTTCGCTTGGTAGCAATGGGGAGTGGGCCGGAGCTGCCGGTAGGGATAGCAGTCATGGTGCGGATGCTGTTATTGATAGTATGATACTGTACTTCAAGTAGTGTTAGCATGTGTGCATGTTTTTCTATTAGTGCGGCGTGGATATCGAGAAAAGAAACGCAACAAGCAAGAAAAATGGAAAGGTGGACTCATAGTCAATATACTCTAGTTTGTTATTAAGAATTCTTTTGTTAGCTGCGCGTATACAACAATGATGCATGAATTCTAAGTTTATTTTTTCACCTACGGTGAATCGGCATGAAGTGGGGAGGCCAAATGATCAAGATTTTTAGGGCTCTTGATCCTGGGTGTGGGGGTCTGCAGAGGAATCTCCCTTCTTCTCTCATCAAAAAGATTCTTGAATCTATAACAAAACTTAGGTACTTGTCACTATGCCCAACGATGACAGGATTCGGTCTGCTAAGGCCTGCAAGTTCTCCGCGCCCACGATATAGGTCAGTGCTAAGTCGACCCCGAACTCTCTTCTGACCCAATGTCTCAGTTCCACTGCCACCAATGAATCCAGCCCGTACTCCGCCAGCTTACAGCGGAGGGTCACATCCTCACGATCAATCATCGTTATTGAGGAGACTTTGCAGCACAAGGTCTCGAGGGCATTTTCTTGTCCGCCAAGGATACTGCCGCCCCCCTGTCCGGTAGGGTCGGTGAATTTGGTTGCGTTCTTGCGTCGGGCTGCAGTAAAATAGTGCGACCTGTCTTCCCACCCCTGGGATTCTTCGGAACCTTCCCGCACGTACACAATAGCCCTACTGTCCTTGTTCAGCCCCGACGCGGCACCGATGATGGCTCCTTTAACGACAGCCAGGACCTGCGGAGTCGACAACTTGATACCAACGTTTTGCCTCAGGAGCCTGTCGCGTAGGCCTTCCCGTTGGGTCACAAAGCCGACATCATCGATCACAGGTAGATTGATGGAAACACTGTATGACTGGTGCCGGGCGCGATACTGCGCGAACGCGTCGAGGAAGGTTGAAGTCCCAGCGTAAAGGCTCTGGCCGATATTGCCCACGACGCCGATTGCCGAAGCGAGGGCGACGAAAAAGTCCAGGGCAGGAAGCAGCTCGTGGATATGCCACGCGGCGTCGATTTTCGGTGCGTTGGTCTTCCGCCAATCGTCAAAGGTTGCATTCATGAACATCGAATCGCGCAAGTAGCGTGCGCAATGAATCACCCCCCGAACTGGGGGCAAGTCCTGGATTGCGTGGAGCGCGGTGTAGAGGCTTGCGCGCGACGCGACATCGCATGCAATCGCGCGAACGTGAATGCCGTTTCGCGGTCTGTTGTACTGTTGGATGAGGTTGCTTACGTCGGGATTGGATTCGCCAGATCGACCAAGTAGGATGACATTGGCCGCTCCATTCTCGAGCAGCATCGGCACAAGGACTCGTCCAATGCCACCGGTGCCACCCGTGATCAGATATGTTGCGTTGGCCTGCAGCAGCTGCTCCCGGGGCTGTAGGGGTGACCGGCACTCCGCTATGACTCTCTCGTTCGGTCCCAGGATAGCAACGATCTTACCGATGTTGTTGCCACTTTGGAGTTTGCGGAATCCGGACTGTACCTGGGAGACAGGAAGCTTCGTGATCGGTTGAATGGGTCCGATGACCTTGTTCTCCAGCATATCCACGATCTGCACCAAGCATTCTTGCAGGACTGCCGGTTTCTTGGCAAAGTACCGGTCAAGATCCACGGTGGAGAATGTCACGTTGCGGAGGAAGTGCCGCATGCTCAGATGGCTATTCTCAAGCATGTCCTTTTTGCCAATCTCAATGAATCGACCGAACTCGGCGACCAAGGACCTGAAGTCGCCGTGCTGTTAGCACATGCTAGGTACATTTCGTTGCGTCCGATGAGGAGATACGTACCAGGTTTCTTGAAGCAGTTCACCGCTAAGACGGTTGACCACGCCATCCACGCCCTTTCCGTCCGTCTCGTTCAGAAGGCACTGACGGAGCTCGGGTGTACGGCTGTTGTAGATGCGGCTCTTGGGAATCGCGAACGTCTTGTGCAGAAAGGCTCGCTTCTCCACAGATCCAGCCGTTACAAACACAATCACCTCCCGGCTCTGAGCCACGTTGATGCATGCTTGGCCAACAGCACCGGAACCGGCATGGATCAACACGCTCTCGCCTCGTTGGAGCTGAGCAACATTGTCCAGGCAGACGAGGGCAGTCGAGTACGCAGTCGGTAAGCTAGCCGCGTCCGCAGTAGAGATGCTGTCTGGCACTCTGCGCGCAAAAAGACCGGAAATTCGAACATACGTCGAGAATCCCCCCTGCTGCATCACATATAGAACGCGGTCACCGACCTGCACGTGCGAAACCTTCGGACCAACCTGCTCTACGGTTCCAGCCCCTTCGCACCCAGGCGGACTCCATGGAATTGTGCCAAGGGAACTGAGAATGTCTCTGAAGTTGATCCCGACAGCATCCACTTTGATGATGATTTCGTCTCGCCCAGAGGGGTGTGACCGAGCCTGTGACGTTCGAAATGAATTGAATCGAGATTGCGAAGGGTTTGGATGGACAGGCGGAGAGCTTCCTCGGGGCCATGGCTGTCCCATATATCTTGCTCCTTACAAATGGGGACCCCGGCTTCAAGGGCAAACGTTTCGGTTGTTTTTTGGAGCCGGCGAAGACGGGGCACATGAAGCATGCCATTCCGCCATACAAACTCTTGTTCGCGGAACGCAGTGGGCGCCCTATCTTGAACAAGGCTGAGGGTGAGCTGCGCAACGGCCGACACCCCGGGTGCAGTATCAAGAGGAACATCGTCAACTTGGATGAATTTCTTTGACGTGTCTTCCAGGCGAAGGGTGCGAAGAATACCTTTGATGCGAGCGTATTCTGGGTTATCACTTTCTGGTGAGACCCATAGCACGCCCTTGGACTTGAGCAAAACTCTCTTTAATTGACTGAACTCGTCTTCAGTTGCTAGTGTAGCAAGAAAACTGCTCTTGGCGCTATCCAGGAGGACGTAGGAGCTATTTCCCGCATCATGCAGCTCCTTAAGGGACTGGATACGTGGTGTAGGAACTTGCAGAACCTGTCCCACGCCCTGGGCCACCACTTTAGCCAGCCTTTCATCTCGATGCGTCGCCAGAGGACCGCAGATTGTAACCGGATCGAGCGATCTTGATTGGCTGCTGGTCAACGTAAAATTGTCGTCGTCGTCGGCGTCCTCATCAACCCGTGAAGTCCAGAAGGTGCCACCACCACCACAATCAATACCACCTTCAACTCCGGAGAATCCTGTGGAGGTAAGCAGTCGGTGCCAGCAGTCCTGAGGCATCAACGGTTCGCTCGCCGATGCCCGGTATTCATCGGACGCCAACCACCAGCCCGGTAGCAGGGCGAAGGGCAGCACAGCAGGATCGTAGTTATCCGCATGCTCCACTCTACCCAGATTCCCTGTCCCAGGCTTGAGTAAAGAGCGAACATTCTGAATGGTCGTCGTGATGTCCGGGGTCGCGTGAAGAACATTCACGGCAATGACTAGGTCGTAGGAGTCGACTTCGATACCTTGTTCCGCTTGACTGCGAGTGATGCCAAGTTTCTGATATACAAGCTGCGGCCACCGAGTCAGTTTGTGCCGCGCATTCTTGAAGAACCCCGACGAGATGTCTGTAAAGACGAAGCGGTCAAAGATCGGGGCGCTATCCTCGTTCTTGTTGCCCCAACCTCCTGACAATGCCTCCAGTATCGGTAGGGTCGCAGCCCCGGTGCCTGCTCCGACTTCCAAGATCCTCATCTTTGGATTTAGTTCACCTAAACCGGCAACATAACTGGACAATACCTTGCTACTCCTATGCTGCACCTAGTTGTCTTCGTAGTATCGAATGAGCATTCCGTCTTTGAGCATGATGTCTAAAGGCTGCACCTCCCCGCGCAGGAACTCGAGGATACGTTGGCCCATGGCACAGAGAAGCTTGCCAGTAGCGCCGCTTTTGGAGACCTCATCAATCAGCTGCGGTGTGATCTCAAGATCATTAACCTGCGCCACAACTACCTCGGCCCAGCGCAAGAATTTCTCATAATGAGAGGGCATAGTCCACTGACCGTCATTCGCCGTCATCTTCAGCGCCTGCGCCAGGAAATAACGACTGACAGCCGACAGCTTGCGCGTTAGGAGCTGTTGCGCAGGATCCAAGTCGTCGTCCCCCAGCAGTTTGGCCTGCTTGTTGCCGTCGAGAAACCCAAAATGCGGCACTAAGCTTTCGTGGAACCCCTCTGGCAGTTATTGCCTCCTGGTCTCGACAGAACCGTCGCGTTGCGTAATACGTTGCAAGGTCATGTCGAGTTCGACGTACGGCACTCGACCCGACCCCATGCCTGCGAAGATGACAAAATGGACGCGTGCACGACCAGACTTGTTCTCCAGATCCAGCCGGTGTACTACAGTGGTGAATTTCTGGTAAGCGGTTGCCGAAGTCGTGGAGATCTGACATCGAGAGCTGTACACCGGTACATAGACCGGCGGAGCGCCACTCAGGTGCTCATCTCCAACGGTAGCACTTCGGGCGGAGTGCAACACGCTATCCAGAGTCACCACGTCGACGGCGGCCGGTGATCCTTGGAATGAAACGTGGTCAATTGATGGAGGCACTGTTTCGTGGACCGCGACGCCGGGTGCTGACCATATGGCGGTCATGTTTCTGAACGCGGGCCCGAAATAAATGCCTGATTCCTGGAGCATCTGATACTCGATTTCGGCATTTTCTGCGCTGGGTTCGGCCATGGACAATATGTCCTCGGCCGCCATTCTCGCCGGGCTAGCCATGTCGGCGAAGCCCACAGTACCAGCTTCGATGCGGCCATGGGCATGGAGAGACCAGCTGCCGGACTCGGTCCAAGTCAAGACCTCGAAGGCCCAGATAGTCGAGGATCATGTGCCCGGTCCGGTCTCCGCCGGCCGGATCTTGGTGGTCATATCCAGGTGCTGAGACTTGCCGACAATGAGACTTCGCTTGACGTGGAGCTCTCGCACCAATACGCTCGAGACCTCCGATTTTGCACGCGTTGTAGCTTTGAAAGCCTCCACTGCAAGACGCACAAAGCCCGCGAAAGGAATCATAGCATCACCTGCAACGTCATTATCCCGAATCCAGGGCATCTCGTCAAGCAACAACAACTGGCGGAAAATGTGATCGTTGCCCTCGGACGGCATCTTCCACCCGAGAAGCGGGTTGTAGGTATGGCCTGGATGCAATTCCTGGACAGACCTAGCTGATTTGCGGATGTAGCGCGTGTCCTTCTTCCTCTCGTAGGATGGGAGGTCCTTCAGAACTTGGGATTCTATAGGCAGGGTCCTATTGACCGCAGCGAAGTCCAGGCTGCTTCCCATGGTGAGAATGCGCCCAGCAAGGTCAAGAAGTGCTTTAGGAGCATCAGTACCCCGAACCAGTGTCGGAAGAAACGTGGCGCGTTTCACCCATCGATTGCAGGGTTTGATGAATCGGGCCTTTGAGCGCAGCATGCGGTCCCAGTTCGACAAGTGGAATGGTGCTTCGTACATTAAAATCTGACCGAGATAAAATGCCCTGAGTAGCTTCCGATAATTTGACCGGGCTCACCCTATATCGTGCAAGGATTATCAGTATCTGGCCGGTTTTGTTCACAGAAATCGCGGATAACACTCACAAGTTCTGGACCCAGTACGATGCGCTCTGTAGAGTATCTGGACACTCTTCCAGACCAGTGACCGATGATATGAAGACTGCTTTCCCGGTCCGTGTAGGCTCAGCGTGGCAAAATGGCTCTATAGACGCCCGGTATGACGCGGCAACCTGTGCCATGTGGTGGGAATGGTACGCCACGTCCACCTTCAACTTGCGGTTAAAGATCCCCTGGATCTCTGCAAATGAGAGATTGAATTCACAGCTGCGATGTTCCCCGATATCGTCACACTGTTGGGGCTAATGATTGCCGCAATGCCAGCCCGCCCGATTTGGGCGGTGGATTCCAGCAACTTTGTCGTCGTGTCGACATCCGTGCCTAATGCAACCATGCCTCCCAGGGTGGACTTGCTCTTGCTGCGCAACTCCACTGCTGATCTTCCTCGAAAGAAAGCTATTGCCAGTGCCGTCTTGAAGGATAGAAATGACATTCGTTTACTATACTATCTTACCCCTTTAGCCCTTATATAGGCTATCTACTAGTTATATCCGGATCTTATTTTTAAATTATTTAAAATTCTTTTCAAATTTTTTTTAAAAATATATAATTACTATTTTAAATAAGTTTTTAACTAATTATACTAATATAGTAATTGGTAAAAAAAAATCTATAAAATAAAAATAAATTTGTAAAAAAAAGTATATAGTAATAATTTTTGACAGTCAAAATACTAAACTAAATATATTTATTATAAGATTATTAATATTTATATATATATAACAGCCTATAGAATATTAAGATCTTATATATTTATAATTACTAATAACTCTAAGTAGTATCCTGTTACTGTCTGGTTTAGATTATAAACTAAGATTAGTATTATTTTTATCTAATTTTTTAATTTTCTAATCTATAGTTGTTTTTTATTCAAACAGGTTCTCCTATAGCTTCTACTTCTTAACAATAAGTCAACCTACCTTATATTATTTACAGAAATAAAGAACAAACCTTGGCATCACCAGCCCAGATTATCACAGATATCAATTGTATTGGCCAGATCGGGTTAGCATCAGACAACCAATAATCAACACTTCAAGCTATTCGGGGTCCAACTCAAGAACGCAATTCATTCATGGCAGAGTAAAAACTATTTTGGGTTCGACTAATCATTCCAAGCATCCTAATTATACAGTACATGAATAAATGAACATAAGGATGTCAGACATCCCCGGAAACAGCCCCAATCAAATTTTTGCGCGCTAATTCCCGCACGCAATGAGGCTCCAATCTCGCGCGCAGACAAGCGTCATCTAGGGCTTGTCGTAGCACGTGTCGCAACCGCGTCTGCGTCATCTCAAGATCAATCATGTTATCCAGAGCAACGCATAGCACCCGACTCATCACACTCATCAAAGCGGGGGTGAGAAGGTCCGTGTCATAGCCGAGCCGCAGCGATACACCCTGCTCGTCGTCTGTGAAGCGCCACTCAAACAGGAGAGCAAAGATGGCGCCGTCGGGGGTCACCGGGCGCGGCATCAGTCCCTCAATGTCTGGGAGCCGCTGGCTATTCTCCACACCCCGGTTTTCCCGAAAGGTGACGGCGCAGTCGAACAGGGCCTCGTGGCCGGAGGGAAACGGGAGTCCCAACAGGGCCAACAACGCATGCCACGGAACCGCGTGCGCGACAGCAGACTGAGCCGTCGTCCTCACTGCCTGCAACAGATGGTCAACTATCCGTGTTGGTTCTGAAGAATTTGACAAGGTGAAGCGAAGAGGGAGCGGTTCAAGATGAAGCCCGATCGTGTCTGCGCCTGGTTCATTGGGGCGGTTGATGTATGGGCATCCGAATATGACGTCTCGAGTATCGGCCAACGTTTGCAAAGTAATCGCCACAATAGCCATGGCAAAATATCGCGGGGAGACGTGGTGATCAGCACAAGTGTCCAAGAGCTTCTGTGCTGATGTACTGCAGATTGTGGGTTGCATGGAGCTTCCACGGTAAGAACGGACTCGCTGTGTGGCTAGAGGACGTGGCACCTCAATGCCCATCAAATGGTCATTCCAATAAGCTTGCAACTCTTTCGGCATTGGTACCGGGAATGACCACGATTGCTCGTCAAAGTATTCGTGCGTCACAGTAGACAATCGTCTACCGCAATACAGATCCCCAATTTCCTGTAGGAGATGCGTCAAGGTGTTATTATCGCAGAGCAGGTGGGAGCAATTGAGAAGTAAAGAATCTTTGGTCATAGCGGCTCGGACCAGACTTCCATCGAGTTTGAACGGCTGACTGATCCATTCCCCAACATCGATGGATGTCTCATAACCCACAGCGATGCGTTCGTCTGAGATGGTGCGCGTGTACCCGTTATGAGACTTCGTAATGCGTGTCCGTAAGATACGGTGGCGATTTAGTGTCCCCTCTACGCTCGAGGCGAGCCTTTTCAGATCAAGGTGTGGCAAAAGGCTGGCATAGAATGGAACATTAAACGCTCTTGGACATTGGGAGTTAGTATAGTAATGTACCCACAACAGTTCCGGAGGAGACAGGTTAGTTGTTCCGAGCTTCTCAGGGCTCTTCCCCTGTGCTGGAGCTAAATCGTGCGTTGTCCTGGGGCTCGTCTCAACCAAGGCTGCAAGGTCCCGCAGGACAGACCGCAACAACACATCCCGGACCGTCACACGAACTTGGAAGATATCGTTCAGCTCGCGCGCTAACTTGAGCATCGAGACTGAGTCTCCACCGAGCGTAAAGAAGTCATCTTCTTCATTTATCTTAGCAGAAGGATCAAGGCTCAATATGTGTTTCCAGGCCACAGCTATAGCTCGAGCGGCTCCACTGAGTGGTCTGTCGACCGCCTTCTCTGGTCTCGATCCGGAGGCTCTCCTCGCGCTGACTTTCTTCAGTGTCTGCAAATCCATTTTTCCGTTTTTTGTCATTGGCATCTTCTCCAGTTTCTGTATATGGGAGGGCTGATAATGAGGAGGCAGGGCGGTGCGCAAGGCTTCACGGACGCCAGCTTCGTCCACCCTCATCGGACACAGGACGAGCACAATGCTGCCATCCTCTCGAAGAACCGCCACGGCCTTGCGTACTGTGGGCACGAGGCGGTAGACTGCATGAGCGATATCGTCGAGGTTGACTCTATATCCGCGGACCTTCACTTGGCGGTCTTTCCGGCTGCAGTACCAAAGCTTACCCTCATGGTCAAAATGGCCCAGATCACCCGTGCGATACATCTTTTCCTCCCCATCGCAAAAAGGATCTGGCCGGAACTCCTCCCGTCCCAATGGCGCCGTGTCAGTGTACCCATCGCTCACCTGAACTCCTGCAATGTGGATGTGCCCTATTGTGTTGGGTGGAACAAGCTCTCCTTCACTGTTCAATATGTACAACCGGGAGGACGGGACTGGACCGCCCAGGCAAATTGGTAGGTCAGGGTCTAGTGAGCCCAGTGTATTCATCACAGTAACCTGGCAGTATTCGTCTCGTTAGAACGCATACGAAAAGTAGAAGAAGCAAATGACCTACCTCAGTTGAGCCGTAGGCGTTGTACAGCTGCCGATCTGGTGACCACCAGCGGGACACTATGGGCTCTGTGGCCGGCTCGCCGGCAAAATACACCTAGGAGCAAACTCCTGTCAGCAATGGCCTCTAGAAAGCCTCGACAGATTGGGGAAGTGTGACCAACATATTTGATTCTAGGAAACTGCCATGGGACCATTTCTGCGGCAACGGATGGGGTAAGAATGGTGGCGTCCACCCGGTCCAGATGTGACAGTATGTCGTCATCCTTCGTTCGGAGCACCAAGGTAGCCCCATAGCATAAGGTACCGAAGACCTCAAATACGCAGCCTCCAAATCCAGGGGAGAGGAATTGGGCGATCCGACGTCCTGGTTGACTGAATATTCGATATTCCTCGCGGGATTGAAGGGCGACTAGTCCCCGATGAAGACACTTCACACCTATTTAGCATAGAATATCAGCTGTAAGGCTTGATCATGGGAAAGAAAAATGTCGAACTTACCTTTCGGGACACCAGTTGAGCCTGAGGTAAAGCAGACGTATGCCACATCACTTGGCGTCTGCGTTGGCCACGGCCCACCAACAGGCAATTTCGTGTTCTGTAAAACATCCTCAGTCGCAAGAGCTGGCCATTCTTGGGAGCACCATTGTATCCGTTGTTCTGATGAGGGAAACAATACTAGGGTGGCGTGGCTTTGCTTCACCAGTGATACCTGGTACTCCGTTGGAAATGAAGCATCGATCGGGCAATAGGCGGTGTTAGCAAGCACCGCAGCCCAAACTCCGATAATCCAGTTAATCGAACGATCGGCAATCACGGCAACAACGTCTCCTGGGCGCGCATGACAAAGCACGGCATAAGCCACGCCCTGAGCGGAGTCCAGAAGTTGGCGATAGGAGACGGAAATTGTGTCCTTTGTTACAGCGATGAGATCGGGATGCTGGCGTACCGTGTTCCGAAACAAACTGCCCAGTGTCGGTCCTGTGTTTGTCAGTCGTGATTCTGGTCGATCGATATTACCCAGCTGCAGAAGGGTTTGCCGCATGATCGATGGCAGACTGTGCTGAAGGCAATGCCCTACAGTGAGACGGTCATCATCGCCAGTGAGAAGCTGAGCGATGTTTCTGAAGACAGCTGCCACGTCCTGGACTGTTTGAGCACCGAACCGATCGCTGCGACACAAAAGATGCATCTCGCCCGTGCTCTGCACCTCCATGACTAGAGGCAGGCTGGTAGACTCTCTCAGACGTGGTTCACGTAAGGGGGGCAGGACCACTGATGGCTTGCGCATGTCGGCCTCCTGCACTACGAGCAAAGTGCTAATCGGCGGGGTGCCCACGGGCGCCTCAGAAAGCTGGAATCGCGCATAGTCGCGAATGTCCCTCTGCACGCTCTGGACAAAGGTAGAGACGGACATTTGTCTTTTGATCGCGCAACTGTATGGCAGCTGGTTGATCAAAGGGCCGATTACCGACGGGGCCCAGGTGAAAGGCAAATCCCGGCCTGAGAGCACCATCCCAAACGTCACCTGGCTGGAGTCAGCGTACAGGGAGACCAGCAAGGCCCAGGCAGCATGTAGTATTGAGGCTGGGGTGACGGCTAATTGCTTGGCCCTCTGGCTCAATTGTTCCCTGTCTAGAGGCTCTGGGTGAATGTACTGTATATTGGCCCAGCCGTCCTTGTCCTGGGATGGCGTGTCAGGGATATTAAACTCGCCCTTGGACTCTGACAGCTCCATCTGACGGTTTTTCCAGAACCTAAATGCTTCCTCGTTTATCCGTTCGCGGAGCTGGTGTAGATCTATCGCTGCTTGCGCAAATGGGATAGAGGGCTCGAATCTGTGTCCTTGAAGCGCCATATCCAGTTTTCCCAATAACAGGAGACTGGAGAATCCATCCAACAAAGCCCGGTGGGTGGTCCACACCAGTACACTTTCGCCTTGGGGCAGCTGAATTCCTTCATGGTGTAGCACCAGAATGGACACCCCCAGACCGGTTTCTGTAATTACTTTATGCATGTGGTCCTCGATTTGCTGCGAAGTATGAACTGCCCGCTCCTCCCAGCGGAACTGTCTCTCCTTTACCACCTCTTGAATGATTCCGGATTCAGTTTCCGTGAAAGCTGTCCGAAAAAGCGGCTCCGCCCGTGCCACAGTCTCCCATGCCCTCTTGATGCGCCTGATATCCTGGGTGCGATAATGAGAGATGTGTTGTGCATAGTTCACTTGACGGTCAACCTTTGTTTCCAGAACCATCTTGTGTTGTAGAGGGCTAAGATCTGAATGCTTCACTAGATCTGTCTGCTTGCTGGAAAACTTGTTGTCGGCCGCAGTTGATGATGCTTTACATCGGGCAATCAACTCCTTGAGTGACGGTGCCTCCAAAATATCAGCCACTGAGATTACATAGCCAGCCTGACCGCAGAAAGAGGATAGTTTGACTGCAGCGAGCGAACTGACTCCCATTGACACACTCGAAGCACTCAAGTCAATCTCAGTACAAGGAATCTTCATCTCATCCTGGAACCAAGCCAGGACGGTTTGCTTCGGCGTCTGATTGGATTGGTTTAATGAAGCCATTGGTCTCTGGGTTTCCTTGGGACTCGTAATTATTTTCTCCAAGATGGACGAGAGTCGATGCGGATCCACCTTGCCATTCGAGCTCAAAGGTAGCTTGGGCAGACAAATAAAGTGGTCGGGAACGGCGTAGGGCAGCGCCATCGACTTCCAGGTAGCCAACAACTCTGCGGTATTGACCGGCGGGCTCACGATGGCTGTACATATCAATCCATTGATCTTCAGTGAGTAAGCCGCTTGCACGGAGGGACACGCTCGGACGATGCCCTGATCAACGTCCTGGTCTAAGTTTACTAGGAACCCCCGATTTTTGACCAAGCGATCTTCACGTCCATGGAACTCCAAAATGCGAGTGCCATCATGGTCTTCAATCCACTCAGCCATGTCTCCGGTTCGGTATATCGTACGCTCACTTCGATAAATGAACTTCTCATTGGTTTGCATCTCATCCCCGAGGTAGCCGGCGGACAGACAGGGCCCTGCAATCCCGATCTCCCCAGGCGTCTTGAGCTCAGTGATGATGCTCATGTCGGTTTGATTTAACAGCATGATTGTGGATCCTGGTATTGGATGTCCGAGCCGCGTGGGCGAGAACCTCCGGGTCTGTGGATCACGCCGCAACCTCTGAGTCAAGACGGCACAAGTAGCCTCTGTCGGCCCATAGGCAATCCAGATCGGTACGTGTAGACTATCCCATAGGCCTAGGAGTTGCTCTGAGGCAGTTTCGCCCCCCAAGATAATGCGCCTCAATTTCGAATACTCGGCGGGGATAGGAGGCCCGAGCGCCGTCAAGATCGAAGGGGTGGCAGTGATGATAGTGCTTTGCTTTGCGCGCTCTGCCAAAGTTTCCGAGTTGGCCAGGACTAGCATGCCCCCATTGCACAGTGTGTTGAACATGGTCCCCATGCAGGCTGCGAGTTTCCCGTCAGCATGATACGCCGGGATTATCGAAATCCGTCGACGGAAGACTGCGAGATACGTACCATCAAAGCCGACAGATAAGACCAGCAAGACCCGATCGGCCTGCGTAACATCGTAGTTGAATCCTGGAGAAGTAACAAACCGCGCTACCGAGCTGCTTCTAACCCGGACACCCTTGGGTTTATTCGTTGTCCCGGAGGTGAATACGATAGCTAGAACATCGTCGATACGGTTGGCCACCTGGCCGTTATGAGCAGGAGGGACCGAAGCTGCCGGCAGGTGAATTGTCCTTGCCTGACCGGCGGAGAACTCTGCGCCCGTATAGAGCACGAGCTTGGCTTGACTTTTGTTCAGGACATACTCTATCCGGTGACGGGGACTCCGTTCTCGGTCGATGGGGGCATACACAGCGCCCGCTTTGATAATGCCAAGGATCCCTACCACCATTTGTATGCAGGTGGTTGTAACGATAGGGATTATATGCCCTGGTCTCACTCCCTTGGCCTTCAAATATGCTGCTAGGGAGCTGGATTCTTCGTCCAATTGTCGGTATGTTCTCGAGCCCTTGAGCCCATCTTCCACCGCGACATGATGGGGCCAGCGATCAGCTGACTCGGTGAAAAGAGCTAAAACAGGGTCTTGCTCGGGGAGTACCATGGCGAGAAAGATTGATGGATCTTTGTCAATGACTTCTCGTACCTTGATGTACGCACTTATATACTGTTCTGCTGTCTGCCCGAATATACCACGCGCGGCACAGGAGCCTGGTTCAACATGCATGTGGATCGCGGGATTGACAGACGTCAAGGACTGAGAATTCGATATTGACCTGACCCCGGTGTCACCCACCACCCACCCACCGGCGTTCAGGGCCATGGTAAGGTCGCCGAACCACCGCTATCACCGACGCTCGAGTCATGTGCCATGTCCTCTGTCATAGCAGTGTAATGGTGGATTACGTTGTTTGCCATCTGCATGGCATATCCCCTCGACATCTCCTAGTGTCCTCATCCAAGGAGTCTGGACCGTCATCCAGCAGGCTGGAAGCACCCAGAATTACGCCAGATTGACACCGAACCAGATCTTCGCTGCCCATCTAAGCTTTGTCAGTCCAGATCCGGTGAGCTTGTCTTCGGCAATCCGCTTTCCCGCTTGCCGAGCCATAACCACGAACAATAAAATGCCCCAAGATTATCATGGACCTAGGCTGAGCTGTTCTTCAAAATGATCCTTTGAATTGCTGATATAGAGTGAGAAGGAACTGTTGTCACTGAGATGAATCTCGCTCTCCCTCCAGGATCTACAGTTGTCGTGACGGGAGCCAATGGCTACCTGGCGTCACACACCAGCAATGAACTGCTCAAATTGGGGTATCGCGTGCGCGGCACCGTTCGCAGCCCTAAACCTTGGCTAAACGCCTTTTACGAGAGAGAGTACGGGCCTGACAGGTTTCACACCGTTCTCGTGCCGGACTTTCGCGACCCCGCAGCAATCGAAGCTATACTGGCTGATGTGGCTGGGGTCGTACATTTGGTGACCAACCTTTTTCTCTCCTTGTCGGCACGGTCTACGTTTCCCTGATCACTATTTCTTTCCCGCTTGTATCGCTTCTTTTTTCCCGACCTATAAGCATATTTCTCTGACGTATGTGACTTCATGCAGGTCTCCGACTTCACACTAGGAACTGACATCAATGAAGTGGTTCCTTGGTCCCGGCAAGCAACGTTGAGCGTCCTACAGGCAGCTTCACACGTGTCTTCCGTGCGCAGGGTGGTGCTCATCTCTTCGTCGATGGCGCTCTATACCCCAAACCCTGGACAACAGGGTGTGGTGGTTGACCAGGGTAAGCACCAAGATGTAAAGTAAAGACGGGGTTTTGCGTCGGTATCGAACGATTTTGCACTAACCTGAGATTCATTGCGGCCCAGATACCTGGAATATGTCCGCTGTCCTCAAAGCCTTATCGCCCTCTTGGAACCTCAAGACGCAATCACATGAGCCTACTTCCCAAGGTATGCAGAAACGGCAGGTCGAGGTATACAGCGCCTGTAAAATGGTCTGTGAGTGGGAAGCGTGGGAATGGGTACGCTGCCACCAACCTGCCTTCGAGTTCAACACTGTAGTCGCAGCGTTTGCGGTTTGTCCTCACCCCTCTAATATCTAGCCTCTGCTTCACTCACTAAGGAGAACAGGTCGGGAAGATCCTCATGGACGAGATCCCAGGCTCGACTATGAACTGGGTACGCGGGCTCCTTCACGGTGACCGTACCCCAATGACTCTTGTTCCACCCAGTGAGCCCTCCCAACCCCTTCCGTTTCCTACCTTTGGCTTTCATCCTGTTCGGCTTCCAGTTCATGGACTTTGCCTGTCTGTCAAGGCTCTGCAGCGCATACTGACCCGTCCCAGAGTGGTTCGTCGATGTCGAAGATATCGCCCGGCTGTTTATGATTGCTTTGCTCGAGCCCACCGTGGCCTCGGAGCGCGTGTTCGCTTTTGGTGAGTCGGCCAACTGGACGGATGTCCTCATCATCCTGGACCAGCTGCAGCCCGAGAACCCTCTGATTCCAAGCCCGGTGCCTGGGGAGTTGCACGATTGCGCGGAGATCAGGCCCCGCGCGAGGGCGATGCAGCTGCTCCGCGAGTTCTACGGCCAGCCGGGCATGACGCCCCTCGCCAATAGTATTGCGCGCGGCATTGGCTGTCAGCCATTGAAAAATTGATCAATGCGACCAAGAGATGGAAAGGGGTATTCTGGAGATTTTTCGTGAAAATCGGAGGGGGAAATGGAAAGCCCGGGGGAGGC